GCTTAAAATCATAAACAAAAAACATTTTATTAAAAAATTTACTTTTTGATATTTATAAGATTAGCGTAATTTTTCAGAAAAAGAAAGAAATCTAATTAATTTAAATAAGTTGTTTTTCAAGTTTTTCCCTTCTATCCTTCATCATATTTCCTAATTATGCAACAATCATTTTAATCTATATAAACACACATTTTTAATTTCTCAATACTATCGTAGTTTTAGCTTTTCATCACACTTCATTGTTTAATTACATCTGAGATTCTGAAATCATAATTAAATAAGTGTCTTCAGATCAAGTTCTTATGTTTCATTCTATATTTTATTATTTANATTTATTCTGAATACTTTGATTTCTCGATTATTTAAATTATCAAATCGTAGGAGAATGAGTAGCGCTATGTAGCTTGTAATTGATTCAATAATTTAAACTTTTTCAATACACTGCTCGAGAATATTTTCATAAAGCACTTTTAAACATTTCTTTGAAACCCTTAAAAGTTGAAAACTTAATTTATAGAAAATACCAACATCAAAATTACTCTTTATTGGGAATATTTATATCTTTGTAAATATTTTATTTTATGTAGTAAAATTGTATCTTTCGTGTGTTATCCGTTGTTTGTCATCACCATAAAACTTTTTTTAAGATCCATTTTTATCAATGATTACTTCCACTACGTTTTTTGTTTGTTTGAAGACTTTTGTTTCGCATGTGCCCCTTAATAAATTGTTGTATTTATTATTATAAAGTAAAGGTCTGAGATTGCCCAAGAGACATTCAAAATTTAAAAAAATCCCTCGAGATCATAAATTCTCAAAATCCCTTTCATAACTGATTTTTTTTAATGTCCTAAATAATTTCCAACGAAAATGAATAGCGAGAACAGTATGGCACTACATTATAATAACAATTTCATTTTGTTTCATTAAAAGATTTTTGGAAAGGTAAACTAATTTAGTAGCTTAAAATCATAAACAAAAAACATTTCATTAAAAAATTTACTTTTTGATATTTATAAGATTAGCGTAATTTTTCAGAAAAAGAAAGAAATCTAATTAATTTAAATAAGTTGTTTTTCAAGTTTTTCCCTTCTATCCTTCATCATATTTCCTAATTATGCAACAATCATTTTAATCTATATAAACACACATTTTTAATTTCTCAATACTATCGTAGTTTTAGCTTTTCATCACACTTCATTCTTTAATTACATCTGAGATTCTGAGATCATAATTAAATAAGTGTCTTCAGATCAAGTTCTTATGTTTCATTCTATATTTTATTATTTAACATACTTCGAAATTATCATTTTTTTATAAATTAAACTTTGCGTGCCATACTGTGTGCAGTACCTTCACAAGATTTTTTTGTATTTTTACTTTGTCTCCTCTGTAAATTAATTTACTTTTTTGAATTTTTCACATCTCCTTATTATCTATCAAGAGAAAGATTTATTGAAAACAAAAACTTTTCTTAGCGTTTCTCGGGCTCATTCAAATCCCTTTTATAACAATTTATGTACAGATCCCAGTAAAAGATTACGATAAAAATATTTAAGCGGACAAAAGTGTTAAAAACGAAATCCATCCGAAACCAGAATAAAAAATAAAAAACAACATAAATACATTTTTTCAAATACGTTTTTTGTTAATTTTTTGTACAACTCCAAATTGTGATTCACATTTTTGAATCCAAAAATATTCGAAACAAAGGAATTGATAAAAAAATTAAATCCCATCCTGTTTGCCAAACGAAGTGGTTAACATTGTCGTTGTTTATCGAAACATAAACAAAAACTGAATTTAATCAGTCAAAAATAAATATTCTCCTGTATACATATAAAAAATGAGAAGCCATGAAACATTCTAAAATAAAATTACATTAAGATGCCAAAATATGTATATGTAAAAACAATCGACATCTTTGCACATCTTTGTGTACTAACATCCGCCTATTGACAATCAGTGTCCAAGCAAAGTCAATTCTGCAGAACTTTTGGACGCATTTTGATGTTATAATATTTTGTTATTAACTTTTCATGCAAATGATACTTCTGGAATGATATTTTACATATCATGACAATTGTGAAATATCAGCATAAATTGCATGAGTAACTCTTTTATAAACTGTTACGCTTCAAACTGCTTTTGCACATTAAACACAATTTTATAATTTTCTACCATTTTTAATATTTAAAAGTAAAAGAATTGAACTTTTTCGATTTCTCAAATCTTAACTTTAATTTTCCAATAATTTTAATATTTTTTTTTATTTCCTTCAAATCGAAAGAGTCCAAGAATTTATTTATAATTTATTTAACTCGTTTCTTTTGAAGAAGAAATCTCTTTGAAACTTTCTAAAATAATTTCTATTTCTTCAACAACCTAATGAATAGATCTCGGAACTGAATGCCCAAGTCAACGATCTTCGTGGCAAATTGTAAGATTGAAATTATCTTTAAAATATATTCACATAATTAATGTTTCATAAATTCTTTTTAATAGCGTTAAACCAACATTGAAGAAGGTTTCCAAATACGAGAACAAATTTGCCAAGTTACAGAAGAAGGCCGCCGAATTCAACTTCCGCAATCAACTCAAAGTTGTCAAGAAGAAGGAATTCACCTTGGAAGAAGAAGATAAGGAGGTAAGTTCATTTCTCCAACAAATTATATACATAGATAGTGAAAGTCCATTTTGCTCAAATCCTTGAATTAAAAGTGTCGATCGGTTTTAATCTTCAAAAATATTTAATGAAGATTTGAAAATTTTTCCAGCGTTTTTTAACTTTTTATGATCTTTGATATGAAAGCAATTCTTAACGACACAAACCGATGTGTTGATGACTTCACATGAGTATCAACAAATCAATTCCTACTTCTATGAATCCAAATCCAAAACAGATCACTTGTCACGTTAATCAATCTTTCACTTAATCATGTATAAGTTAAATAATTTCAACTTGACAATTTAGAATTCTCATGAACATTTTGAAATTTTCTACAGGCGAAAAAATCAGAAAAGGCTGATTGGCAGAAAAAGTAGACAGCACAAAACAATAAAAAGAATCTAAACCATCTCTAAAAAGTTTAATTAAATAAAAGTTTCTTAATTTTTTCCATTCAAATGATATTTATTTTAATATTTGGACATCAATTTGCTTGCCATGAATCGTTTTTTAACGTTTTCTTTGATTTTGGAATTAACATCAAACGAAACTTGATAATTTATAAATAAAAGATACAATTAAAAATAAAACAAATTCATTGAAGTAAAGACTAAAGTCAAATATATAAAAAAAAATTTTGCAATCGTTTTGCCGCCGATCTCTTGATATGCCAATAAAAACCTTTAAACTGTATCGTCGAGGTGAGATATGATTTTTGGAAGTTGCTTCGAATCAAACACAAAAATGCGATCTTGAAAGCTATTTTTTTACATTATTTTTAAGTCTTTCATTCTGCTTTTTCAGCAAAAATTGTTATCTTTCTGCTATACTCCCTGAATTGACTCCCCCCAAAAAATTTTGTCATAAAACCTAAGACGAATATTAACTGACCAATTTTCCTTTTTACATCATCAAGTCATGCCATGTCACTCATGAAATCTTGCAAATCTATGAATTTTTCATCTCTTTCATGTGAATTCATTGGCTTTAAATTATTTTAAATTTTCCTTGAAAGGAAGATTTTCTTGGTCAGAGAAATCAAATATCGAAAATTCCTACATCAATTTTATTTGCACTTTAACATCACTGTTAGCACAATATTGTCCTCAAAAGCACTGCTCCTTTATTATTAATTTAAGCACTACTTGTTGCATTTGCACATCTTTAAAATTCTTTTAGACATTTTAAATTGCAAGAATGAATTAGAATTGAATATCTTCGGCTGTTTACTGTCCCTTCTGCAAAACTAAAAACTTTTGCTGCCAAATTTTGATGCGCTCGATTTAAAAATATCAAATGGAGCTTAAAAAATATGTTAAGGAATTGTTTGAAGTTTCACACAATCACATTTATTTTTGGATTGTTTTATGTAAAAAGAAAATTCGAGAAATTGAAACTTTTATGAAAACCTTAAAATATGATTTCGCTCCAATTTTTTTGACAGTTGTAAAGCTTCCGCAATTCTTTTGTGAGATCAAAAAGTGACATTAATTTTCTCTTTTTTTTTAATTTTATTAGAAAAAACCAGACTGGTCCAAAGCTAAAGATACTAAGGTAAAGGAAGAACATCACGAAGAAGTCGAAGCTGAAGCATAAATTTAGTTTCTGTATGAATTTATGTTGCAATATCACCATCATTAAACCAAGCATTGAGTAAAGATGAATTGATTTGAGAGAAAGAGAGTTGAAGTTGCAAAACTTTTACCATGAATTATTTATGCAATTATTAATATATATACACTTATATCTTTGATGATTATGTTTATTTTATTTATTATAAATGTATAACATCTCTATTGTACTTTTTTATGTTTTCAATGTTTCTTTGATTTGATTTCAATTTTCATTTTCAACTTTGTCAATTTTTATTTCTTTTTGCTTGCCTTCAAACCAAGAAGATCGCAAATACTCGAAAGAACATTAAAAAAACACAAAAAAAATACCAAAAACAAAAATTAAATAAAATTTTTAAGTGAAAATAGAACATTTCTGAATTGAATTTGGCAGCGATGGGGAACATCTTAGTTGAATTCAATTTGTTTAATGAATTTTCTTATCATCAGGTAAAAGATTTGATCCAACAATGTACATCATCTTTTTATAAACAAATAAATCATAATTGTATCAATTAACAAATAAAAATCATTTGTCGTGTCATATGTGAGGTTGATTGAATGTTAGATCACATTGTAGACGATCATCAACTGACAGTAACATAAAATCATCAAATACTAAATAAAGTAGAAATGATGTTCTCATGATTGATGACTTCTCATGTTATAAAGCATTCAAAATATAAAAGTCAAATCAGAATTCATTAGATTTCAGGAATGTCATACTTATGTAGCTTTTTTTTAATAACTTTTTTGTTTCATTGTCTTCAATCAGCTCGATCAGCGTGACTAACATCACAAATTAAGAAACAAATTTTATGAAGTATTTTTTTATTTCAGCCTGCCGAAAGCGCCGAGCCTGCAGCAGTTGAAGCTTAAAATCTCTCGATTCTTGCGACATATCTACAACGATCCTAACTATTTTATAAGTTGTTCTTTATTATTTTTTTAAAACAAATTTATTTGCTCTTCTCCAATCTAATTACCAATCTGCAATATCAAACAATCTTTTATTAAAATTGATCCGGCGAAAATATTGATGAAATATTTTAAACTTTTTTTGATTTGTAAATAAATTGCAAAAGAAAGAAAAGAAAGTAAACCAATTTTTGACATTGATTTTATTTACTTAATTATACAATAAAGTTTTAAAAAATATTTCTGTTGATATCGTGAAGCTTTTGTTTGTTTTAGTATTCGTTGAAATCCAATAAACTGAAGAAAACTTTTATCATCAAACTTGTTTGTGTCTTCACTTAGTCTCTCCAAAAGCTTTCAGCAAATTTCATTCCAGTTTTGCATCTACAACAACATTTATAATAAACCGACCACGTTGTTACTATGTTTACATCCTTTTCGCGCAAGTCAATCTCACATTGGAAAGGAATGCAACAAGAGAGAAAAGAAGCTTTTTTCCTTAAATTATTTTTGCTTTTAGGAGTCACTTTGTTGTAGAATATTCTCATATGAAGTTGGAAAAACTTTTGCTCAGGCATAATTTCGAGCACAATGTTAACTAAAGTTTATTTTTTTGCAAAAGTAAGTGAAAATATGAAAAGTGAATCAAATAATAAAAGCTTTGATTATTGGCATGTTCTTAAATACATTCGGATAATATTGGAAAAGTTGTGTTGAAATATTTTGCGGGCGATTAAATTGCTACACTGAGAAAAGAAAAGTTTACAACCTTGTAGGCTCGGCTATTGGACACATTGAAACGCTAGGGCATTCACACTAAATTCAACGATTGCAGGCTTCATTTAAGTCACCAAAAAGGGCGAATAAATAAAATTTTCTGAGTTCAATATGAACCTCCCACGTTTGATATTGCCACAAGCAATAAAATTCCTTCCTACTTGTGATAAAAAAATCGTTCTTGACTTGTTATCAATCATAAAGCGTATAATACACCAAAACATGAAAGGAAAACAAAAAAAATTCGTTTAATAATGTATCCATCAAGATTTAAACTTCTTTTTCTTTAAATTTTTCTCCTTTGTTTGCTAAGGATCTAAGCTTTATTGAGATTGTAAATTAATAATGTGACAAAAAAATTCACGGAAGGATAATTCTTCCTTAGAACGTTAAAAATTCAGAGACATGCAATATTTAATTGCTAGAATTGCTATGCAGATTTGGAAGATAAAGCTGAAAATTCTAGGAAAATTCCATTGACCTCTTCAGTAATGTTCAATAAAAATCGAATTCAAATTTATTTATGTCTTTTAAAGTTCTATGAATATGAAATCTCTTTAATTTGAATTCGGTGAGACTTGCAAATTTAAATGATTTACGCAAACATTTCTGAGAAACCAAATTTCAATTTTATTGTGTTCATCAGACTGAACACATGATGGTTTTCCTCAGAACCAAAGCATTGAGTGTAAAGACCTTTTTTTTACAAGAAACCTTTTCATACTCGGTTAGCTTTAGTGTAAACATAAATAACATACTTCATTTATCTGATTACTTCACATGATTTGTGTAAACTGAGTTGACAAAAAAATTTCTTTTATAATCCTTGCCTAGTCTTAAAAACGGAAAGTTTTTGAAGGAAACCAACTTATAATTCCATAAAAAGTTGAATCTACGTCATGATGCTGCCCGTTTTAAGCGTCATTGCGGTCATAATTCTGTTTGTGTTAGCCATTTATCGCTTTTTGGGGCCACGTGTTCAGCATTCATGGTTTTTCTCAAACGGTGAAGAGAAAATTGGATTATCAAAAGATAAGCTTTATAATGCAAACGGATATATTGTGAGTATCTTTTGTACCTGCTTTATTAGCTAAATAAAGTGAAAAATGATAAATGACACAATAAATTGAAGTGGAGAATTTTCCTTCATTTTTATTCATGAACATTAAATATTCATTTCGTGCAACAGGTTCATTCAGGGTCGGATATCTTATTAGGAAGTACAGGAAGTTTCAAGAGATTCGATTCTGTTGATAGGAATGCACATGAAGGAGAATTAGTTTATGGTCAAACAGCACTTGCTACACCTCCTTGGAAAACTGACGAAGCAATCCCACCGCAACCGCTTCGACCTGCACCATATCAATTGCCATTAGTAATGAAATCCAAGAACAAAAATCAATCACATAGTCAAGTTTCGAAGCAGGAAAGTCTTGATCCAAAAACTGTTTCTGGACCGTTGAAATCTGTACCACGACCCATTCCTAAAAAACAATTATCAGCACCTGCTTCGACATGCCATATACCTTTCATAAATCCCCCAGAGAAAGGTTTTCAAAACTCTGTTAAAAACATGCAAACAACGACAACAAATCCTTTTCTAAATGGATTGATTAACTTTGAGTCAATAAAAAGTAACTTCTTCTCGACAAGTGTCACAACAACAACCGAATGGAAAATTGAAAATGAACGTCAAACTAAAAGTGCTTTTGTATCGAAAAATCCTTTTATAACAACATCTTCGGAATCTGATTACAATAATGTTTTTGATTTCAACCCATCAACAATAAAATCCATCATGGAAGAAACGCCGGATGAAGGTTATTTGGGTGATAATGATGAGAACGACGATGCTGACCCTTTAAAACAATTGGAAGAACGAATTCAGAAAATTGAAGCTTCAGGAAAGCAAAGACGGAAGAGTAGCGGAAGCGGAACTCCACCTAGATTTTCACCGAAAATGTTAAACAAATCAGGAAACGGACAGAAAAGTGATCTAAATTCCGCTCATCTTCCGGAAATATCTCCAAATGTTAATGAAAAGTTTGTTGACTCATCGTTAAACGAAGATTGCTTGATTCAAAGCTATCGAAAACATATTCGAAATCGATCTTTATCAGAGAATGAGACGGGTGAATTGAGTCAACATGGCGATTATGACGACCAACTCAGTCCCATTATCATAGCACCGCCATCAACAACAAATCCCTTTTTAAATGGAAAAAGACTTTTGAAAACACCTTCAGAAACTTATCTTGAACAATATTCAATGATGCGTGCAAACAAAAGTGTGAATAACAACATCGCACCAATCAAGACTATGCAGCTATGCAAGCATCCTTCGCTTAATAAAATCATTCAAAGTTCACAGCAGACGTTGCTTGAAAATAGCGACTCGTGTCAAAACATGTCAACCATGAAACGTGCTCTCTCATCTGAATCAATATCATCAGAGTCTTCGGTAGTTATGAGTACTCTTGAACGAACGATACCTCCTGTCACAGGCAATTTATGTATTGCTTTACAATATGACAAGTAAGTGTGGGTGTTGAATTTTGAATATAATGTCATAGCAAGAAAATATCCCGAGAATCTTCTAATTAGTTGAAAATGAGAAATGTTATTCAACATATTCATTAAACATTTTCCCTTGAAGCAAATCAATTGATTTCCATTTCGAAGGCTCAGATTTCCTCTCATTCCTAAATCGTAACAGATTTGATTACACGTGTATGTTGTTAATGAATAAAAAGAAGAAATTGAAGCAAACAGAGAAACAATTTTCTGTTGGTTTATGGAATTTCTTATGTAATTTTTTCAAATTGTAATCGAATAGGAAAGCACATCTGGTTTGAAACGGTCAGAAGTCTATTCAGTCTTAAAAGGTGAAAGCTTAATGAAAGGTTCAAAAGACTTGAAATTTTTGGGGTTGTTTTACAAATCGAGAAAATATTTTTCTGTCTCTTAATAAACTCAATTTGTTGAATTTATGAGAAAACTTTTTCTTACTTTAATACTGCTTAAGGAAATATCTCAATCGTTATCAATTAATTACGTTGACGTTTAATGCAATTAAATATTCAAAAAATCAATTAACATCAAAATCTTCTGGAAAGTTTTTGATTGAAGTCTGATGAAACTGTCAAGAAAGTTTTAAGAAATTCTTTCTAATCATTGAATTAAATTAAACCACAAAATGTGTAAAAAGCTTCCATCCAGATTTTAGCGAAATTTATTCGAAAGAATCTAAATATTTAATTAGCTTTCTTCTCTAAGTTAGAGCTGAGTTCAAGGTTCAAGGTTCAAAGTTCGAGAAATTCTTTAATAATTTCGTCTGATATCAAAATCAATATTTGTCTACTTCAAAACAAGTGTTTTCGTTTCCTCTCGTTGATTTACAAATAAATTTAGATTGAGAAAAAGTCGCGATGAAATTTATCCACCAGTTGCTTGTTTTTCATTTTTCTGATTTTTCTACTTTTGATTATAATCAAATTTACAGGCACACAGCAACAGAAGAAGGTTGTGAGCTTTTATGTACAATCTTGGAAGCGAAAGACTTGATAATTCCAGCAGATGCTGACCCAGATCACGTTGACACCTTTGTGAGAGTTTATCTTGTTCCAGACGAGGCGGAAGCCATGCAGACGAAAATATTCAAAAGCTCAAGACACCCAAGTTACCAGGAATTATTTGCTTTCTTCATAACAAAACAAAATATTAAGAGATCCCTATGGTTTCATCTTTATCATACCAACGTACAATGCACAACTCTTATTGGTAAATAAAGCTTTCATACATGTCTATGCAGAGATTAACAAAGATTAACTTCCTAGGTGAAACTGAAATGAAATTAACTGAAATCCGCAAACCTTTAACAACTTGGCTTCAGCTATCAGACTCGAGAAATAATTGCACGAGTTGGGGAGATTTAATGTTTTCACTTTCTTATTTACCAACAGCTGAGAGGTGAGATTATTAATGAGATGTTGATGAAAGCTTTCTAAAGTTGCTGTTTTTGTTGATTTTCACAGACTCACAGTGGTTGTCGTTAAGGCTCGAAATTTACGACCTGAAATTGATGAACATGAAGGACGACGTGATGTTAAAACTGATATACAAAACGTCTTTGTAAAGGTAAGAAAATTAATTCTCTCATCATTAAAATGGAATTAAAAATAGTTTCGTCACATTTAGCATGTGAAGACTTTTGACATCCACATCTGATTGCCTTCTGTATCTTCCATGATTATGCGAAAAAGATTTAAATTTTATTTCCTTTTGAACCCATCTCAAGTTCTCTCAATTTCATGTTCTAGAATGAAAGCCTTTGAGAGTCTTTTAACATTGTGATGGGGAAGAAAGAAGATACTTTTAATGGATTATAATTTTTATTCTCATGACTCTTCAACTCATTAGCAAATAAAGTCTGTTAAATATCTAAACTTTTCTTTACTCCTTAAAGGTTTATTTGCTTAAAAATGACAGAAAAGTTTCAAAGAAACGAACAAGTACGAAACGAGGCGAAATAAATCCTGTTTTTAATGAAGCGATGATGTTTTCTGTTCCTCCATATATGCTGAACTCAATTCAAGTACGATTAACAGTGATGAATACTCAATCACCGTCAGATAGTTATGAAAGTCACCGCAAATCACTACCAGTTGGACATGTAATTGTTGGAAGTCGCACTGATGGGAAAGGATTGTTGCATTGGCATCAAATGATTACATCGTTGAGAAAACCTATTGCGATGTTTCATCCTTTAAGACGAAGCACTAAGAAGACTTCAACATGTTGAATTTCAAGATTATAGATAGTTAAAACTTTTGATAGCTTTATGAAAATGTTTTGAAATGTTATCAGTAAGTTATTGTGACTTCCTTCTCTTTCCCCTCATAAGACATGAAGAAGTAAATGTTGATGGTGGAAACTTTGTATCTATCAGAAAACTTATCTGAAATCATGTGAGACGTTATTCGTTAATAATCATTTATAACATCAACCAATGCGTATTTCTCTGTACACCAATAACTGAATTATCTGTCTTGAAATCAGCAAATACTACACAGACATATGTTTATGAACATTCATGACACGTTCCCGTAGTTATAAAAACGAAGAATACGATTTGTGTTTACTGTACGATGTTGCGGTCGTAAACAATAACATAACTTCATTGTGCTTAGAATATTTTCTTATGAAAATCTGACGGTGTCTCAAATTTTCTTTTATGTTATGAGAAAACGTTCATAATTAAAGTTTGGTATTCTTACAATAATGTAATAACAAAAAAAGTTTACATCCAAAAGAAGGTGAAAAACTTTTTCATATAGCAGGAAAATTATGAGCGTTCTTTAAGTAATTCTCTTAAATAAGTATTATTAAAAAATATACAAAATCTTTCTCATCGTTATCCACTTGTACCTTCCATTTTAACATCATAATGAGTCGGTAGAAGAACTTCGATTAAAAAACATATCTAATTGAAAATCAATTTCCACTTCAAGATGATATCTTCGCCTCGCACACCAATTATAATTTTTCTTTCAAAGCATTCAACTTCAAAGTGATGACTGATAATTTAATGCTCACGGCGACTAGATATATCAGAGTTTTGTTATCGATAGCAGATGAGAATTCAGACAAGATAAAATCAATAAATTCATTATACAATATTACAAGCTTTTACATCTGTCGAGAATTCACATTCAGACATGGAAATTTTTGCCTATCTTAAAGCCAATGAAAAAATGACAATAAAAATGAAATAAGCATTCGTTTTCATATAAATTTTCTTCTTTCTTCCAAAAGCCACGTAAAACCTTCAAGACATTTTTCTAAAGGAATCGTTTCATATGAATGTCACTGTAAAAATGGTTAGTTGAAAATTCTTGTTGAATGTTTGAATGTACACGAGAATCGTGGATATGATGAATTGAGTTTGATATACGACGCAGTTCAAGGTGACTTCAAATCATTCCTTTTTGAGTCACGGAAAGTGAAAAGCAACAGTTTTGAACTTCATATCTTAAATTTAGATTCTCTTTGATATCTAATATAATAAATTTTGTACTTTTCTATCAACTTTAATAAAATATACAATTTGATGATTATGATAACTCGTTACTGACATTATAAATCGCTGTTAGACTATAAAATATTAAAGACATAAAGCTTTAAAAACGCTGGTTAGTTTCCTTACAAAAGATATCGATTTTCGGGAATTCAAAATTCCGCATACAGCCTACGAAACATATTTTTTGCTATCTTAAAAAGATTGTCAAAGGAAATAAGGAAATGTTATGCAATTTATTTTTTCTAGAGGTTCGAAAAATGCTTAACATAAAATTGAAATGATTTTTTTCCTCAATCCCAAATTTCAAACATTCCCTAAAACATAAAGCATAAAACATAAAAATCTATTTGACTTTTTTATATATTGGAAGATTTTTGTATTTTATGAATAAAGTTAAATGTCGGAATTGGTCGCATCTATTGTGAGATTTCATTTCATAAAACTTCATTCTTGACATCACTTGGTTCGATATTTTCATCTACATAAATGTGTTCGATATGTTGAACAATATGTTACTGAAATGTCATTAAAATGAATCTGATTTTTTAATTAACTAGATACTACCATGGTATCTTTACATGAAATATGTTTTATTATTACATAAATATATTGTCTATACTCAACAATAAATAAAACTTCAACATGGAGATTAACGATTACAAAATTGCAACAATAAAAATGAAATTTTACTTGAAAAGTTATCAGACCGAGAAAAGACTTTCAACTATTTTATTGTTATTGCAGGGCATCTAAAGCGATAAGTGCTTCAAATTTCAAAGTGAAATGAAGCATCAGGTGCTCGAGATTCTTCTGATCAACTCGAGTTATTCTCGCAATTGAGAGAGATTTCTTCGACGATAACTTAAACATTCCTTCAAACATTTCGATAGCTGTTGATGAAAGTGTTTACATGGCAATAAAGACTGCCATTGATATTCAAACTGAGTGTTGATATCAACCGTCTGAAGAATTCAACTTAATTCGCCTGATTCCTTTGTGGGTTTTATTCACACAAAACGTTGAAGCAGAATAAAAAAAAGGCGCATAAAAGCGTGTTGAAGTTGATTTCTTTATAAGAAAATTCTTTTTAAGAGGATTCTGTTGAGGGAACAAATGTCAGATGAAAATTCGTTGTCATCCAAAGAGAATCTTTTCAAGCTTAAACTTTTGGTTTCAGGCTACAATTTAAAATTTTCCATCATTTAGAAAAATATTATTGGAAATTTCTATCAACGACTTTCAAGGTGAAACATAAATTTTTATCATTGAAATTCAGTAAAGCAAAAGAATTTTCTTGCTACATAGTTGAAAATCAATAAAATTTAAGTTCAATTCAAATCTCAGGTGTGGATTTAAATCAGCAGCAACTTTGCAGTATTTCGGTCAAGGTAAAGTTTAAATGTTGACAGGAAAAATGAAACAAGACAGGAAAATGATAAAACACCAAGGAAATGTTTTGTTTTATTTATGATGAATGCTGACAGCTTTATGAACATCTTTCCAGGGAATGAATACAGAATGAAGTGATTTTAAAGTAAGATATGTTAGCTTTGTTACTGTGATAAAATGCATAAGCAAGACTGTTCAAGAATAAAAGCACCAATCGAATATAATCTTATTAAAAACATTTCTCACTGTTTTCAATTTTTTAATTAACTTCAGCCTTTGAAGAATAAATTAAACTAGATGTACATTTTTTACAATTATCAGCAACAAGTTAAAACAACAAACGACTCCACAATCTCAAACATTTTTAATAAATTTTAATCTTTTTGAAATTGAAATCAAACATCAAAAAACGAAATTTACATAATTTTTGGTTAACAATTTTTTCATCTTTCAAATGTGAATTAACACAAATGATGTTAGTGCAGTTATTTGTTCAACTTCAATTGAAACTTTTATTTCAGAACTCATTAGAAATTATTTATTTATTTTAAGATGCGCAGTTAAAGTAAAAAAATGAGAAAATATCTGTTAGTTTCGTTTTATTTGCAAATAATGATAAGCATGCACATTATTTTCTCAAAAACAAAATTCCTACGTAGTTCACTTCTAAGAATATCTAAACAAAATATTCTTTAAAAAAGCTATTGCTGAAAATCATAGAGTGAATTTTTTGCTTATAAAGCTTGAAAATAACTTAACATGGATGCAAATCTTTCTAAAATTCAAAGAATATGGTTGGGAATAGCTTCGAAAGAATTTGGAAAAAATGATTAATCTTCCTTTAAGAATTTTCCTGAAAATAATTAATAAGTAATGAATTATGATGTTATAATTTTTAATAAATTGGTTGATACACGATGCGCCTTTCTGTTGATGATTCTGATTTGTGTCTCTGGTTATAGTGTTCCTGGTTCTGCTTCTGGTGTTTCTGGTTCTAGTTCTGGTGTTTCTGGCTCTGCTTCCAGTTCTGGCTCTGGTTTCGGTTCTGGTGTTTCTGGTTCAAATGGTTCTGGTGTTTCAGGATCTAGTTCTGGTGTTTCTGGCTCTGATGCTTCAGGTTTGGATGTTTCTGGTTCAAATGGTTGTATCGCTAATTTCAGTTTTAATTTTTATCATTTTAATTGCGATTTTAAAAGGAGAACGAAATAAACTTACACGTTGGCAGAAAAATTATCGCCAAAGTTAAAATTAATATCCAAGTGGTTTTCATCTTTTAATTACGAGATGTGAATTGATACTGTGAATATCATTTAGTTCTCAGTTAGAAAAAAGTTCTCTCATCACATCTACAAGAATTGAGATATTTGTTCGTGTTGGAATATGCGATTGTATATGATAGCAATCTGCCAAGCAACAATGCAAGTCTTTCAGTGCACTAATAAGTAGCCTGACTGACACCGACTAGTCTTTTGCATTGGAACACTTCGAGATTGTATGGTTCTCAAAGTGAATATACTCTACCAAGAGGAAATAATAACTTGTAAAGTGAAGGAATAATACTATTAATATAGGAATACAACGGAATATGAACTCTCAATAGTTCGAGAATTCTAAACAGAGTTTCAACTCTTATCTTTATCACAAATTCAATTTTTCACTTATATATTTGAGCCTTCTTCATAAATATTGAAATGGTTCTTTCAAATATATTGTTTGCTTGTTTACATTTTTATATTTATATCTTGAATGCTTCTTAATTTCCATCATCATCCGTTTCATGAAATTCTTTAAATTTCAAACAAAGTAAATCTGAAAATCGAGCTTGCAGCGACGAAGATGTTCAATATGAAGATGAAGGTTTTATCTGGGTCACTGTGGAATAAGGATGAAGAGATTATTTCCCTGATGGTTGGTAAGCGGAAATGTAGAATGAGTAACGTGTACACAAGCCGGTAGGAGAAGATGTCAAAACAATTAAGGTTGAAGCACAAGTATCATCGATGATGTCAATCACAAAACAAATCGAAAGTTATAAGAAGAAATCTATTGTCACACAATTCCATTTTGTAAAAGCTTAGTGTCTTGTCACTTCTTGATGATGATTTCATTGTTACAGAATGAGTCACAGAACATCTTTTTTACAAGATGAATTCAATTTTTTAAATGTAACCTGATTTATTTGACTTGCTGTTATTAAATATTTATCAAAATTTCTCTTCCTTAAATTTAATACAATAAAATTTTAAAGTCATTCAGATCAATCTACAAGTTGAATGTCGAAGTTTAAGAATTGAAATTTCCTTACATTCATAAACAACAATTTTTTCTCATACCTACCAAATGTTTCCATGAAAAATCTCATTACGCATCCTTGAAGAGGGTAAAAACAGCAGAATTGAATTTACATATTTATATTTTCAATATTTAAATTAAATATGCTTTCATTAGATATTTATCCATGTATCAAATACAGTTTCAATAAACAAATTATTGTCTTCCTATGATTGATTCAATAGAAAAGGAAATTTTGGGTCTTGTTTGAGTTTCAGGTTCAATTTTGATTTGTTTTGATGATGCTTCAATGCTGGAGTAATTAAAAGGGAGATATGGTGCTGTCACTAATGGTATATGTTGATTATATGATAAGCAATAATTCGTGAACGTTGTCTCCATGAGCTCTTGATCGCCAAATGATCTTCTTTTCCTCAATCGGTCGTTGAAGGGAGAGTAATATGGAGAAATGCAATCTGAAATATAAATAGAGAAAGGACACTCAGTTATGTTACAATTTGAAACATTTAGACCATAAATATCCTGCTCATGTTTGGGTTGAGTTCATCCATGAAATGATTTTTTTAAGTTTCATTGAAAATTGGTTGAGATAATTGGAAGATGGTGAAATATTATTCTTTGAAATATATTAAATATTTAATTTGCTTCTGAAGAGAAACACATGCGTAGCCAAATGAAGTGCCAGAAAGTCTGGTGTGACACATTTCTGTTCTTCTTTTCCTTTATGCTTCCTGAATGAATTTGAAAGAATGTTTGCTTCTGATTCGATAGTTTCAAAATTTTGTTGAGAAGTCATAAAAGAACAGCAATCAAGGCATAGTTCAATAATATGCACATGTGACATGATCTTTGCTGTTGTCATTTTTGTAATACGATACAAGTTTTTGTTTTTGTTACAAAAGATTTTTATGAGTTTTGTCACTTTTAAGCTGCACAAATTTCAGTTAGTTGAAGTATAGAAAACTCATAGAGAAAGTTGGTTTTATGTTTTGTTATTTTAGGAGAAATAAGAATCTTAAAGATAAATTTAATTAAGAGTCTTCGATATTTTGACATTAGTGTTTGGACTTGAATTTGTAGCGAAAAACATGTTCAAGGATCTTCATCGCATTTAATAAGAAAGTTCACAATTAATCCAAGATTACATTGATGCTGTTGATCCACAAATATCAGCAAGATAATTTTAAATTAATTAAGCATAATCAATTCACAAGAACTTCATGGACAGTCGACACTGTTTGTTACTGATCAGAATCGTAAAAGTGGTTGCTTCTATTTTATATAATGCTTATGCCATTGTTAAAATATTTGAAAATTCTCTTAGACATTTCCTGTTCTTCTTGCGATTTTCAGTAAAATATAAAAAATTAAAATATTCTCAAACTCTCACCTCGTCGTTCTAAAGTAAGTGAAATTTAAAAGATTGATGTCAGGAGAAAACAGTGAAGAGTTTATGGACAATTTTTTTTAAAGCAGCGGGTGATTGAGTACACATGTTCTCACATCACATTGATGAAATTCTTTCTCGACAGTTCAAGAATTTAAAATATAAGTTCGTTTATATGTAAATCATTTCGTTCTCTTTATAAATAAAGTATTCTCGCGATATTGGATGCTTAAAGAATCATTAGAAAAATAAAAAACAATTAACAATCATAACAAATAAACACAGTTTTTTAATGATGTTTCTTTTGATAAATAACAGTTGAGAGCTGAATGAGATCTAAAGACAAGAAGTCGGGTCGAATCAAGCATAAATGAACGAGAAATGTGTTTCATTTAATTTCAAATAAAAAAAACATGTAAGAAAATTTAAAAGGCAAACACAATTTGCTACTTCATTTCATTCGTTGATGCTATGTGATCTGATTTGGTTGAAACTTTTAGTATTTTATGAAAGAAACACATTTTCTTCTTCTTTTCACTTAAATGAAGTTTTTTTTCCCCTATGCATAAATTAACTCATATTAAGTGAGTCGGAAAATGTGTAATTAGTCATCTTAACACAGATTTGTTGTTCTTACAATTAATTTTTTGTGTGTTGATCTTCACACATCACGATTGAGATGATCATTGAGGGAAGGGTTTCGTAATATGATGTCAAGTTTTAGAATGTTCAAGGAAAATTAATTTTGTTATTTCTTTGTTAGTTGCGCATTTAATCATTCACCATGGAAGTTAATCTGAGAACTCAAAGCTTACCTTTATTAATCCAATTTTTATTGTAATTCAATTGTTGAATATTTTTAAGCTGCTTTTGATAAGCTCTTTTGTGTGCTAATAAAGCTTCCATATTTTGAATTTTTTCAATATACTCGACAGAGTTGAGTTGTGAGGAAGATGAGGAATTCTGAGCATTTTGTTGCCGTCTTAAAGCAACTTGGGCGGCCATCACTCGCTGTCGCTCAACAACTAACAAGCAATTTGGACATTTACAATCCTTCCATTTGCACAGTTTTTTGTGGGATTTTAAATTTGAGATTATTCCGTGATTTCGACATCTGAAAACATATTTTGAGATAATCACAAATTTAATTTTTCAAGAATTTATAAACTTTAGAACACTTTTACTCTTCAACTATTCGACACAAACCTCGCACATTTTGGTGTTCTTTTTGATAAAATTTCACTTTCCATAAATTTCTTCACATTTTCACTCTTAGAATTTTCATTAATCGACAATCTTTGCTTCGGCAAACTCGTCATCTTTTTGTAATCCATGATACTTTCCTTTATTGTATCACTTATTCAAATTAAATTTTTAACCTTTCGACTCCACTTGTCTCAATAACACTCAAGCTCTTAAGCGAGATTAACTGTGAAAATAATAAATTGGAATCTCGATTGTTACAAAGCATTCCAAACAATGATGGAAGGGGAAAGAAAAACTTCTTTTAAAAATATCATTGGCAGATATTTTTAAAAGAAGAAGAGAAGAAGAAGCATCGAAAAGAAAGAAAAGAAATCGTAGGTGGAGTTAAAATATTGTAACAAAATCTATGAGTCTGTTTATTTGACGAATGTTTTATGATCCATCAAATAATGTTATTTTCCATGGTTTAATTAATTTTATCGCGCTTTGATACTTTTCCATTCTATAATTGTAAATTGATAGGATAGTTCGCATTTCTCTACACCAAGTTGAACAATATCCAGAGGCGATCACGTTGAATGAAAGAAAATATTTTATGGAAATTTATCTTTATTTTTGTTACATAAAATCAACCGATAAACATTTTAGGATTGATAAATATTTTTTCTTTAATTCATTTCTATGCTTGAATTTTAATTCGAGATTTTTAAGAAGTGAAAAATGTTTTTCAATAATAAACTCAACGATCACAACTTGTTCATGTTTCGATTTTTTATTTATTTATTTTGAATTTAAATTATGTTTGGAAAGGAAATGTAAATGGAATGACAATTAAACACAGAAGAAAACTTCTAAGTACGTAAAATATTTGTTAGAAAACTTCAATAAACAAGAAGAAAATTCTTTTAAGTAAATATTTAATAAAAAAAAACAACCAAAAATGAGATTTTTGTTACAGAATAAAAAGAGATTTAAAATGATTGTCAAGTCAATCAATTTTTAGATTCGTTCGAAATTTCAACTAATGCCAAAAGTTTTTGTCGCAACTTTTTATCATTACAAGCACAAACTATCAAACCTGTCTTGTGCTTCAAACTGTAATTGTTTTGTGTTGTGATGAATTCTTCTAAAGCACTTCCCAAGTAAAACGCTTTCAAATATTGATCGACATATTGTTGATGCACTGGATGTTTCATTCCTGATAATTGTTCCAATACTGATAAGAAGTGAGTGAAATCTAATTGCATAAGTGCACGACCAGCAGCTGAACATTTCTTAGCATTCGAGTAGCCTTCAACAAGTACATGAGTTACAACATGACAGTAACTGTCCCACAATGCTTCCTTTGGAATTGTCATTGATTGCGAAATTTCTTCAAGACGAAGGGCAAAAAGTTGCGTTGCCTGTAAACATTTCTTTTAGTCTTTCAATCACAAATAACTTTAATTAATACATACCCGATTAATGACTTCGATATAAGAATTATGTTGAACATTCACATGCGACACATCCCATTTAATTTTATTGATTGCGATGATTGTTGCTTGTATGTCAATTGCTCGTGAAGTGATACAAGTGAAAATTGGCTTTCGCATGTCTTTGACACTCAATTGAGTCTCTTCAATATAACTTTTCAATGATTGTCTCTCATTCGATATTTCTTCATGACTGCTTCTAGTCGAATCGATTAAATGACTCAAATATCCATGTAGGAATGTGAAGTGATGGATTAAGGAGTTACAACTCTCAACCGCATTTATTCTTTTAGCTAAAGCATAGAATTGTTCAGGATCTTTCAAATCTGCTTCGATCATTTGCATTGATGGTGGCCATTTGCGTACTTTTGAAATGATTAATTCCGAAGTTCGTTTTAAATTATTGTTGAGAATTGGTGACAACAATGCATCACCGGAAACCAAAAGATCTTTTCCAAATATCTCATAAACACCATAAATATAGAAATCTATAAGTTCTGTCATGGAATAAATTATATGAGCTGAAATTCCATAGAGAAGTCGACACATTTGCAAATATCGTCCAATAATTCTTAAAATATTGAGACTAGTGTTGTTGACAGTCAAAGATGAAGTGATTTGTTCATCACCAGATGATATTTGATTGACATTTTCATTGTCATTATCACTGCTATCTTCGGAATAATAACATGAAGTCTCATCAGCAATTCCAGCTAAAATATCTTCTTCAATCATTTTTTGATCGTAAAGATTTTCAAAAGGCGAACTTTTCTCGGAGAATCGAATGAAATATCCACAAGATCCATAAATAGAACTCTCATCTTGAGAGTTTGCTGATGAATCATCGATCATCATATCACGACTCTTCTTACTTGGAGAGTTGTTATTGACTGTAAGCACTGCAGTGGTTTCTCCATCACCAGTTTTTTTCTCCAAATAATGTCGTTTCAAAGCACGTTTCACCATTCGGAACTCTTGAAGTTGCAAAACACTACTGAATGATTGCACTTGAATCCAAACTTCATGTTCAATGAATAAATTTACTTCATCAAGACAGGAAATGTGGTAACGTTTGAAAAACTCTGTCGATTGATTTTTCATCACTTCAATCATTTTTTGTGAGTTGTCATCACAAAATTCATTTCCAACTTTTTTCATTCGTTGAATAATCGACAACACTTGAATGAAATTTTCATATTTTAAATGACTTAGTCTTGTGATTTGAATGAAAGTACAAAATTTGGCTTGCATGTCACTCCAAATTCTCAATTGTCCTTTGCGAAGCTTTTCATGAATGTAATCATCATTCAACAAATCTTCCTTCTGCTCTTTCGATGACGACGATTGACTACATTTGTAGAGTTTATAGTTTTGGTGCCACAATTTCACTTGATAATAACAAACAAGAATCCTCCAGAATGATTTACTGAGTTGTGCAAGACACGGAACGAGATTATCAAGTCGAAGATTTTCACACATTTGCTCAAATAATAATTTTTGTTCGGTCGGTATTTGATCGAGATTTTCTTTTAAAACATTAAAAGCTGTCGTGTGAGTTGCTGATATGAAATTCATGTGAAGTTGATCCATTGCTAGATGCGTCTTTCCAAGAAGTTTATAAGCATTAATAAGTTCTGAATAAGTATTCGAGTCGAAGTTTTGTGTGATTCCATTGAGAGCGTTATCAAGTGAAACTTCAGTCAAATCCAAAGTGTCTTGAAGCTTTTGTTTCAAAGATTCTGTACATGTAAACTCAATATATTGCTCAGATTGATTCTTGTTTTGTAACAATATTTGAATTGCTTCTGAATAGCTTCCAGACTGCAGAAGATTGTTGATTTTTTGATTTGTCAATTTAAGTTCTTGAAAGAATTTTAAGATTTCAAGAATATGAAGAACTGTTTGTCGCTTCTTGTAAGCTGCTAAGATTTCGAGGCTTGAAGTTGCCAAATGTTTTTTTGCGAAGCTAAGATACGAACGTGCTTTCTGACAAACCCACATAGATTCTTGAACAATTTTTTCAGTCTGATTGATATTTTGGAATTCTAAATTGCACTCATTTCTTTTCTCAAGAATCATTTGAAGAGCTTTCTTTGAAATAACTTTATGTTGACTTTTAAGCTTAGCCATTATTTGTTCGATATCCTCAACATCAAAGTCTTTTCCTTTTTCTGAAAGTTTCTAAATAATCCATGCAAAATGTAAGAAGATACGAAAATTAGGAAAATTGAAAACTGTAAAAAATCAATGAAAACTTACTTTCAATTCATAAATACCAGTATCAACATCTTCTGTAAAATATATAGCTTCTGTGGACTCCAGAATCTCTTGATCTGATAATTTTGTGCTTTCGTTACTTTTAACACCGTCAGTTTCATCTTTTTCACTTTTGGTTCGTGTGTTGAGATAGGATTGGGGAACAATTGAAATATTATGGATATTGTGATCGGAAAACCCCATCTGAGGTATTTGAATAGGTTGCTAGAAATGAATAAAAGCAATTGCTTAATAAATATTTCAACATATAATTATACGAAACCTACTTTCAACAAATTGTCTTTTAAATTTTTAAGTTTAAATTTTAAGTCCCCAACTTTCTGCATTATTCGGCTTTTTACTAAACTTTTACACTATGTTTACATAACAAACAACAATATTATACTTTAAAATATAATGGAATCAATTTTAAGATAATACAATGTTGTCTTTTAACAATAAAACATATTTTTCTTTCATTTGTTTTGATTTTGGATGAAAATGAAAAAAGGCCTGTAAAATGATTACATAAATGTTAGTGAGCGAAAGTTGATGTCATAACATTGTGTGAGTGAATAAATTTTAAATTTATAATAATTTTTTAATTACACATCTGATCTAGTTTCTTCAAGAGTTTATTGATAAATTATTAAAATATGAAGATAGAATAAGAAGTTCATGTCTTTACATTGAAATATTTTACATATGAAATATACATAAAACAGCGAATGTATTAAATAATGTAGAAGTGGACATTCAGTTAGTAAGCTGTAGTAATGAATTGATAGTGGCTTCTTTATTCCCTCTATTGGCTTCAGAAATCGATTTAATGACGTCTTTGTCCACGCTTGGGAACATTTCCATCAAATTAGCGATATCTTCTTCTGTAACTGGCTGTACAGGTGGTGGCTGCTGTGGCACTGCTTGTTGTGGTTGAGCTCCAGGCTGTTGAACATAAACTGGTAGAGCTCGTCCCGAAACGTTTGGAAGAAAAACTACAGGTTGTTGTTGAACTGGTCTCTGAGCAGCAAGCGCTGCTGCTGATGTAAAGCTCAAGACTAAGTCAATGTGTCCTTCTTTATGATCACCAATTTTACCACTCAATGCATGCCTATAAAATGTATCTTAAAAATTTCAAATAAAAACAATCACAAGTTTTTTACCAGTCATCATGTGTCTCTCCTCGTTCGAGTACAACATCAGGAATTTTCACTTCCGCCCATGCTATGAGCTCGTCCACAGTGAAATTGCATTCGTCATAAATTTCGAGGAAGATTTTATTGACACCAGCTGGAAGTTGAGTATGGAAAACTTTATTCCATCTTGGTGTCTTTCCTCCATTAGGATCAGCTTTAATGAAATTAAATTATAATTTGACGATGTTGAAACCAGAAGTTTTCACTTACTTTGTGTTTCATAAATGTAATGACCGACTCGTATCCTTACATATGGATCCATACCTGAAAAAACAAACAAAGATTTTGTATCACCAAATTTATGTGATGATGAGAAGGTTTTAAGAATACTTACGAGTTAAACCATAGTTCTTTGCCAACTTTGCTTGAGCAATCGTGATACTTAATCTTCCAATTGTATTTGCCTGAAATTATCAATATTGATCAATTTATAATAAAGAAAAATAAATAAATAAATTATTTACAGCAAGTCCAATAGGACAGGCATATTGCTGTTGTAAGGCCATAGCTGCTTCTCTATCCACAGATTCTTGAAAGTTCTGTGGTACTAAACGTAGAAAATCTGGTGATAAGCCGATTACAGCCTGATTGATGAAAAGAAAACAAAGGTGATGAGTCACACAATTTATAAAAATTAAATTCAAAAGATTTTACTTTATTCCATCGTTCATTCGATACACCTCCACTCTCCATAGTTATTTGACGTATCTAATATATTATAAGTTAATAATAAAATCACTTTGGCTGAAATATTTGCAGATAATTTAATTTTACGCCGAATTTTCTCGGGAGTTGGAAATGTTTTTATTTTGATTTGAAGACAGGCCTTTTTTGAATCAAAAACTAAAAGTCCGTTAAATTTTATAACAAAACACTAAAAAATTTTAATTTTCTTCTTTAAATATGTTTTTATATCAAAAATTCAATTTTAAAGAAAACATTTCATGTGTAAACATGTGTTCCATTATCCTTGGTAAAATTAATAAGATTCCGCCACTTTTCATCACGATCTAAAACTGACCCTTTTCCAAAGACAACAAGTAGAGCTCGCGCTCTTGAAATGGCAACATTCATCCGTTTTGAACAGTTGAGAAAACCTAAATTGAATTGCTGATCACTTTTAAGATGCTGCGGATTTGTTCGAACTGTTGATACTAAAATAATTTTACGTTCTTGGCCTTGAAATTCCTCAACTGTACCAATTTTAAGTCCACAATCTGGCATAGTTTCAGTAACAATTCGCCTAAGATTTTTAACTTGAAGTGCATACGGTGTAATCTGAAATAATGAAATAATACAATTATGTTAATGGTAATTCTACAAAAAGTTTACGAACTAACAATTCCTATATCTTTCATATCAACTCCAGCCTTCTTAAGTTGACAAATGAAAATGAAAATTTTTGCAGCTTCTTCGTTATTCATCCAACTACAAGATTCGACACTTCGTTGGTTTGTTCCATCAACATTGATAAAGAAAATTCCACATTTAGGTACCGCTGTTGAACGATTCCATAAAATCTTGTCAATAGATTGAAGAAGTTTGATTTCTTCCGAGTCTACATCGTTAATTTCTGCTTCAAGTTCACCTTCGTAAGACAATGTATTGTAGACATGTAAAATGCTTGGAAGTGATCGATAGTTCTTCTTTAATTTTGTGACGAATCGACAATCATAAACATTTTCTTTTGGCAAGTAATATTCATGTTCGGATAAACGTTCTAAGAATGATTTCTCTTGACCGCAAATCTTCGCAACTTGACTAACAATTACTGGTCCAAGTTGCTTTGGATCACCAGCAAGAATCACTTGACCGCGGTTTCTACTCACAAATGATATTGGAATTAATGTGTCAGCTTCTACACATTGTCCCGCTTCATCTATCAGAACATGTGTGAAATGATCTTCCAAAAATTTAATTTGCATTAGTGGACCCAAACTACTCAATGTTGAGATGTAAATTTTATATTGAATAATAACAGACTTCGAACAATTTAATTTTAATCCACATTCCGTCGATGTCATGTTACTTGCTTTTCCTCCATCAAATCCAATGTCAATTGTTGCACAATATTTCTTTAAATGATCCGGAATTAAATTCTTTTCAATCTGATTGAAGCTGACAAAACGAACAAAATCGCCCCCTTTGTAACGACCTGAAGAAATGAGTCGTTCAACAATAATATTTGCAGCAGAATTTGATGGAGCTGCAATAATAATTCTTGACCATGGCATCTTATCTGAAATTTGTTCAATACATTCAATCACAGTTTGAGTTTTTCCTGTTCCTGGTGGTCCATAAATTATGTAAGGAAGTGGACGACAAACTCCACGAAGAATATTTATTACAGCATTTTTCTGATATTTGTTCAACTTCTCATTAAACCAATCATGTTGTTTTCCGTTAATTAATATTTTCCCTTTCGTTGATATTTCAGCATCAACTTGAGGTAATTTATTAGCAGACTTCATTTTGGGAAAAAGAAAATCATATCCTTGTCCTATTTCTGATATAGCAACATTAAGTGCATGATGTTGACGTTTATATGAAGTTCTAGAGAAGAAGAATTGTACGTTGTAATCTTTTCGGTTGTGTGTTTGATGAAAATCTCGATGGAACTTAACAAGAATTGCATTTTGTTCTACTTTGTGAATGTGGCCTTCATAAATTGTTTCCTTTTTCTTATCAAAAGCATCAGACACGTGAATGAAATCTCCAATTGATATCGAAGGCCGCTTTTCAGCTACACCTTCAATTTCAAGACGCAGATATTCTTGTTTGTTCTCAAAGTGTCCACGATCGATTTTATATCTTGAGAAATGAATTTCCATCGCTAATTCTTCCATGAATAGAAAATATCGCATTTTTTGAATGTAATTTAATGGGCTTAAGTCTTCAATAAGAAATGGGAAATTAGGGATGAGATTTTCATGAAGCAAAAGTTCAGTCTGCTTTCTAAAATCTATTTCCCGGAGTTCAGGAGGAATTTCATAATCTCTCATACGAATTTCAATGAATCTTGGCGTATCACGAACTCTTACACCAGGAATAAGTTGTCTGCTCAAACTGAGATGCAGCTGATTATCAGGTTGATGTGTTTCGTTTGATTTCCCGTAAATATGAAGAAGAATTTCGCCTTTTCTCTTAAATATTCCAAAATCTGCAGTTAATTCTTCTTTAAACGAACCACAAGTGTTGCAGTTAATTTTAAAATAAATTTTATAACTCCCTGTCTTGGGTTTCAAAGTGAAATTATATTTAGTTTTATCAAGCTTAATTAAACCATAATTTGATGTGATTTCACAAGATTGAAGAGTTACAGGCTGCGAAGATTCATTAAGGATTTGAACAAACTTAGTGTTGGTATATTTACTTTGTTGACATTCAAAGGGTGAAATGTGCATGTGAATCTTGCTGTACTCATCGATTTTATCAACTTCTGATTTATCCTTGACACTGTTCAAAAACTTTGAAACTCTCCATCTATATTCACGTCCATCTAACATTGTTGACGTTTCAACTGCTTCATACTCATAATAAGATCCAAGCTTAGGTTGTTCACTCGTAAATGCAAAGCTTACAATCACAGATCCATCGATGATAGCATAATTATTTAAAACAGCCGTTACAAGACCAATTTCATGTTTTTCTCGGTTTGGTTTTAAACTTTTCACATCGATTATGTTGCCAAAACATCCATTTGTGGGATTCCATGAATTATCATCATTCTCAATGATGCATTCCAAGCGAAGCTGTGAAAGATTTTGAATAATTTCTTTGTAAATAATAGAAATTTATGAAACCTACAACGTCGCCTTCCACGAAGAACCATTTAAGATCAGGATAATCGTGTAATGGTACAAAAAGCTCTCGATCACTTCCAGTTTCTAAATGAAGAATTTCATCTTGAATTTTGATAATATTGCCAATGATTGTTCTAGATTCAGTAGAACATTCAACGGATTTTTCTGGGACTTTCATTTCTTCAAAGTTTTCAGTCCAATCTTCTATTAACTGAATGGATCTAACAGTTCCTTCGAAAACTGTGAAATTCAATTTAGTTCCAACTCTTATTTTACTCCATTCAACTTCTGTGTAAGATTTCTGGAAATTGTGTTTATAGTTGATAACTCCAGAAGATGTGCCAAGCGATGTTACAACTCCTTTTGTAATGAAACTTTAATTACAACTTTTAATGACTATTTAATTTCACGTTACCTTCATTCCTTGTACATTTATTTAAGAAAGAATCTTCATTTGTATTAACAGCCTGTTTCAAATGATCAGTTGATTTAATTAAGCCTTGGATATCATTTGAACCTCTGAGTTCCTTTAAAATCTCTTCTATTTTCTTATTAGTTTCATCTTCTTGATCTTTTTCAGAGTTGAAGAAATTTCTTCTTAAGTATTTAAAAATTGCAAACATTTCGATTGTTTATTTAATTAAAACTCTATCAATATATTTCAAAATGATATTTATACTATTGAACTCGTTGAACTCTATTAAATTGAATATGTTCAAGTCAATCTCTTTAAATTTTCAATAAATGATTTGTTTTATTTTGCGTCATCAACATCAGATCTTGTTACAATGTCAAATTCCCGCATTTTTTAACAACACCCACTTTTTGAATTTAAATTCTCATTGGCCGTTAAAGTTCATATCTAATATTTTAGCAAGAGAATACTCGCCGGCCACTTACCGAAATAGGTATTTATTAAGACAATCTAAGCTTTCCAGAAAATTAAATTTCCTTTTAAAAACATTGATTTTTTATTTATGTTAAATATTAAATACATTTATTAAAACTTTAAAAGTAAAATATAATTCTAATATTTAATGAACATAATGAGCTTATCTTCTAATATGGGCAGTTTTAAACAAAACTCTGCAATCATTTTCAATTTTCATCTTTTTTATTATTTTTTTAAGTCAATTCAAAATTAATGAAATAATCTGCTGCATTACTTACATATAAGAAGGACAACGTATACTATCATTTTAATCTCTTAATTGCTCTTATTTTCGAGGAACTTTTGATTTCTTTATCTTCTTCTTTCTCAGAAGAACAAAACGACAAAATTGTTTGAAGTCAATTTTCATGGTCCAAAGTAATTTAATATTTAGGATTGTCTCTCAAGTAAGCCTTTTTCTTTGTTTTGAACTTCAGACACTTTCCCCTGTTATAAAACAATTTTTACTGTTGATAAAAATATTTAGATTTAAGAATTTTGTGCAAAACTTACCACCAAGAATATAAAATGCAACTTTTCTCTGGTTTCTAATGTCAAAAATAGACAAATATAAATTGATTATTAAATCAAATAAAATATTAATTGTAAAATAGTTTTTAAATCTTACAAGCACAAAACATTTAATTTGAACAATATTGAAGAAGAGTTTTCCAACCATATTAGCATCACTTGCATCAGCCATCTTCAAGCACGTTCTAAATCTGTATCGGAGTACAAAATCAATTTCAACATTTTAACTTCAGATCTAAGAATTGTTTAATAATAATGTCCTAATCAAAATTACTGTCACTTGACATCTAAATCGACACCGTTTGCATAAAATGCTTTAACAAATAAACATTCTGATTGCCTTCATCAAAATCAATAAAACGCATTCTTTTCACTCTCTAAAGCCTAACATAAAGTCAGCCTGAAATCATCATCAACCAACTTATCGAGTGGTCGCATCTTTATCCTTTTCAAGTGTTAGTGTGTGTAACTAATTGAGTTTGGTGCTCAATATTTTGATCCCGGGGAAAGTTATAGACTTGCTATGGTGCAAGCGACAGGGAAAAGTCAAGAATTTATGGACGGTTGTAAATTGACGGTAATAATGTTGAAGTGTGTTTAGTGTTCCTTCTTTTTTGTCTCTTCATTTGCAGTTTTAGGGACTCTTATGGCAGAAGGATTTTTTCAAGATCGTTGAGATTGTTTTACAGAGACAATTGGGGGGTAAGTTTTGAATCTTTTTTCCATTTGCTTTTGTTCCTTTAGGTTTGACATTTAACAAATATTTGTGACCAACATTTTAAAAATATGTTGAGATGTTTTGAAATGTTTACAAATAGTTTAAGAATAATAATTTTTCATCACAAATCATTTACACAACTGCATTATTGACATCCGAAAATGTTTCTTCTTGTTTGAAGTCATACACAAGGCCGTAAGTGCGTCAATCATTATCACGCATTTGAGAAGAAGAAAGATTTAAGACGAAAGATTTCATTTGATGCCGTTTTTCATACTCATTCTCATTATAAGTTACTAGATTTTTACAGCTCGTTAGCCGTGAAATAACGACCACAATTCTCTGAGAAGTCTAAGCTGACATGAAGTCAGTTTTTGATGGTCGATGAGGAAATATCGTTTGTAATTAACACCAGAGTGATTTTCTGAAGAACTTCCTAAACGACTCCGTTTATTAACACTACATTTTTATAGAGTTTAATCTTATAGGGCGAGAAGCCATCAAAAGAAAATATTAATCAAGCATCAATTTTTAAAACAAAAGAATGATTTGAAGTAGAAATATGAAAAGAAAAAAATCTCCACTCATGAGTGAAATGCGACAAGTCAGCGAAATTAAACTTCAAACAAAAGTATTTGTAATAATAATAAAAATCAGAATCTACGCACTTTCATGCTTATTCGAGTGAATGACTTTTACCTATCGTCACATTTACAATGCATGATCACATTAATGCTCCAGTTAAACAAACTCCATTTCGATTCGAAACTTCCGATCCAGTGTGGACAGAAATCATGACTTCGACAGCATTTGTCTTGAGAAAGAATTTTTTTTCGTGTAGTTAAAATGTAAATTTCAAAACTAGTTTCTCTTTCTAGATATTTGTGATAATTTCTGCATAAGTTTAAGAACATTAAAGCTACCTGTTTTTGAGAAACCACCAATTTCACTATACTTCTGTGCCGACCATCCTTTTCCACACCATTTTGTGTAAGGAATAAGAAAATTATTTAAATCTCTCTTCCGACGAGACCTTGACGTTGAAATGTGGATTTAAGCGATAAGAAATAAATTCAATTTAGAGAAAAAGGATAAAAGTATTGTTTTAAGGAAATTAAAGGCTGCAATTGTATAAATTTCGAAAATAAAATAAAAAGACTTAAGAAAAATCGTGTGAAAATGAAAACGTCAAAACCAACTGTCATTGTCTGATATAAAATAGCCGATAATTGAGTTACTTCACTCATAGACATTGTTGAAATTAATCTTCTTTACACTTCTATCGAACAAATGACTTAAAATTTGTCGCCGAAAACCAAACAGTAAAACAAACCCAGATGTAAGAAGGGTGAGAAAGGGAACCAAACCTAATACCAGATCAAATCGAAAATCAATTAATTTTACAAATGTGAAGTGTTCGAGTATTGGAGGGATGTTGATTTTAACTGATCCTATCATTTGACCAAAGCCCAAAGGGAATGAAAAGAATGCAATGAATGGCAATTAAAATGTTTTAAATATTTCTTTCTTCTTTCGAATATTAACCTTCTATCACATCTGCAATGACTTATTGTAAATGGACGAATATTGAACAAGCCATATTTTGTTTTGAAGCCGGGAATAGTAACTCGACAATGATCATGCTTTCGACAGCATGTATCTGAACTTGAAGGTCCAAGGTCTTTGTATTTGTCAGCAGAACGACCACTACCGCACCATCTCGTTCCAGGAGCTATGAACCAATTGTCAGTCTGTCGTTTCGTTCTAAATTATAAAAATTATAAAAAAGAAGTTTTCCAAAATATCGAATTTATGAAATAAAGTAAGATAAAATGAAATGTAAATGATAAAGCAGCCAAAGAATTTTGCACCGATGAGCATATCGAATGACCATAAATTATCAAAAACTTCTTCATACCTTCCATTCGTATTCTCGACCTTAAATTCCGTTTCATCCTCGCTCTCATGTCTTATTTTGTGTCTGATTTGTTTATGCAGTTGATTGCACTTTTTCTGAATCTGTTTTAAATTCATGAGTTCCAAGAAGCGTTCTGGGATTTCTTGTAACCGATTGAGGTGAGTGAAAGAAATGTTTGAGTTAAGATTGAGAAAATTTCCTTCCAAATTCAGACTTTCTTCATATTTATTATGCTTTATGTATCCAAAGTCGTCAAGTCTTTGATGACGAATAAAGTTATAATCTTCAAGGAATTTGTCCACAAATTCTATTGTAATATCTCCACCATCTTTGAGAAATTCGCAATCGATTAAGCTATCCCCACTGAAAATCAATTGTGCAAACTTTTTCCCATTTGTGATCTGCCAAAGTGAGGTCAATTTGAGTGAACTGCAATAAAAAATGCATTTCAATTAATAATTTATCATGATTCATGAACAATTGAATTACAAATTATTAAATCAAAATTTTAATTGCTCAAGTTTTTCTAACAACAATCGAATTATAAAATCTTTTTTGTAGATTTTTTTATTACTTGATATCCCAAGAGTGTTGGAGAGAAAAATAAAACATCAATAAATTGTCTAGGTTTGAGGCTGTTTTTGAAATTTTTATGGGATTTTTCGTTCTATGTTTTAGGAAGAAAGATATTTCATTCTCTAGTTGTCTGCGACAGCAAGAATGGAAACCTCACAGAATCTTTCGAATCTTATCCCTCGACAATTTCATTTGATTCTCACACACGAGATAAATGAAAGTCAACAACTATTGGTTGCGATCATTAATCAATAGAATCTCTCACCTGTTGGCGTATCTTTCGTCGCTATCCATATCAAGTGTCGTTTCCTTTCCCATGAGGTCTTTCCACTTAAATCTCGTCTCCTTTTCATTATCATTCAGATGGTCAATGATAATGAAATTTTCTTGCAATTCTTCACTGATGCTTTTACTTAAGTCACTTATGCTAGAGCAACTGCTAATTATGCAAAGTATAACAAGCAGTAATTGAGGTAAGAAATTTCGCGACAAGTTTTTCATGCTTTTATGTAGTGCAAATTATGATACGTCAGCAAAACTTAAACAGCCTGTAACGAATTATATTACAGAATTAAATTGGGTATAAAATGTTCCACAATAAGTCATAACAATTTATCGCGTGCTGCCGTATAAGTGTATTTGAAACACATGATTCAAAAATGCGATGATAACCTTGAATTGATTATCAATTGGAATAAATTTTTTACATTTAGCTATCTAAATTCAAAAATCAATATCTAATAATTTGAAATCTTTTTCAATATGATTCACTAATAAAAAATTTTCCACGATAACAATTCAGATAGTCGGTAAATATTAACAGAATGATATGTCACTCTATTTGAAAAGGTTTTATTAGTTATTAGCAAATTTATTTCCTTTTATATTTGAAAGATATAAACAAGAAAACTTCTGGAGATGACGGCAATTTTAAGTAGGTATTAATTTTTACTCGATTGTTCTGTTTCTTGATAACAAATCTATTTTCATTATATAATGAAAAGAGAACCAGCAGACAGTAAATGAAATAAAAATCACAAGAACCAGTTGCAAAATGAAAAATTGTGGTGATAAAAAGAAGCCTCAAGTATATCAGTATATCGGTTTCAAAGAAAATAGTGGAATGAGGTGATCGTTGCTTTGTTACGTCATCTTGTTGTGGCCAATCAGAGTATCAAAAGAGATCGAGCCCACAGAAAAATTAGTCATACGACTTTTCACTGCCAAGTTTCTCGCGAACTTTCGATTAGCATCTCAGTTTATTTTTTTCATTTCTTAATTTTATGTGACTATTTTCTAGCTAGATACTCTTTTTTTCGAAGATAATCACCTTTAAATAACTTTTTCTATTCACTTTATGTTGAATTAAGCTTTCTAAATTCCGAAAACAATTCAAATCTTTATAATTTTAATTTTTGTCAATTGTTATATTCTTCAAAGATAAGAAGAAGAATAAGAAAAAAAGTGTTATCAAACAACAACTAGACGTCTAAACGGTTGAAGAGATTAAACATGACTGCGGGCAACGTGTGAATATCGAGTGAAGAATATATAGAAGGCAAGAAGAAAAAACTTGTGAAGATAAAAATACATTCTCATGCTCAACTTGCTCAACAAAACATCATGCTGTTCAATTGAAGTCTTTTACTAATTTATTGAGAGCAAAAGGCATTGAAAATTACTTACATTCTCTTTAGAGTATTTAATTTGCGTGCTACAAAAATATTTCATTTCTTTACCGTTACACTAATATTAATCAAAACAAATTGTAACTTTACACACTTGCTTAGGTATGTTGTAAGAATAACGAATTTTATATTTTCAAAATTGGGCGATAATTTGTAGGCGATTTAGAAAGTTGTGACAAAACTTGTGCTACCCCTTAAAAATCTGACAGTCACCGATTAAAATAATTCCTTCTTGAGTTATTAACTCCATTCTTAAACTTTAAAAATGGTAAGAATTCATATTAAAGTAACATTCTATAAGTACAATACAGAAATTTTCTTGTGGTTTTTGTAAATGTCAAGGAAATTGCAAATTTAAAAGTTTAACCTTTGTGCAAAACAAATTTGAATTGTAAACACAAAAACAACAAGTCATGCATTGAAAAAAATTAATTCAATATTCCAATTCTTAGTTTCGTAATCAATATGACAGCGATGTGACTGTCTGGAGCCCACAAGGCCGAATCCACCAGGTTGAATATGCAATGGAAGCCGTGAAGTTGGGATCAGCAACCGTAGGATTGAAATCTAAGGATTATGCAGTTCTGATTGCATTGAAGCGAGCAACGTCTGAGCTTTCAGCTCATCAACAAAAAATTCTCCGTGTTGACGATCATGTTGGCATATCAATGGCTGGAATTACAGCTGATGCAAGAATTCTTTGGTAATTTAACAAAATTTACTTAAAATATCTGCAAGTGAAATTAATTATCATCATATTTTTTTTTTTTTTTTTTTTTTTTTTTTATCATCATCATATTTACATTTTTATTTTTTTTACATTACATTACATACATTACATACATACATAAACATAATTAATTGTTTTTTAGCCGTTATATGCGTCAAGAATGTATCAATCATAAATATTCTTATGGTCGGGATTATCCTATTGGTCGTTTGATTAATTTATTGGGTTTAAAAATGCAAGTTTGCACTCAACGCTATGATCGCCGCCCTTATGGTACGCCCCATTCATTTCCCTTTATTATTATAGCAATAACAATAATTCATTTATTATTTCTTCATCAAACAGGTGTTGGATTGCTTGTTGCTGGATATGATGTAAGTTTTAAATCATTATAAATATTCCCCAAATCACACAATAAATAATTTTTTTTCTAGGATCAAGGACCTCACATCTATCAGACTTGTCCAAGTGCAAACTTCTATGATTGCAAAGCGATGGCAATTGGAGCTCGATCACAAAGTGCAAGAACTTATTTGGAAAAGCATTTGAACTCATTTAAGGATTGTGATTTGTACGAACTTATCACACATGGAATTAAAGCTCTCGCTGGTACTTTGCCAAATGAAACGAAGCTTAGTAAACAAAATTTGTCAATTTGCCTTGTTGGAAAGGACACAAAGTTTAAATGTTTGAATGAAGAAGAAACTGAAGCATACATCACTGCTGAAGCATCTCATGGAACTGGACGTTCTGCTTCTGCAAGTGATCCTGCAGATAGTGGAGTAGGTGGAACTGAACGGCGTGAACGTGATCAACCACCACCCCCAAACCCCGAAGACCCAATCCCAGATGTAGCAACCGAAGATCGTCGTATGCAGTAAGCGTCAACATCAGCTTCACATTTGGCAATGGGTCAACTCTCTTCTCTTTTTATAAAAATAAATTTTGCTTGGGTGGAGATTTAGTCAAAAATAATTCCTAAATCTCCACCCAAATGATTTTGAAACACAAAATTCTTTATGTACTGAAATGGCTTCTTAAAAATCATGAAAATAAAATTTCCTTCAATTTTATTCGAAAGTTTTTTCCTTCTGGATTTATTCAAGTTTGTCAATTTAAATCTTAAGAGAAAAAAAAGTTAATTTCCTTTTACAAGATTCGTTGATTGTTTAATATTTGAATCTCACTTTCTTGACTACAATATTTATATGGAAGTTTCGTTCATTTATAAATTCCATCGTCAATGAGTTTCTTAAGAGAAAAAATAGAATTGAAAACAGTTAACAGAATAAGTTTTTGATTGCTAAACGCCAAAGTAACAATAAGTACATAACAAGGTCAAAGGATGGTTCATCATGATGCAGTTGAGTCGGTATTTGTAATTTCTTGTACTATCTCCACATTAACAATGTCTGAACGGCAAATTGGACAAATTTGTAATTGTGATGAACAATTACTGCAGAATCCAGTATGTCGACAAGGTAAAAGCTTTATTGAAGCCGTGGCATCAAAGCAAAGGGTACAAGAATCTTCAGTCACACTCAATTTTCTCAGTTCCTCAAGAAACAAATGGCGTGGGAGTACAACCTTCAACAACAAAATCATTTTTAATTATAAATCCACTAAAACTTTATTTTTGTTTACCTTTTCTTGAGGATCGAGATTACCACAGTCGTTGAAAACGTTGAAGGTACGATTAGGCGGGTATTTGTATGGTTCACCTCCAAAATTAAAACGACATTGTTGGAAGCTCATGAAAGATGCTGCAGGAAAGAAACCATTTCTATGGAAGGGATGAATATTAATTAATTAATAATCTGTAAAAGAAAGTTGAATTTTCCTTACCCTAAATCTGAAAAAATGTCGTCGAGAACAACATTCTCTTCCACACCATCTAAACTAAAGATAATTTCTTTAGTGTCAAGATTAATATAACATCCACATATTGAACCGGCTTTCCATGTAGCCAAATTAATAGGCATTGATTTGGCATTATGCCAAACAAGATTTCGACATCCGTCAAAGCTCACACTGAAGGCATCATCGCCGATTCCATATCCATCATTCGAGAGAAAATGAGATTCCTTTTGTGCCCTGTCATTAATGATTATGATGAGTGAGTTTTAAATGGATGTTTAATTAACTTTACTTACCATCCAATCTGCATAACTCCGCTGGTAATTATCAAACACTCAAAATACCATGCACCTGATTTAACATTGAATGTCGATCGAACAGATTCAAACGAATAACTATCACAACGTGCTTCGAGGCCATCTCCAGAAATCTTCAAATATTCGCTCACATCTTTTGTATTTAACATAACATTGATATGCTCGACATTTGATATCTCGTATGTGTATTTTCGGTTTTCAATCAAAACTATAAAAGAAGAAGAAAGAATAACAAACAAACAAACAAACGATTTTGAGTGACGACTTGATGACTCACAATAATTATCCAAACTCCATTGCGCACAAAAGCCAATTTGTCTCATTGTGAAATCTTTCATTTCATCAACATATTTCTCGAGTCTTAACAGAGGATGTTCGGGATATGACGAGAGTTTTCTTTTGATTGTTGATTTGTTTTCTGCTGTTTGCGCAAATTTCTCTAAAGCTACAAGCGAAAAAAGCATAACATCCTTAGGTGTTTCTTGTGTGATATTCTTCAGAAGATATGAAAGTGTTGTGTCAGTCAAAATTGCTATGGAACAAGGCCCGGCAAGCTTCTCAGCCAGACATCCAAGAATTACGCACAAATTCCGTTCACATGGCGTTGTTGTCGTGGTGTCAGTTTTGATCATTTCTGCGACTTCTATGACGGAGTCTTTGGATGGCAGTGGCGAATCGTCAAGTAAAAGTGTTATTACGGAAGGTCCCATGGGATGATCTAAAGGAATTACACGAATAAGACTTCTAACTAAACAAAGCCATCCTTTAGGTCGATCCGTAATGTCATGTAAGAGCAACATTGAATTAGGTGTCTCAGGATCATCGTTGTCAATAGTTGCAATCACTTCTAATGTTTCTTTGACAAGTTGATCCACTCGTTCTGACAATCTTTCTATTCGTTCACACCTCAAACTGTCAGTTGTGTTGTTTGTGAAAGGCCCCGAGTCGTCTAAAACTTCGTCGTCTACTTTGTCTTTGCATAAGCATACACCCATATTGGAATGATGAAGTTAATAGATGTTAAAGGAAAAGACTTTCAGCTGTCATTATTTGTTTATGGTCCGTGTTTAAAAGCTTTTCTATGTTAATTTTGTATTTTTGTTGTTGCTTTTAATCAGTGCCTTGATTCTATCTTAGATAATATGCAGCTGATTTCAAACATATACTGTAGTCGTTTAAAGAAAGATAAATTATTCTGAAACAAATTATAATGTTTGTTGACAATTAATACTACTTTGTGACACGTTCTTGTTATAATTTTTTTCTTTTTTTTCTCTGTTTTCAATTGGAAATTTTTCTATGAATGATACCCCTCGGTAAATATTTGAAATCAGGGGTACAAAGTTTTCAACAGATTATGAAAACAAAATCACAAAATCTTATCGACTGTTTTGTTTTTATGTTTTTATTCAATAATTGAGTCATCAAAGCAAAATATTTTACATAAAATTATTTTTTCATAGTTCCTAAGCGATTTGGATCTTGCGAAGCATAATGTATGTTTGAGCTTGACGGTCCTGGCATTGCTGGGAGAAACTGTGTCGGGATCTGATGAATCTTCATTCCAGCTGGTAGAACACACATATCAGATGCATTAAGATTGAAGTAGTCATTGGGATTTGGAGGAAGAGGGAGGTCTGGTAAGCCAGGTACGGGATCTAATCTAGGATCTTGTCGTTGGACTGCTGGTGTTGGCTGTTTCGCTTGTGAATATGCCCATCGAATGCTCAACTTCTTTCCTCCCAATACCAACTTATTGAAAGTCTTTTCAGCTGCAAGCTCTGCTGCAGAACGTTTTGTGAATTGAACAAAAGCACATTGTTGTTTCGGCACGAGAGTAACGTTTCTAATTTCTCCATAATGATAAAATTGATCTCGTATATCAACTTCAGTGAGATGATCACCAACATTTCCGACATAAAGTGTTGTAATTGTTTTATCTGATGGAGTTTCTAAAACAGGCAAAGATGCTGCACGTTTCAAAAGCTTATCAGCAACTGGATCATTAACTCCATAGTAACGATCACGAATATTTTGTTCTGATAATGGATCGTCTGGTTCATTCGGCTTCTCATGACGATAAGGACATTCTTCTCCACGTTTGCACTCTCCTTTAACCCAAAATGAACAGATATGTGGTAAGTTCCTTTTGTAGTAAGGAGTTGTGCGAGCCAATTTCGTTAAAACGTCTGATGCTGGTGTCGCTTTTCCCCCGCCTGCGCCTGTTGGCATTTCTCCGCCATTCAATTCTAATTGTTTCTCAACATTCTGCAGATAAAACTCTTTATTAACGTCACTTTGTGGGATCTCATCCTGAATTTTTAAGGCTGCATCGCGAACTTGAGTTGGTAGTCCATATTCCAGATCAAGTAAACATGTTTGACAAACGTTTTTCAATTTTGAACATGTCTGACAAATTTCCGTCTTCTTAAATCGCATTCTTGCACCAGGACACCATCGGAAGATAGTGAATGGACGAGCACAGATCTTACACTCTTTGCCATAACGTTCTTTGATCATACGAACATACGGATTGTCTCCAAGACAAGTTTGACATAGAATCGGAAACTCCTATAAATAAAAACAACAAAATTTAAGAAATAACTAAACTAAATTCTCTTCTAATTATAATTACACTGTCTTCCCAGTTTGCTCGATTATAAGTCGATGTTGTTTTACTCATAGCCATGATGAAGCCGAGTTTTTAATTTTCTATTTTCTTTTTTTGAAATTTTAAGCTTTTCAAGTAAACAAAGTTTAGTTTCAGCATAAAACGATCTCACTTAAATTTCTCAAGGTCGTTACGAATCTAAATTGTTTGTTTATATTCTCTTGAAGCCAAAGATATGATTAAAACTTATTAAAACACTGAATTTCAATATTTTTTTGTTGCTGCTGTTCGATTTTAAAGGGTAGGATAAAATTTTGTCTCCTTAATACCCCTGTAAAAACACGAGGGGGTGTTCATCGTAATGCTTTTTCAGCTGCCTTTAAATTAGCTTTAGTAAAACCTTCTTCATTTACTAGGCATTTGATTAGTTTTTCTTGAAATTTGTCTAGTCTTTTTTTCAAAATGTTGCTGATACCGGCCAAGTTTTTCAGATGAAAAACCCCTTGATTCATCTCAATCAGGCATTTGTCTATCAGCTAATCTCTCTCGGCTCACAATTTTGACTCATTTTTTTGACGTTATTGATATCCTCTAAATTTGCATTGTTTCCATCATTCTTTATTAATTAAAATGTTTTTTTTTCCACACTCAGTTTCGAACCCAGACTCGCAAGCATAATATTTTAAATTTATATACATTATTAGCCGCATCGTTCCCAACGAAAAAAGTTACATTATGCCTACAAATGAGCATTCATATGATATGGGTTCTTAAGTTCGAATCACAGTGAATTGAATTTTAATTTTCTTCTTTTGTTTCAGAAGAAAATAAATTAAAATATTCCTTTTAACGGTTTTAAAGTTAAAAAAATGAAAAAATAAATTAATGAAAACAATTCACTGTGATTCGAACCCAAGACCTCGAAAAGAAAAAAATAAAACGTGCGACGAAGTCTGGGTTCGAGGCTGGGCGCGCGATTTTTTTTTCTTAAACAAGAATCATAAGGACGTTGCAAAGCCATGGATAATTTTAAAAACAGCAACAATTCTAATGAGTCGAGCAAAGATGACTGATTTGGTAGGATAGGATAAAATTGTACTTCTTTATACCCCTATAAAACGCAATTCCTTCAAAGTTGCTTGCCCTATATACATTTTCCATTAGAGTTGGAAATTATTAAACTTTTGTGTTTTAAAGCACCAATCGAAGCTAAAATTGTATTATAAAATGTCTTCAGTTTGCTATAAATGTAAGTCAATGAAGGAAAAATGCTGATTAATCGAGATTATCATCGTTAAAGACTTTAAATAAACGAAGCATTTTCACTAATGGTGTCTACGAAAATTTTCGATTTTAGGCAATCGCACCGGACATTTCGCTAGAGAATGCCGTAACAACTTTGGAGGTGGACGCGGTTTCGGAGGTAATCATCGATAATTAAATTTATTTAAGCTTACTATTTTATGTGAATTTGGGGTTATAAATAAGCATGTCACTGTGTAGTGGCAATATTGAGGAAGGTCTGATTTTTTTCTAAAAGTAGTGTACGTGTCTTTTCAGGTCAAAAATGCTACAAATGTAATCGTGTAGGTCATTTGGCTAGAGACTGTCAGGAACAAGATGAACGCTGTTATCGCTGTAATGACGTTGGACATAAGTCTCGTGAATGTAATCGCGAAAAGGACCAAATCAGCTGTTACAATTGTAAAGAGATTGGTCATCTCGTAAAGGTAAATGAAAATTACTTTCAATAATTAAATGTGCTCAAATAAATGACATATGATAATGAAATATTTGTAGGACTGTCCAACGAAGGTTGATGTATGCTTTGCTTGTAATCTCGAGGGACATATTAGCCGTAAGTTGTGATGTCAATGCTTTAGAAAGGGTCGATAACATTTCTTCTTTGTTTATCATCTTAGGTAATTGTCCAACAGGGGCTGGAGGCCGATCGAGAACATTACAAAGACAGTAGAGAACGGCAAAGTACAACACAAACAAATCATTAACAAATCTTCAGAGATCTGTGATGATAAGCTGTTTATTCCATATTCCTCTCATTATGATCATAGATCATTAAAATCATCAAATTTCATCCATTCATTCAATTTATTTAAATTTATATTGTTAGATTGCAAGAAAACTCAATCATCGTTTTAAAGATGTAAAACAGAGTAAATGTCACTGAAGTTTTTTTTCATCATTATTGATTATAATGACTCTCAAAAGAAGGAAGAAGAGGAGCGAAATAAAAATTTTAATATTAAATCATCAAAGCAAGAATGTTTCATCACTAGACATCATACATACCTGAATCTTAAATAATTAAATAAAATCAGTTTTGATAAAAAAAAACATAAACAAAAATTTTCAATACATATTTTAATTTCCAACAATTTTAACGGACATTTTTAAATTAACAAGGCCCCTCGTAAGAACATGTTGAAAAATGATGTCACGCAATAAATGTTCTGAAATTTTTCAAATTGTTCAATGTTTTGTGTGACTCAACATTTCGCAAGTCCCCGCTTAACAGAAACTGAACATTTCAACGGAGGAAAGATCGAGCCTGATTCATTTGTACTTTATAAGCGAAACGCGTTGAAACTATCGTTCAAACTGCAAATAAATTACTAATTTCAACATTTTGTAGTTAAAGTGTTATAAATTAAGTGATAAACTCTTAAGATTCAAAGTATTTAATCAGAAATAAGTTTCACATTTTTCGGCTTCTTCTTTCACAAACACAAAGAAAGAAAAAAGACGAGAACAATTCATTTTTTTTTTCATCCAGAATCGCTCCGTGAAGTGGATTTCTTTTTATACAAAGTTTTTATACATTACTTAAAACAAAAAATTTACAAGCTGTTGTGAAAAAGAAAATAAGAAATAATTGAAAATGACGGAGGATTTAAGAGATCGGAATGATCCCGAACTGAAATATTTAAGTGTTGAAAGGAGTAATTTCAATGATCCAGCAACACAAGCTGAATGGACGCAGAAACGATTGGTGTGGGTTCCATCTGAAACTCAGGTAAATATAATATTATCTGATTAAGTCATACGCCCGCTTGGCAATGAGATAACAAACGTTTATTTAACTCTGCGGCAATGAAAAATCAAAATTTATGCACATTTCATAGAAAATTCTTCTCTCGTTAATACCGGATGTTTTTCCCTTTTTCTTTCTCACTCTCTCTATGAGTTATTTCCCATCTCTTTTCAACACCCGCACCCGACTCTTGTCTGGCTCGTCTTGAGATAATAAAAAGTCATCAACGTCGTTGTTACTCATGACCGCATAAATATATTTCAACTTTATAAGGGAGTATCCTATTTCTCTCCATATACATTTATTTCCAATGCTTAATAACCGAACACATGCATGGTCACAGATATATTCGCGAAGAACTCAAACATTGATAAATAATGCAAAGAAAACTTTTTTTCCCCAAATGAGTCACCCGAAATAATAAAAAAACGGCAAGCAAAAGCCTATTTCACTCGCTCGTCCGTCACCTTACTTTCGCAGAACACAATCTCGATTTATTTAAGTTATAAAATACATATACGAAAAAAAAAATCCAACGGCGAAAAGAAGAAAGAAAAATGAACATTCAGCGTTATACACAAATAAGAAATGGATTTTTCGTTACTTTTTGGAGCTACCTTCAAAACACTTTTATTTCCTTCAATGGTCGTGATTTTAAAAATATTTGTATTGTAGCTACAGCATTCTTATGAGACACAAAACATCGTCGTTTCGTCGCGCTATACATTGATTAGAATGTTATTAAAATTAACCTCGTCTTCTATCGATTGAGACTGACGTTTGATTAGAATCGATTTAAGACGACGATTTTCTTTCTGTTGTTACTGTTTAGGAGAAAATCAATGATCTGCATTTAATGATATGTAACTGCGGTGGACATTTAAAATCATCATCATTAATAAAACCAGAAAATCAAGTTATTGTTCCATCTTATGTGCTTTCGTTTGTTGCCTCACTTGCCCCGAAAAAACACACGAGAAATAAAAAATAAAAAAAGCCGAAATGAAAATAGGCGAGCATAATTTTCTAAAAAACATAATTTTTATTCCACATTATGGATATCTGGTGGAAAAGTTTAAAAACGTAATACCCGGGCCCGAAAAACGACAAGCTTATTGATAAAGAAAAACTGTAGTAATTTTATTTATTTTTTGTTTTTGTTCCCTTCGTTCATTTCTCTTTCTCTGTGCTCGTGTGAGTGTTGTTTGTGATATGACATCACTTCGATGAACATTCCTTAAAAGTGACTCTTCTTGCGCCCGGTTAAACGAAAGAGCGAATAATGCTTGATTTTTCCTTCATTTCTCTGATTTCAAGAGCGCGTCTTTTACAATTGAATGTAAATGAATTCAGTATTGAGAAGACAAAACAAAAAAAAGAAAGAAAAGAAACTTTAAATGAGTACAAAGGCATTTAAAAGTTTGCACATTCTTTTGAGAAGTAAATTTGAGAGTTAATGTGGAATTGTTTATACATTCTGATACTGAGTAGTCATTGTACACATGTTCCATGCAACAATTTGATCCATTTATACACAGCAAAGTGTATATGAGCACGACAAATATATCAAATGCTTGATTAAAACACCTGTTGATCATCAAGAAATAAAATATTTAAAATTTTTAAGGGATTCGTCGCTGCAAGCATCAAAGGTGAACGTGGCGATGAAGTGGAAGTTGAACTGGCCGAAACCGGCAAACGAGTGATGGTACTTAAAGATGATATACAGAAGATGAATCCACCGAAGTTCGACAAAGTTGAGGATATGGCTGAGTTGACATGCCTCAATGAAGCTTCTGTCTTGCACAATATCAAAGATCGATACTATTCAGGATTGATTTATGTAAGTTTTTCCTTTTCTACCTAAATTTGTAACATTTACATAGATTGTCACTTCAACATGCTCCAATTAAAATTCAAATTGAATTGCTGGTTTTGGCTTATCATGCACAAACATTTAAAACAATGCCAAACAAAGCGTCGCATTCTTCTTTTTATGTAGATAGAGCAAATTGAAGTCATTAAATATTAAAACCACGTCAAAGTGAATGTTTTACTTCACATATTGATTTGGTTTATGATAAATCTGCGAAAGCAAATTGTATTTCCAAAAATATGGAATGCCAACAGACATTCGTGCTTTAATCGTTTTTTTTATTGAATTTATCTCTTCAACTTTATCTTTCTCCACAGACATATTCAGGACTTTTCTGTGTCGTCGTCAATCCTTATAAGAAACTTCCAATCTACACTGAGAAGATTATGGAACGATACAAGGGCATTAAACGACACGAAGTTCCGCCACATGTTTTTGCCATCACTGATACTGCTTATCGATCCATGCTCCAAGGTAAATTACTCTTTAATAAGACTTCTTTCATGCACATGTGTAACATGTTGGGTTGTGGTGATGCGGCGAGAATTTTTAAATAATAAAAAAACTTTTTACTTCATCATCCAACAACAACAAAATCATGAGGCAAATTTGTCGTATTTAACATAAAAAATGAAATTCAAAACCATGTTGTGGCATCGATTAATCAATTATTTGCTATTCGTACACATTTGGTAATCGTGCGATTTTTTTAAGAAGGCAGATTTTGTCTGTTGTTGCTTTGTCGCTCGTAAGAAGAAATCTCCCCAAAAATTGAACGGAGAAAGACGAAAAAAAAAATAATAAAAATAATTTCAACTATATCAACGACCTCAAAGCAGCAACATTTGTAGAAGAGAAAAAAATTTTAATCATAAGCCATTGAAAAAAATATTGAATTGAGCTTGAAGCTGAGAAGTGTTGCTTTCAATGCTTTGGGACGACGCTAAGGTTTCCATATGATGATAATAAATAATAATAATAAAAAGCATTACCAAAAATGGATTTAAATTTAAAATTAAAAAGAAAAAATGCTACAACTTGTTTATATAATAAGAAAATATTGTGTGTGAAATAGTTGCACATGAAAATAATAAAAAAAATGTAAAAAGGCGAAAACAACTAAACAGAAAATACGGCCCAAATATGGTCAAGAGATCGCAAGGCACCAGGCGATGTGTTTTTACCTTTGAGCCGTCTCAAAGCAATTATTAAAAGTCAGCGACTCTTTTAAAGTTCACTTTTCTGAATTTTCGTGCCATGTTTCTGTAATTGATTACACACATGACACAAGAAAGTGAAGGATTTGCAAATTATTTTATGATTTATTTTCCCAATCCATCTGAAACGAAGTTTGCAAATTGCAATTGCATTTAATAATATTTAATCGGACGCTAAATTTGGATCGAATGAGAGAAACACAAATTACTTGTTTAATCAACATTTGTTTGTTCAATTTGATCAACCAAATGTACTATTTAATAATAATTAAAAAGTCTCTTGAGTTGTGAAACTTATTTCACTGATTTGATTCGTTTCCATTGATTGATGCAAATATATGAACGACATCGAGAAGTCTTTTTTCTCGGAATCTTTATAGGTCATTTAAATATTGAATTCACTTGACTGAAATTTCTTTAAGTCTCAATGCCTTCGTTTAATCGATGAATGAGTCGAGAAACTTCAATGTTTTGCTACTTTCATACATATATCTACATAAATACTTATAAATGAACATATGGTTTCGATTTCATTAGAAAGGGAGACGATATTTTAATAAACTTTATAGTTTTGATGATAACTTGATTGGAGCCGTCGTAATCTTATGTCATAACAATTTTCATCTTCTAGATCGCGAAGATCAATCAATTTTGTGTACGGGTGAGTCTGGTGCTGGCAAAACGGAGAATACTAAGAAGGTGATTCAGTATTTGGCTTATGTAGCTGCATCAAAGCCAAAAGGTTCAATCTCGGTAAGTGTTTTGATGATGATTCGCTGTTTATTCAACATTCTGACTCATAATATTTTCTCTTTTACTCTTTCATTGCATGCATACAGGGTCCAAGTCCGGCATTAATCATCGTAAGTATTTGATTCTCTTTTTGTTTACATTTATTATAATTTATAATTTAATTACGCAAACTACCGTTAATAACATCAAATGTTTCATGACTAATTCGAATCTTTTTCATTTCCTTTTTTTTAATTAAATAAAAACAATTATTACTCCCGCTAATTTGCTAATCAAACAAAATTACACAAAAAACCAAATTCTTTAACTAAAACAACAAAAAAAACTGTTCAGGGCTCAGGCACGACATTTGCGGTAAAGTATTTAATTCTATTACTTTCAATAGAAATTGGTTAGATTTAATTAATTGTTACAATTGAAATGTAGGTTCCTCTCTTGTTGTCACTGTCGCTTCTTTACACTTTTTAATTGTATTGCGCAATTTATAATTGATTCCTCAAATTGATTGACATCACCTTAAAAAGCATGAATTTCTTATAATCAATTTGTCATTTCCTATTTTGTTAAAGTTGTGTTTGATTCTCCAATTAGACATTTTCAGTATTTTATTTCTTCTCACGTTGTTGTCATGATCGTCGCCATATGAAACTCCAGAGAGTTCACTTTTGTTTATTCATTCCATTCTGGAATTTCACTATCATAAGAATAAAAGAAAAATATTTTATGCATGATGAACACACATTTTGCTGACTTTATTTTTTATTGTTTGTTTGATAACGAACGAAACTGTCAAGAAAAAGAAACAAAAATACAACTAATGAGTGCAAAAACTTATTTTTTTTAACAGGGCGAGTTGGAACAGCAGTTGCTTCAAGCAAATCCAATTCTCGAAGCGTTTGGAAATGCCAAAACTGTGAAGAATGACAACTCATCAAGATTCGTAAGTTTGAAGTACGCTGAGTCATTATTGATAAAATAATCGATTTCCTTTTTTTAATCGAACAGGGCAAATTCATTCGAATCAACTTCGACACTTCCGGTTACATTTCTGGTGCTAACATCGAAACATATTTGCTTGAAAAATCGCGAGCCATTCGTCAAGCAACTGACGAACGAACATTCCATATATTCTATCAGTTGCTTGCTGGTGCAACGCCTGAACAGCGAGAACGTTTTATCTTGGATGACATCCGAAGTTATCCTTTCTTGTCGAATGGAAGTCTTCCAGTTCCAGGTGTCGATGATGCTGCCGATTATCAAGCAACTGTCAAAGCAATGAACATCATGGGAATGACGCAAGATGATTTCAATTCAATCTTTCGCATTGTCAGTGCTGTTCTTCTTTTTGGTTCGATGACATTCAAACAGGAGAGAAGTTCAGATCAAGCAACATTACCAGACAATACTGTCGCTCAGAAGATCGCTCATTTGTTGGGCTTAAGTGTCACTGACATGACAAAAGCATTCCTAACACCACGTATAAAAGTTGGTCGAGACTTCGTGACGAAAGCTCAAACAAAGGAACAAGTTGAGTTTGCTGTTGAAGCAATTGCAAAAGCATGTTATGAACGAATGTTCAAGTGGCTTGTTAATCGAATTAACCGATCATTGGACCGTACAAAACGTCAAGGTGCATCTTTCATTGGAATTCTCGATATGGCTGGCTTTGAAATCTTCCAACTCAACTCGTTTGAACAACGTAAGATTTTTTAATTATTTCTTTCTTTGTCCTTTAATTTAAAATATGTTCGAAAATGTTTCGAACATAAAATATAAATTTTCGAACTTTAATTCTCTTTTCTCACATCTGCTTAAATATTTAAATCTCAAACATTATTAATCGCAATTTCTTTTCTTATATTTCCATCATCACAGTTTGCATTAACTACACAAATGAAAAACTTCAACAACTCTTCAATCATACGATGTTCATTTTGGAACAAGAAGAATATCAGCGTGAAGGTATTGAATGGAAGTTTATCGATTTCGGGTTGGACTTACAGCCAACGATCGATTTGATTGATAAGCCAGGCGGTATTATGGCACTTTTAGATGAAGAATGTTGGTTCCCGAAAGCAACTGATAAGACATTTGTTGATAAATTATCTTCTGCCCATAACGTTCACCCGAAATACATGAAAACAAATTTCCGTGGTGTTTCTGACTTTGCCATCGTTCATTATGCTGGAAAAGTTGATTATTCAGCTGCTAAATGGTTGATGAAGAACATGGATCCATTAAATGAAAACATCGTTTCATTGCTGCAAAGCTCACAAGATCCATTCGTTGTTCAAATCTGGAAAGATGCAGAAATCGTTGGGATGGCACAACAAGCATTAACCGACACTCAATTTGGTGCTAGAACAAGAAAGGGAATGTTCCGAACTGTATCGCATTTGTACAAGGAACAACTTGCTAAACTTATGGACACTTTACGTAACACAAATCCAAACTTTGTTCGTTGCATTATTCCAAATCATGAGAAACGTGCTGGAAAGATTGAAGCACATTTGGTGTTGGATCAATTACGATGCAATGGTGTTCTGGAAGGTATTCGAATCTGTCGACAAGGTTTTCCGAATCGTATTCCATTCCAAGAGTTCCGTCAACGTTACGAATTGTTGACACCAAATGTTATTCCAAAAGGGTTCATGGATGGAAAGAAAGCATGCGAGAAGATGATTCAAGCTTTGGAATTGGACAGCAATTTGTTCCGTGTCGGTCAGTCAAAGATTTTCTTCCGTGCTGGTGTTTTGGCACATCTTGAAGAAGAACGAGATTACAAGATAACTGACTTGATTGTCAACTTCCAAGCATTCTGTCGTGGCTTTTTAGCTCGTCGCAATTATCAAAAACGACTTCAACAATTGAACGCCATTCGAATTATTCAACGAAATTGTGCTGCTTATTTGAAGCTCCGCAATTGGCAATGGTGGCGTTTATATACGAAAGTGAAGCCTCTTTTGGAAGTGACGAAACAAGAAGAAAAGCTCGTACAAAAAGAAGATGAATTGCGTCAGATTCGCGATAAATTGGATAATTTATCGAAGACAACACAGGAGTATGAGAAGAAATATCAAACAGCAATTGAAGAGAAGACTCATCTTGCTGAACAGCTTCAAGCTGAGATTGAACTTTGTGCTGAAGCTGAAGAAAGTCGCATGCGTTTAGCTGGACGAAAGCAGGAACTTGAAGAGATGATGCAAGATTTGGAAGCTCGTGTGGAAGAGGAAGAAGAACGTGTTAATGCTTTGAATAATGAGAAGAAGAAACTTGCAGTAAACATTCAAGATTTAGAAGAGCAATTGGAAGAGGAAGAAACAGCTCGTCAAAAGTTGCAATTGGAAAAAGTTCAGTTGGATGCAAAGATTAAAAAGTATGAAGAAGATCTTGCAGCTACTGATGATCAGAATCAAAAGCTTCTGAAGGAGAAAAAAGTTCTGGAAGAACGTGCCAACGATTTGTCGCAAACACTCGCTGAAGAAGAAGAGAAAGCAAAACATTTGGCGAAATTAAAAGTGAAGCATGAAGCGTCGATTGCTGAATTGGAAGAGAAACTTCGCAAAGATCACCAACAACGTCAAGAAAGCGACCGAACCAAGCGAAAGGTTGAATCAGAAGTTGCTGATCTTAAAGAACAATTGAATGAAAAGAAGACTCAAATCGAAGAGATTCAAACTCAATTGGTGAAACGCGAAGAAGAATTGACAAACACATTGCTGCGTATTGATGAAGAATCAGCTGCCAAGGCAAATGCTCAGAAGCTTCAACGCGAATTGGAGTCACAATTAGCTGAGATTCAAGAAGATTTAGATGCCGAGAAAGGTGCACGTGCAAAGGCTGAAAAACAAAAACGTGACTTAAATGAAGAGCTTGAAGCTCTGAAGAATGAATTGTTGGATTCATTGGATACAACAGCTGGTAAGTTAAGCTCTGAAATGTGAGAAATTTAATGCTTTAATTATTTTTATTTACAGCTCAACAAGAACTTCGTTCGAAACGTGAACAAGAAGTTGCTTCACTGAAGAAAGCATTCGAAGATGAAACTGTCAACCATGAAAGTCAGTTGCAAGACATGCGCCATAAGCATGGACAAGAATTGTCATTGATCAACGAGCAATTGGAGAATATCAAAAAGAATAAAACTGGTCTTGAGAAACAAAAGCAAACTCTCGAAGCTGAAAATGCTGATTTAGCTACTGAATTGCGAAATGTTAATCAATCACGTCAGGAGAATGATCGACGTCGTAAACAAGCTGAACAGCAATTTGCAGAAGTTCAGGTACAGACATTTTAACTTAATTTAACTTTAATTAAATATTTTTTAATATTTGCAGATGAAATTCGTTGAACTTGAACGTGTTCGATCGGAAATGCAAGAAAAAATGATGAAACTTCAACAAGAGTCTGACACTTTAACACAGCAACTTGAAGAAGCTGAGACAAAAGCTTCAGCTGCAGTTAAGTCTGCGAGTACCATTGAAAGTCAACTTTCAGAATCACAACAACTTCTCGAAGAAGAAACTCGTCAAAAGTTAGCTTTAAGCTCGAAATTACGTCAACTGGAATCGGAGAAAGAAGCACTTCAAGAACAACTGGAAGATGATGAAGAAATGAAACGAAATTACGAGAAGAAAATGTCTGAATTGACAATTCAGATGCAAGAAATGAAGAAGAAAGCTGATGAAGAAGGTAAAAGTTTTAAATATTTCACAAAATTTCATTGATTAAAGTTTGATAAATTTTTTTAAAGGCGACATCGTCAAGGAACTTGAAGAATCGAAGAAGAAAATGAACAAAGATATCGAAGCATTACAACGACAAGTTCAAGAATTAATTGCCGCTAATGATCGTCTTGATAAGAGTAAGAAGAAGCTACAATCAGAATTAGAAGATGCCACCATTGAATTAGAAGCTCAACGTACTAAAGTTCTTGATCTTGAGAAGAAACAAAAGAATTTCGATAAAGTTCTTGCTGAAGAGAAAGCTGTAAGTGAACAATTTGCACAAGAACGTGACGGTGCTGAACGTGATGCTCGTGAGAAGGAAACGAAGGTGCTGTCATTAACTCGTGAATTGGACGAAGCTTACGAGAAGATTGAAGATTTGGACACCAAACGTAAAACTCTCCAGAATGAGTTGGATGAATTGGCAAACACTCAGGTAAGAAAAGGAATCGAATGAAGCTCAATCGAATTAATAAAATTATTTTTAATTATTAGGGAACTGCTGATAAGAATGTGCATGAATTGGAGAAAGCAAAACGCGCCCTTGAGAGTCAATTAGCAGAGCTGAAAGCACAAAATGAAGAGCTTGAAGATGATTTGCAACTGACTGAAGATGCAAAACTTCGATTGGAAGTCAACATGCAAGCACTTCGAACACAATTTGAACGTGACATTCAATCGAAGGAAGAGCAAGCCGAAGAGAAACGTCGTGGGCTTGTTAAGAATCTTCGTGATTTAGAAACGGAATTGGAAGAAGAACGCAAGCAAAGATCAGCTGCTGTTGCTGCAAAGAAGAAGCTTGAAAGTGACCTGAAAGACATTGAAGCCACTTTGGAGATGAACAATAAAGTGAAGGAAGATGCAGTGAAACAAGCAAAGAAACTTCAAGCTCAGATGAAAGACATCATAAGAGATGCTGAAGATGCAAGAGCAGCTAAGGAAGAACTTGCTGCACTTAGCAAAGAAACTGAAAAGAAGTTCAAAGCTCTCCAAGCCGAAAACACTCAACTGACAGAAGATTTAGCAAGTTCAGAACGTGCTCGACGAGCTGCTGAAACTGAACGTGACGAGTTGCAAGATGAGATCAATTCAAATTCAAGCAAAGGATCGTTGATAATTGATGAGAAGCGTCGTTTGGAAGCTCGAATTTCGGCACTTGAAGAAGAGTTGGAAGAAGAACAATCGAACGCTGAATTGCTGGTCGATCGCAATCGAAAGGCACAATTGAACATTGAACAGTTGACAACGGAATTGGCAACTGAAAAATCAAATGCACAAAAACATGAGAATGCAAGAACTTTATTGGAGCGTCAAAACAAAGATTTGAAAGCAAAATTGGCCGAATTTGAGACAACACAACGCACGAAACTCAAAGCACAAGTTTCGGCTTTAGAGGCGAAGATTAACAACTTGAATGAGCAAATCGAGAATGAAGCTAAGGAACGTTTACTTCAGCAGAAGAATAATCGCAGATTGGAAAAGAAGATTAAAGAGTTGACGATGAACGTTGAAGATGAACGTCGTCATGCTGATCAATACAAGGAGCAAATTGAAAATGTTTGAATTTAGAAATAATTTAAAAATTCTTTTAATTAATTGTCACCTTTTTTAATATAGTTGAATAGTCGCCACAAAATACTTAAACGAAACATCGATGAAGCTGAAGAAGAGATTCAAAAGGAGAAAACTCTGAAGCGAAAAGCTCAACGTGACATGGAAGACATGTTGGAGACTCAAGAGGCGCTTAATCGCGAATTAAATTCAGTGAGATCAAAATTGAGGTGAGTGAGAAACCTTTCATGAATTCAGCAATAATCATCCCTTGAAATTGTTTTTCTTTTCTTCCCCCCGTCTTCACGAATTAAATAAAAAAATTATTTAAGGATGAACTGATTTTGTTGACTTGTTAAAAAGCATTCCATGTTGAAAATTCATTTCGAGTCGTGTTGTTGTAAAAAGAAAATAATATTTTGTTCTGTGAAATATCCAAATATGTATCGTAAATGTATCAAAGGTAAAAGCCAGAATCAAATTTTTAATTGAGTGTCTTTAACCCCTCAAACCTGTTTTTACTACATTCAGGCTCAGAGTTTCTATTAACTGTTTTTTTTTCTTCATTTTTGCTTCATTAATCCAAACATTTTGTCATCATTTCTATAAACGGTTAAAACGAGAAACATACTAATTCATATAATTAATTGATGCCCACGCATATCCATGTTTTGATTGTTCTCCTTTTGGTGTTTCTTTTTAAACTTTTTTATTACGAATTGTATGGGAATCTTACGTCATTACGATTTACGTAAGATGTTGGACGTAAGATTTTAAACGTAGAACTTTTCTATGTTTACGTTCATTCAACATACAACGTAACTTATGTGGGATCTTACGTGCGTTTACTTCGCAATCTTTTTGTTTTCCTTTTTACAGTCTCTTTTGTTTGCATGCTTCTTTGTTTTATTAAACATTGTTTAATTGTTAATGTGATTTTTATTATTTTATAGACGAGGTGGAAGCTCAATGAACTACAGCACACCTGGACGTTTGTCAACCCCCAAGCGTGGTGATGAAAGTGCTATTCAAGATGAGTCAATCGATGGCGAAGAAACGAAGTTAGAATAGAATCGCTAATTGAATCATTTTTCGCCCATTTTTTTCATTATAAAACATTTTATTTTATTATTTCATCAATTTTCTCCGTTAACTTTTACGCATTTAGATTTTTGTAGTAAGGATGTGGAAAAATCTTTCACTACGTTTTATGTTAAACTTTCACTGGTTTCCATTAATTATATATTTTGTTTTTGTTCATTTGCCGTGAAATTATTTGAATCTATAAGTTAAAATCAAAAAGAAAAATGCAAGGAACATTCATCGAAACAGCATCAAATGAAATTAAACCATGTAATGGACATAAAACAATAATAAAATTGAAAATTATCTCTTAAGCAATGAGTTAAAATAAAAGGAAATGAATTACATCAGTATCATAGAAACTATAGAAAGTGCCATTTTCTAAATTCCATTTTCTGAAAATGAATTTATAAACTGAAAACAAACAAAAAAAAAGATTCACGAAAACAATTTGTGTAACGAGAAAGATTGATCGAGCAACGTTGATGGAAATTCATTTAGACTTAAAAAATTGATCAATAACAATTTTTAATTAAAGCGATAGTTGACTAACTTGAGGGTAAAGATGCGTACATTTTATATACACAAGAATGAAAAGAAGTAACTAAATTATCTAAAATGAAAAGTTCTTTTTATGTTTAAATAATTGAGCATTTTGTCGAGATGCTGTCGGGGTAGATGAGGAAATAAAGGTGGCAATTAATGAAAAGAAATTTCATCTCGACATCAAATGACAATCGCTGCGCATTACTTTTTCTATTGAAACGGTATTCTAACTAACTTGTTAAGTATAAGAATTTATTAAATCTTCCTTTTTTGTAATTTGTTAAAATGAAGGCTTATTACAGGCATCAAATAAAAATATCAGCCACAAACTTTTTACGAAATATTAAAAGATATTTTGTTTTATTTTGATCTTGATTGACATCTTGGCATTGAAATTTTAATTGGTTTTTCAGATGTTGAATTTTGAATATTCAAAATTCACACACTTAAGCCCTTCACTACTGCTAGAAAATTGTACACTCTCTACCTAAAACTCGGCTCTCCAAAGTTAGTTTCAGGTGGAGAGTGTACAATTTTCTCACCCGGAAAAACTTAACTTTGTATGAAAAGTCCGGACTTTGCCGCGCGGATGAATTTCGTCGTACTAGATTGGCTAGATCGGGACTGGAGAGTTTCATTCGCATGAGGTGAAGAGCCGAAGATTTCTCTTCGTGTTTCTCCAAAGTTTTCCGAATCCCCTCAAACATTTCCCCTTTGAAAGAAAAACATATTTAAATTAAATCAAACTCATTAATAATTTAATTAATTTTCTAAAATAAATTTTATTAGCCTTTATTCAAGAATAACAAATGAATGAAGAGCGTGAATTTATATTTAATATGAATAAATTTATCATTATACGCAAATAACTCAAAATTCAAGTTAAAATCTTATTCGTTTTAAAATTGAAGTGTGATGAGAGTCTTGTTAAATAATCAGAAGAATATTCTTCAATGAGACTTCTTAAGCCACGGTTCCGACTGTGGCTTCTGTAACCTTTCCATTAGTTTTGTCGTCGGAAACTTTTGGAATTGGCGTGATTGTAATTTCCGATTTTGTTTCAGCTGCAAATTTTTTTTCTGGGATTTTATCTTCAGTGATGATGCAAATATCGTCATTAATTTTCACCAAGTCGTCATCATGTTTTCTTTTCAAAGTTTTTCCAGTGCTTGTTGTCATGATACTTGTTTTTCCTGGGGTTTTTGTCACTTCGTCGTTATCTTTCTTTATACTAGAATTGACTCCAATTATTTCGTCAATATTTCCAATCATTTCCGCATCTTTCACCTGTGCAGCATCATCATCAGAGTCAACCTAAATTGAGATAAATTTTTATTAAAAAAAAATAATTAAAATAATTATTAAGTTGAAATAAATCAACAAACCTTCTCTTCAACATCAGAATCTTCAGGACTTCCATTTTCGCTTCCATTTTCCGAGCCTCCTTCATTCTTTTTCTTTTCTTGGCGTTCAGCCGCGCTTGCACGGCTTCTGGTTTTCTTCCATGAATAATAAAATTTTACCAGACTTGCAATTGATTTATCGGGGAGCTTTAATTGAAATTTTCAAGATAAGCTTCAAATTATTCTTGAATATTGGACGAAAATTTACCATTTGACGGATTCGATGAAAACATTTTCCATGAAATTGAAATGCTTGTTCAAACAAAACTTTGTCTTCTTTCGTCCACTCATCTGGAAACGGCGTAAAATTTGCTAGATCAATGACAGCTTTCTCAAGATCGTGTTTATGCCAGAAAAGCATTCCCAAAGCTTGTTCGGAGTTGTAACCATAACGCTCTCTTGCTAATGTGATGTACTCGTCAAGTTTACCGTCAGGGATTTCTTGAGCTGGCGACCAAACCAAAAGAGCTTTGTCAGGGTAAACGTCAGGTATTTTACCCCTTTCTTGGACAATTACTTGATAATCTTTTCCCACGCGAATTTTTTCTAGAAGAATAATTCAAAAGGAAAATTTTAATTTTATTTTCTTTGGACATTAATATTCAAAACTGTTTTTTTTTTCTTTCTTTCTTTCTTTCTCTTCATTTTTTACGTGATGGACAAAGATTTAAGAGTAAAAGAAAGACGAATGTATGACTCATCAAAGGAAATTCTTGATTTCATTATGTGACTCAGACATGTTTCCAGACTTCTAAGCAAGGATATGTTAAGAATCTTCCTCAATATGGAATGAGTTGGTGTAGGGCGTAAGTTTCGTTAGAAAAAAAAACTTTTGACGGGGGAGGAAATCTTCTTTAGACTTTCCACATTTTTGAAGGTTTTTCATTGACTGTATCAATATTTCCCATTAAAACTATGTAACTTATAAATATTCACTAAAGTTACCTTCAAATTCACTTTTTCCGTTCTTAGGTTTACCGAGATTTTTCTTTGAAACTGAAAAAGAACAAAAAGTTGTTTAATTAATAATTTTTATGACACTTTATAATATTTATTCTCACAGCAATCATCATCAGACGTATCTGGTGTTAGATTTTCTTCTCCTGGGTTGCTTGCTAGCGCTTTACTGTTGGTATTGTTGATACTGCTAGCACTTGGCGATGAGCCTCGGGATCTTTTTCCATTTCGATTTGTTTCTCTTATTTCTGTACTTAAAACCATTTTAACTTTACGTTTTTACACTTTTCTGATATCTTATATCAATAATTATAGTAGAAATAAGAGAATCTACCGCTTCTTGATTAAATTATTTACGACACAATGCTTTTATCTTAAATTTTAGTTCACTCGATCAACTACTTTTGATAAATTCTAGCAAAATTTCTTATGCCACCGTACTTTAGTGTTGCCACACTCAAAATTAACTGAACTTTATTTGAATTTGAATTTTTATGATCAGTTAAATTACCAAATGAAAAAGATATTCGATGCGAATTTAGGAAGTTGTTTAAATTATTTAGCAAATTTTATTGCATTTATTAGGTATTATGCCAGTAACCTGACACTCAATTTGACAATATCAATTTACTTGACCAAATGAATAAGAGAACTAAGAAGATGACAAGAATCTACGATGTTGCTCGTAAGCAGAGAAAATATTTTCACAGGAATGATTTGAAGTTTATTGTCTTAATCTTTCATCACTTTCTGGTAATTTCTCAATGTTTAAATAACGCCACACAGTATGAAAAGTAGCTTCAAATACTATTTATTATAAATTCTTCTATTATGCGGGTTAAAAAAGCTTTGAGAATAATTAAGTTAATTTGGTATTTTAAATTACTCGCACAAGAGCACACAGGGAATGCCTAAAATTTATCCAACTTCTTATCATTAACACCTAAATTTTAAAGACGAGAATTTGAAAAATCGGTTAAATAATTTTAAGGCTTCAGAAATATCGAAACGCAATTTTAAGAAGATTCAAACATTAATAATCCAATAAGATTCAAAATAAGAAAAAAGGGAATAATTTATGTTTTTCTGAAAATTTTATTTATTGTTCCTTTAGCCAATGCTGCATTTATGATTCAAAAAATATTTCAATTTGAGTCTTTAATGCGAGGCTTCGAAGAAATACTGGAAATTACGTTCTAGTGCGGTCGAAGTATTAAACTCAGAAAAATGGTGTTGAAATAAGGAATCTGGAGTAATTTAAGGATGCCGAATGTTCTGTTTCTTCGAAGAACAGAAGAAATTTAACTGCAACATGTTGCTGGTGTTGGATCCAAACCAGAACGTTTTGTAATTAATAATCTTGTAAATTCTTCAGCAACAGTTGGATGAATGCCTACTGTTGTCTTCAGAACTTTCATTGTTAATCCAGATTTGAGTGCAACAGCAAAACCTTGAATGATTTCACCAGCAACTGGTCCAATAAAGTGCAAGCCAACCACACGTTGATCACCTTCGCGAAGTGCAACAGCTTTCAGATAACAATAACGAACTGAACGTTGTGGTACAAAGAATTCAGTTGGCTTATAATAAGCATGATAAACTTCGATATTGTCAGCTCCATATCGCTCAGTTGCAACTTCTTCAGACAATCCAACACATCCGTATTCTAATGGCGAGAAAACAGTTGTTGCAACATCATCATAATCCATAATTTCATCAGAATCATTAAAGAGATGACGAGCGATGATACGCCCAGCATTAATAGCAACTGGGGTAAGTTCTGGCTTCTTATACAAAACATCACCAACAGCATAAATGTTGTCAACATTTGTCTTCGAATTTCTATCGACATCAATCTTTCCATCAATCACTTCAACGCCAGCACTCTTCAATTGCAGATCTTCAACGAGTGCATTTCGTCCGATAGCGAAGAGCACAGTATTGAAAGTATCGGTAATGACTTCGTCTGGCTTGTCATTGAACGCATATTTTACAAGTAATCTTCCATCTTCAAGCTTCTCAATTGATTTAGGCTTCGTTCCCATCTTTATATGAACGCCTTTCTCTTCCATTGAAGCCTTCACAACTTCCGCCATTTGTTGATCAAATCCACGCAACACAATTGAGCGAACGAGAATTGTTGCGTCATATCCCAAGCCTTTTAAGAAGCCTGCACATTCTAAGCCGATGTCTATGAAAAGATTTTAATTAATCTAAATGAAACTGTTAATGGCGATCTTTACTTACATCCAGCACCAACAACAAGCGTCTTTCCTGGTTCACGATCCAATGAGAAAATATCATCACTGGAGATTCCATGCTCGATGGCTCCTGGAATGTCAGGAAAACGAGGTCGTCCACCGACAGCAATCACAACATGTTTCGCATTGAGTACACGTTCGGTTTTATTTTTTAGAATGGCAACAACATTATGAACATCCTTAAAGTATCCAAGTCCATTGATGTACTCGACTTTTTTATCACGCAAGTCAACACGAGTCACCCAATTAACCGACTTGATATGGTTTTGTACGGATTCAACGAGCTTTGACCAATTGTTCTTCACTGACTGGGGATTTTCGAATTCCCAGCCATACGCTTGCGAATCCTGAATGGAAAAGAAATTTTAATTTAGTTGATTAAGTCCCATGGTGAATAAAATTAATTACTGACATGAATGGCTTCGCCTAGTAATGATGCTTGATGCATAAGTTTCTTAGGAATACAACCGACATTGACGCAAGTGCCACCCAAACCCCATTTCGTTCCTTGCGGTGAAGGTTTAACAAAGTCAAGAACAGCAACTTTCTTGCCAAACTGTACGGCTTCTTTAGCACAAGCCAAGCCACCAGATCCACCACCAATTACAACAAGATCATATTCAAACGATTCTCCATCTGCATAAACAAAAACAGAATTTATTAATATTTTTAATGTTCATTGATAACAATTCTGAAGTGTTCACATTTATGTCGTCATTCAAGTGAATTGATATCTCAGCACTTATCAATGAATGACTGACATTATTAACACAAGCTTATATGAAAATACATTTAATATGTATCATCACAAATATTGTTTTTATTACATTAATAATTTTGGAACTTCTTTCAGAAATATTTGACCCGGTCTACATAGTCGATTAACTACCTAAATATTTATTAATGGATTACTTTAAGTTTGTGACTTCATCGTTGCTATAGTTGCAAAGGAATTATTCATTTCTTGGATGGTAAACATCATGATGAGCCAGCAGATTTTATAATCTTTCAGATTTTAGAAATCGAACTAAGAATTTCGTAGCATAACAAATTTGAACGTCGAATAATAAAGACAAGTTAATTTTAGTCACGTTACAGTTCACAAGTTGTGTCATTAATCAAAGTCATCGTTGTTAATACATGTAAGTATTGTAATGATTTGTGAAATTAATTAAATGAAAACTTACTGGAACTAAAAAGTCGAATTGATGTTAACCTAATATTATTTAAAGATTTTCTGTGTTGAATTGTCACAGTCCTACAAGCAATTCCAGCACTTCTTTTAACAAAACTTAAGACACTCATATTGTGATATTTATCTTAATTTCTTAAAAAAGAAGAGAATATAAACGAAACACTGAAGATTCAGCACAACTTTTCACTTTTTGCGACCTTCCAAAGACTCAAAGTTTATAAAAAAAACTCATTCACTAACACATTCACATTTCATGAGATCTGAAATTTTTCTTGCCTTTACTTCTAGAGACATTTGTTCGAAATCATCAAGGAAATCAGAAGTTTTGTAAGGTGTATAAAGTAAAGATTAATTTAAGTGCGTAACTACGAAAACATTTAACTCTAAATAGCAAAAATCACGAGATGAATTCAATTTTAATTACTGGATGCAATCGAGGCTTAGGTTTGGGACTTGTTAAGTCTCTCATCAAACACGAGCAGACACCGAAATTTATTTTTGCTACTTGCCGTAGCTTGGAGAAAGCCGATGTGAGTATTCTTACTTACCTTTAGATACCGGAGCCATTATTGCAATTAAATAAGTAATAATATATCTTAGACAAATTATTCCGCACTTTAAGCGTCGTGACGAATTATGTGAAACTAAATAACGAATGTACTGCCTCTCTTTTTTATAATTCTTCCTCCATACACACTTTACACTTACACAAATTCAATCGAAATACGTCGCTGACAAACTTCTGCAGTTTTGTACCAAAACTTTCTTGACTTGATTTGATTTTCTCACCTTTAAGTGGCCCCATGTTATCTACATTGATAGATGATTTACTAGATTTACTAATGACAACAGCACTTACTAAATTGATAATGATTTTAGATTTTTTTAATATAAACATTACAAAACTTTTGTGTTACGTAACTGACGGCTGAGACCTTCAGAAAAACTTTTGAATTTTCATTTTCCGTTACAATTTCTTTAATCTTTTAGGAATTACGAGAAATCTCGAAAAACAACAGCAATGTTCATGTTTTGGAGATTGATTTAAAAGATTTCGATAAATACCAAAGTTTGGTTGAGCAAATTGAAGGAATCGTTAAAGATGAAGGCTTAAATGTTCTCTTTAATTCTGCTGGCATCAGGTGGGATTAAAATTAATTATTTTTACTTAATGATAGATTTTGATAATGATTCATATAAAACTAAAGTCCCAAGTCATCATTCCTTGGATTAAAAGCTTTGAAAGCCAATGAGTTAATGGAAGTTTATCAAGTTAACGTTGTTGCACCATTGATGTTAACTAAAGCACTTCTTCCATTGATGAGGAAAGCTTCAACAGCAAAGAAAGAAGCACCTTTGGGAGTTCAACGAGCTGCAATTGTAAACATGAGTTCAATACTTGGATCAATTCAATCGAATAATGACGGTTCTCTCTATCATTATCGTGTGACCAAAAGTGGATTAAATGCCGCCACAAAATCCTTAAGTGTTGATTTGAGGAATGATGGAATCATCGCAGTTAATATGCATCCGGGTAAGAATAAGTCTTTAAAAATCTTGTTAAAGTCATTGTTTGATGTCAAATCTCTTTAAATAGGTTGGGTTAAAACTGACATGGGAGGACCAAAAGCACCAATGGATGTTGAACAGAGTTGTGATGCTATGGTAAAAACAGTTTTTAATCTTAATAAGTCACACAACGGAGGTTTTATTCAGTACGATGGTAGAAGCTTACCTTGGTAAGCTACCTAGAAAAAATAATCACAAATAAGTGCAAATGTATTGAAAGAAAAGTAATAAATGAGGGTAATTAAAATTAAAGTTTTTCTATTTTTAACTCTTTAAGTTTAAGTTTTCCACAATCAAGCTCATGTTTTGCATGTTTTAAAATATGAGTTCTCATATGTGATGGATAAACAGTTTGGAATGAGCATTGATCACACTTAATAATTTTAGCTGCTTCTTCAACTCCATGAGCTTTTACCATGTGAAAGTTTAAGAGTCTTCGACGCTTGTAAGATTTCTTGCATAAATTGCAAATGTGATTTTTTAGTTGTTTGTGGACCTGAAGATGGGAATAAGAAAAGTTAAAGCAAAAGGAATTTGCCAACCAAAAGTTTAAAACATTGAAAAACTTACTGTTTTTATATGACTTAGAAGATTTGACTGTTGATTAAAGGTTTTGTTGCAAGATTTTTCCATGCAATGAAATTCTCTGAGTTTCTTATGTGTTTTCTCATGGATTCTAACATCTTGAAGTCTCAAAAAAGTCTTTTCGCAATACCGACATAAATAGGCACGCTCAGAATGAACAGCTTCATGAGTTCTTAAGTTGTTCGATGATTTAAAAGCTTTGGAACAAATGTCACAAATGAAGTTTTTATTATTTCCACTGTGAATAGTTAATTTATGATTTCGCAAGTGGATCTCTTTTAAAAATTGTTTTCCGCATTCACACTGAAAATTTCTTTCTCTTTCGTCATGTATTTTCAGGTGAGTTTTCAAGCAATATTTATTAGAAAATGATTTATTGCAGAATTCACAAACATGATTTACTTCCATTCCACAGAAAGTTTGTTTTTATTTACAATTTATTTTTTCGATTTGTTTACATATTTTTCTGTACTTGGACACCCTGGTTTAATCTAGATTAAGCAATTTTCAAAAAGCAAATGACCGTTGAAATTAGATTGTAAATCAGCATCTGCCCACGCAAAATTTAAACTGAGTTGATGAAGAAAATGTCATGATAAAAAAAGACACGTGAGAGTTTTCAACAAATCTATCATGTGATAAGCCAACACGAGCTTGTAATTGTTTTCCAAGAATTTAAAACAACGATAATTTCACTGTTTTCTACACTTTATTACAGCTTATGAAATTATTTACAGTATTACTAATTAATTGAATTCTCGTGTTATATTTATGTTCTTATATGCATTTCTTTTGCAAAAATATAAGTTCCTTTCTTCTACCAAAAAAGATCTAGCTTTATAAGTATTTAATACTATTTTCATATAGCGTTTTTTTGTATCTCAACATCTGGTTTTTCCACACCAATAAGTTACAACATATCTCTCAATATATGTACGTACTTTTTGCGTCATCATATCAACTTGTAACTGTGAATAAATCTGAACTTTTAAAGTCCAATTAATTTGCAAACGATTCATAAAATTATCTTTTTTCGGAGAATGTTCAAATAATTTCTTAAACATTGGCAAAAGATATTTTTAAACTTCGTTCTCGAAGCGTTCATCTAAGTACATTTCTTATGAGAAATAAATATTTTTGATCGATAAATATTTTAGTTGAGGTACAAATCAAAGTTATTCGACTCCTAGTTAGTTGATGATTTAGTCCAAATTTAAAAGATTCTTCCAAAAGGTTGGCCAATAAATACTCGATCCACATTAAAATTTCAGCATTAATAATTTTGTCACTCAATTACTAACGAGTCTATACGTTTACAAATCCAGTTTTCATTTGCTCTAGTTTAGGATATACTTTATTTATTTATGTAGGTATGCTTTTGTATTTAAGCTGAATATTTACTCAACAGAATTCAATTCAGACATTGAACAATAGACGCACTCCCTTATGTAGATTTTTCATGATGCTAAAGAAGCATACAAGCATCTAACAGTTTCAAATGTGAAGAAATCAATGATTTTCCAAACATTTCTAAAATATATTTCAATTTATCTTAACATATAATTATCCTTCATCATTTATGGCAACGCCATATAAATGTCGAATCGAGCTTTACACATCATTTTTCAGTCTCTAAAAACTATTTAAAAGTTTTTATCGTTCTTTGCAAGAAAAACGGCGAGGTGTTTCATTTGGAAAATTATTAAAATGTTAAAATTTCATTCCAAAATAGGAACTGAATCTGTTTCTGTTGTAATTAAAATATTTTCCTTGATAATCTTCCTTGGAGTTTTGAGTGCTGCTAAATTGTATACTGATTTAAATTAATAAAAGAAAAACATAATAATAAAATGTAAAGAATTTCTTTGGATAATCTTACGACTTTCGTGTACAAATGAAGCCACATCGTCAAAGCAGAAGCACTCGAAGTGCAAACCTAATTTGGCTTTTCTTAACTTTAATAAGATTTACTACGGGTAGTGGTGGGATTCTCTAATAGAAGTTTTCATTTAATCACTTTCATAAAAATTACGTTAATATTCTCCGTGAGACAGATTTTGAGCTTTAAGCTTTAACTAATTTGTTTTAGGTAGTAAACTAAATTCCTTCGGATGGATCACAAGCTTTATCAAAAACGTTTTTCTTTTACTTTTACCTTATCATCAAAAACTAAACGCTATGAAGTTCATTAAACTAATATAACTAAACTAAAATTAATTCATCATCACATCATGTCAATTAATTAGATAAATAGAGAGAGAGAGAGAGATTTGTGTACTCCAAATTCATAAATCTGGGTTGAAGTGAGAAATGATTTTAAAAAAAATTAAAAATCTACAATTTCCATTTTAAATGGCTTCTTTGATGAATTTTGATGATTGTTGTAATAAATTTTTAAATTATTGTTATTGTTCCTTGTAGTTATATTCTTCATATTTCCCATCGTCATTGGCTCGTCTTCGTCTGGGTCATCCTCAGAATCGCTCGTTGCCAAGGGACCACCAAGGCGAGTATTTCCATTGCCATATTCTTCGTCATCCTATTCAAATATTCAAAGAAAGGATAATCATAAATATTAAATAGAACTTGCCACTAGCTTATCATCGTTCGTTGCACTTCATAATTTCTCAAACAAAAAAAAGAAATGTGACGCAGATAATTTGAAGTAAAAGTGCAGTAATAATGAAGAGCAACGTTAACCAAGTGAAAAATTATTAAGTAAAGAATTAAAAAAGATTTTCTGTAGAAAAGAAAGCAAAGTTTGCATGCAGCTTTTAGATTAGGTAATTAAAAGCTTTTGAATGAAAGAAAAAGCTTTTAAATTAACATCAATTAAGCTTCAAAATGATATGAAATGCCTTCAACCTCTGATATTATAATAAAAGTCATTTGTTGACTTGACTAAAATACTTGGAAGTAAATTTCTTGTAAGAAATTAAATGACATTAACATGCAGAAATAAGAAAAAATATTATTTACCGTTTTATGTTAATTGTCTGTTAAGGATATTGTCAATCGTTTTGAGGGTTTAACAATGTCCATTACGAGTTAATCTTATCTCTAAACACAGTTAATTTCTTGAGCTTTTTCTTTTTTTATGTTGTTATGCAAATCGGATATTTTTTATATTTGTGATCAAATTGATTCGCAAATGCCTACGTTACAGGCACATGTTTAAGTCTGTTAATATTATGTGACCTTTTTTGTTTTCTTTTTTTAAATTAATTGCCAAATGGGGATTTAGTTTTTTTTTATTTCAGATGAGGTTTCTTCTTCATTCGTATGCATAAAACACGAATAGTTGAGGTTTTAGTAATGCTTCTGACGCAACTTGATATCCTTCATATCATCGTCCTCTTCCACATTCTTCTATAACTTGCAATAAAGGTTCGATTAATGATTCTGTCTCTCATTCTACCTTCGTTCATAAAATCTTAGCAATATATCTACATAGGTAGCGATAATATTGGAAAGATTTCACTCTGATGAATAAGCAGCGATAAAACTTACATCGAAATCTCCAATCGTGAACCGTGTCGCAGCTAAAGACGAAGCTGGTGGCATTGGCATATCGGGACTCATTGCCTATGTCATTGTTTCAAACATTTATCCATAATGATGTTAAAAGATTGCATTAGTAGTCAACGTTTGTTACACACAGAAACACATCACAGTCAATTTGTTAGCAAATTATTTTTTTAAACGAAAGTGGAAAGAGAGTATGAGTGAGAGAGAGAAAAGAAAACATTGATTAGTTTAAGTTCTACAACATGTTAAAGCTTAATGAACTGTGAGTGGGTTGTTGATGGTAATGACATACCAAAAACATGTGGGAGGTTTGCGAATTCAAATTTACAATGGCAAACATTTATGTTGATATTAATAATGAAACGAATTCTTATTAAATATTGGAAAACTATTTTCTCTTCATCACAAAATATTTGTGACATTTGCAATGAAATTAATGAGAAATATTTAATGATCTGACAATCTGACAATTGTACTTACGTCATCATCTTGATCGATCATTTCCTTAGTTGACGCTGTTGTTTCATTACGACGAATAGATCCTTGATGAATGTCCAAATCGACTTTAAGAATTTGGAAACGTCGTAGAAGGTAAACGATTGGCATTGGCAAAACTCCCGCACAAATCATGCCAACCGCAATCATCATAACCCATTTTGGATATGGTTTCATTATAGTCTTCGCCTAAATAAAGTTTGTTGAGTATCAAATCCATGAATTAGTTTAAATGTAATTAGAAACTCACTTCAGTTGCACTCCAAGCACCATATTCAGGTGCTGTTGTCAGCATTGAAATAACAGAAGCTATCAGCAGTAGTGACATCATAGCCGGGCCAATATATCGCCATGTCAACTGCCAATATAAACCCGGCCGATAACCAGTCATCTGATAAATATCTTCAGTGAACCTAATGAACAATAATAACATTAAATCAATTTTCGTTGACCTCGACGAATAAAAGCTTATCGTACTTTGCATGTCCATAAACGTAAACGACAGCAATCATTTCCATAAATGCGACAACAACTAATCCCAATGTGCCTGCGAAAGAGTCAAACATTTTGAGCCAATATTCTCCAGCACCAGTCGTGAAAATAAGTCCGATAGAAAAGCAAAACACACAAACGAAGCCGGTTAGATATGGTTTACGAACTCTTTTAAAGATGTCAATGTCGAAAATGGTGCAAAGCATTCCCTCAAGAATTCCGATTTGTGATCCGAGGCCGAGTGATAAAAGCATCGTGAAGAAAAGCACAGACCAGAATGGTGCACCAGGAAGTTCAACAATTGCTTGTGTGAATATGATGAATGCCAACCCTGTTCCTTCTCCAACATCAGACAACATCGTCTCTAAATTACAAGTTTTAAATCCCCAACTTGTTGTATTTGTCGAATTATATTTCTCAACTAAGATTGTTGAGTATGCGTCAGTTATGTTTGTGTCGTTAATAAGTCCATGATTGAAGAGAATTTCAGTATTTCTGTAATTAAACATTCATTTCATTTATTCGAATTTAAACTTCAAATTTCTTCTTACGATTTGCAACAACTTTCAACATTCTTAGTTGCTTTAAAACCAAGAATAGCAAAAATTACAACCGAAGCATAAATCGCTGTAAAAGCATTGCAAAATGATACAAGAAGAACATCGCGAACGCAATTATTCTTCGGCGTATTGTAACTTCCGAAAGCGATAAGTGATCCGAAAGCGAGACCGAAAGAGTAGAAAACTTGAGTCGCTGCATCAAGCCATACAGTTGGCTGTAAAAGCTTCTCGACTTTCGGTGTGTACATATGTATTAAACCTGCTTTAGCGCCATCCAGTGTTATTCCACGAATGAAAAATATTGTCAAGACAAGGTATGGAAAAAGTGACGTGAAGTACACAGCCTGACGAAGAGAAGAAGATCAAAAATCAGCATCTTGAAATTTGAAGCAGCTTCATTTCTTACCTTTCCTGAGCTCTGAATTCCCTTCATCACAATGAAGAAGACGATGATCCATGCTATCATTAAACATAATACAATCCACCATTTGAAACCTCCGTTATCATCCATACTGGGTGCAGCATCCAAAGTCTCACGATACCAAAAGTATTCAGTCTCGGATGACTTTTCACATTCTGCGACAGTCACGTTGTTGATGATCGGACATTCTGACCATGGCAAAGGAAACCGAAAACTTTTTACAAAGTAGAAGATACACCACGTGATGATAACATTGTAATAAATAGCAACAAAAAGTGTAACGATACATGAAGAGATTCCAATTCCACCCAGCCAGGGATGGATTGTGTTCCATACTCCTAAAGCACCTAAAGAAACGTGAAACGGAAAATGTTTCGATTGTTTGGCTTCGTTGCTAAGATTTATTTATGTAAATGAACTCACCTAAACGCATACGTTGACCCATTCCGAGTTCGATAAGAAAAAGTGGAATTCCTTCTAATATTAACATAATCATGAAAGGAATCAGAAAAGCGCCTGAAATGAGATGAAAAATGTTCCTTGAGAATTTTCATTTAGATTTAATATTAATTAAATTAATTTTCTTTTAATTAAAAGTTGCTTTGCGAAATTAAAAATCATTCTCAACTCAACTGTTCACCATAAGCATGAAACAGTCAATTATCGTTGTCATTACCTAGAAACATTTTCAACAGTCAAGATGCGGAAATAAATCACGAATGGCTTGTCAATGTAAAATGTCATTTTTTAAGAAAAGTTTCATGAAATTCATGCCAAAGATTTCGCCAGAAATGATTAAAAATATTTTTAAAATTGTGGCATGTTTTCCATTTGAATATTTTAACGATGGATTGTGATTTGTTGACGTCATTTAAGAAGAATTATTGCCACAAACAAACTGATTAGATTTTCAAGGTGAAAAATGCAACTAAATACGGAAAATTCTTTTTATTGCATGATTATTAGCAATTTGTTATGTCACAAGAATCTCCGATTGAATGAACTTTAGTCGAAGGTTATCAGACGATATTTTGTCAAAGTTGTTTATCTTCGATATCATATTTCAAACATTTAATAACAAGAGATTATGAAATGGAAAACTTCCAAGTCAGATTACGAAATTGTTTACAAGATTTTGTGATTTTCAATTGATTTTTGTATAAAAAGAATTTACCACAAAGTTATGAACGGACGACATTGAAAATAAATTGCAGTTTGTGGCGCTTCACAATTTGTTTCCTCGTTTTCAATTTCATGAATGTCGCAAGTCGCGACGACGTTGTAGGAGTTGATTTAAAAATATTTTAACTGCATTTAATGTGGATGAGGGAGCTGAGTCAAGTTTCTTAGAAAGTAATGAAAATATTTTTGATTTAAATGATTTAAATAGGTCAACGTCAAGAAATCTTTTCGCGAGTTCGTTTTCAAGGATTTTACGTTTGATTTTCAAAGGAAATTCATTTTAGTATGCAGAAATGAGTAGAAGAGAAAATTTTATCGGTAATGTAAAGTTTCCATGTTGCATAGTTACATTGACAGTGACACAAAAACTTCGTTAATTAAACATGCAATAACACTCACTGCACTTGCATTTGCATCGCACGAGATCACAAGAATCACGTAACATTATCTATTACATTTAATTGCACTTCATATTCAGCTTCGAACATTAAATCATGTCAACTAAGAAACAGCTTTTTCTAATAAATAACTTTGTAATTGTTTGCACAAGTTTTCGTCATTGAATCTTTCATCAAGACTTGCAACGTCACATTTACGATGCGACACATCAGAGAAAACTTAAAAGGCTTGCTAAAAATAAATGAAAGCCTAGGTCATGGATGTTCCTTTCTGTTCTATCATGTTTAATACATTTCACCCGTGAATAATTTACTGTCCGCTTGATTAGAAGCGTGAATTGAGTTAAATAATTAATTATATTATAATGTTCGACTACCCAACGACCAACAATGTACTCATCAAACATTCTACGATATTGTCAAGTTATATTTAGCTTACGAAAAAGCTGCTAATCACGCAATATTTGATTCTGGTTAAATCCAGTTTTTCCTTGTCTGAATAAACATTTTTGACACAACGTTAAAATTGCTTTGCATCGTAAATATTTATCATCATATCATCGGTGATTATGCTATTGTGTGACCCATAAAAGGCGGTTTTCTCTGTTCATTTGAGTACGTATCAATCGGTGAATCATTCACTAAAAATTTATTGGCAAAAGACGTAAAATGCCTACGCTTTTGAAAGAAAAATTTAATGTGTCAGCGTTTGTTCACGAATATACTTGGAAAAATTGTAATAAATCCATTAACTGACGGATGATAAATATATAAACAATGCCGACATATCACAGCAGCATTGGAATCTTGTTTGATTGATATGATAACTAACATCGACGAGAGTATTGTAACTGACAATGTTCAAGAGTACGGTCGTGGGAGTTGAAATGATTAATTGTTGAGTTTGTTCTATTTTTTTCCTTTTTGATTGACAGTTTTTCTTCTTTTTTGTATCTATAGAGATTTTCCTTAAACATTTATTCATGTTTTGATTTTCTTTTGAAACATTCTTGGAAGTTACAACTTTAGAAACAACAAGAAAAAAATAAGAGAAATTGGTACTTACCACCGCCATTCTATTGAAGCGTGGGTGGGAAATTGTAAAAGAAAAAGAAAGAAAAAACTTTTTATCAAACGAAGGAAATTCTTTTTAATAAAATTCTTACCTGTTGACAAAGATACGGAAACCTCCAAATGTTTCCCAAGCCAACTGAGTAACCGATGATGCTTAAGAAGAATTGCATTTTGCCTGACCATGCAGCACGATTGGGATCGTCACCACCAGGAGCGGTGAGTGAACTTATGGAGCGACGTTGAGGTGGAGATAGAACGATAGTCACTCCATGACCATCACCTCTTGCACGAGTGTTCAATGGTGCCATTTCATGTCCATTGTTAGAGTTTCTTAACACGCCACCACCAACAATCACCCCAGCTCCTTTCGCATCCATTTGCCCTGCATTGGAATTGCTTGTCATGATTGGTTCCGATTGAGACTCGTTTTTCCTTCTGACTCAATTTCAATACACAACAATGAATTGCAATTAAGTTTGAGTTCTAAGAAAATAAAGAAATATTTATAACAAAAGGTGTTCAATTACAGTTCTCGAATTTTGCATAACGCTGGCGAGGCAGTTTAAGAGCTGAATTATTTTTTATTTACATGTTCGAGTAATATCTTTATGGGATTTAATTACAAAATGCGTTGCTATCGAAATGTTTCGAGTCATATGAAGATTCTTATCAGCTCAAGTTCAGATTTCTGTTTACATTGTTATGGATAACAATTTCAAAGCTTCTCGAAATGTTTACATGAAATTCTTCCCCAAATAAAATCATATGAGCTTGACCCAAATTTTCCAAATTTATGTTTTCACCTCCCCCACCCTCACCATAAAAATCGATTCTCTTGTAATCGATAGTGCATTTCATATAACGTAAAATAGAAGTGAGTCAATGTTTTGTTATTATTCCCAAACGTTTATTCAGCACATGTTTGCCTGGAAGAATTTGCAGCTGGAAATGCTAGAGAGCGACAACGAAAAATTTTCTCTTTTCTCTAAAAATTGTTAAAGCTTCTCACTTATCAATTCATTCTTATTTTTCACGTTCTCATTTATCTACCCTCCAATTTTTTGTTCCACCCACTCACATCACCTACAATGAACAGAGAAAAAAAGGCACGAAGAAAAATCGATAGACAATTTCAGGCTAAAAGTCTTTGGTGCTGGTCGGTGTCACAATGAATTTCATTAACTCTTTGATTAAATTTGTATTTATTTTGATGACTGAAATGCTTGAACATTTCATTTTTCTTTCTTTTCAATTTGTTTTAATCATGTCATGTTAACAAAACTGATGGAATAAGAAAAGAAAATTTTGACGATCGATAAACTTTCACGTTTTCGTAGAAGAAAAAATGAAATTTGAGACATGAAATGTTGGGAAAAGCACGTGCCGTAAGATTGCGAAATTCGAAGCGATTTAACCTTAAAAGTGGTGTTAATTGTTATTAATTTCACTGAATTGATGTGCATGATGCACTTTCGTGATTCATTAAAAGTTTTTTTCCTTCGAGAAAAACTTTGAATGCACGAATCAATGACGTCTGCTTTTTCATCACATCTGATATTATTTATTTCATTTCTGTTTCTCTCGCAATCAATCAGCGGAAACTTTTCCCAAAATGAAAAACTGCGTCGTTTCTTTTCATCAAATTAACAAGAAGCTGTTTTTCTCAAGTACAAGTTTATGAAAAATATTTTGTGATATTTCTTTTTACTTATGGGAAAAATTCAAATAAAAAATATTTAAAAACCTTTCAAAGAGTTATTTATAACTTTTATAAGAAATCATAAATACTTTATGACCGCTGCACGATGATGATGTATCGGAAATTATTTCGGAGAAGCAATGAATGAAAATCAATGTTAAAAATATCTTGAAAGTCGGCTGTAGTTCCACATTTTTCATTTCTAAATCGATAATGGGAACAAAAGAATAAACAATTTTGTGTGATGACAAAGCCGTGATTTATTTCCATTCACTAAACTTTACTTTGCGTAAGCTAATAATTTAAGTCACATTAATGAATTAGCCACAACTTGTGTTTACTTCTTTTTCATAAATAAAAACGTTTCTTGAATTATTCACATTTTCATTCATTCACTTTTTTAACGATTGCATAATCGCTTAATAATTGAATTGCAAAATACAAAATTATTTTGTGAAAAACTTTTCTCCGTTTTACAAAATAAATTTTTCTTTTCAGTTCAAGGATGCGACTTGTAAGTTCGATTTTCGCATAAATTAGTCTCGCATTTTGTAAGTGAGGTAATAGGAAGTAATTCTGACGTGGGAAAATCTGTTTTTTCTTTCATTAACTCTTAAACATGCCAGGCGTCCATCGTCATAACATTTCAGAATGGAAAATTACCGAATCTAATTTGATTTTCTCTGTTGCCGTTTTAAATTCCTTAGATTTACGATTTGATTTATAAATATGCACTATTGACTATTTTTCCGCTATGTAATAACTTTTGTAATTGATTTTTGATACTTTTGACGATTAAATAAAATCACAAAATGTGAAATTTGATTTGACTTTGTAGAGTGAAATCGAAGCACAAATTTTTTTTTCTCTTTTACAGCAATTTTCACAGCTTTTTTCACTTTTGCCCTTCGAAAGATTTTTCTTTTTTCGGATACAATTTTAATGCTTATTTTCGGCGAAATTTCCGTATTAAATACACGTTAAGCATTTCTTTAACGATGTTATAAGCAGTTAACGACGTCGTATTCCACAGTTTGATTTCGCGAAATTTACTTTTAATGCAAAAATTGTTGAAAATGTACACTCAATGGGCAAGCTAAAGGTTCCTTGTGACCGATATTCAAGAGAGAAAAAAGGGAACTGAAAGCGAACTCATTTCGCGAATAAAATACTTCATGCAGTAGTGTACATAACAACATACACAAACCCTCAATATTGGACTCGAATTTTCTCGCAATGGAAAGTTTTTTTCTTCTTTTCTAAGAAGACTCGCGCAGTTGAAAAGCTTCTGAGAGGGAGAGAGAAACGTTTCATTGTGTTGGGGAAAATGCACGTGCGGGGCGATATTAGTAGAAAGATTGTTGAGGAAGAAATTCATTTTTTTATGACGAAATCAGCTTGCAAATATTTACTCGAACCGACCTAAGTTTTTTTATTGTTTAGAAGATTTAGTTTGAATATTGATTTCAATTAGCATTCTTCTTTCTATTTTAATTAAAATTTAATTGAATATTAATTCTTGTACATTAAAAATGTGAAATATGAATTGAAGCTTAGAGGATCATAAGATTGCCATTGCCAAAATGAATGTGAGCTTAGAACAACAATTACATCGTCATTCATGTCGAGGCAATCAGTCTACGAATGATTTTTCATGATCTTGCGCAATTATGCTCTCCGGAGCTAGGCAAAACGAACATTGTTGTATCCAGCATCCAAAAACTAAATTCCATTATTTTCTCTACATCAAACACATTTTTATGCGAGTCTAAGACGTAATTTCGTGTTCTCCCGAAAAAGAAAAATGAAATGAAAGAGCCTTGCGAACACACCTTCCTTTCAAATACAAATAAGAGATTTTACGAAACTGGGGATTATTAAACAGTGATGAGGTTTATGGTTGCCTCTTATTAAACGATATCATTACATGATTGTGTAACGCAATTGATGAATAAAAGTATTTGCGACTGTGCTTTCTCACTGAATAGACAAGAGAAGGGTCATGGAATTTTTATGAATACGCTTATATGCTTCATTCAATCTTCTGCTTCTCACTTCTGTTTGAAGTAAATTGTTTCCATGAAGTTCTATTCTGGTAGATCAACATTTTTCTTTCGCTAAACTGAAGGGTTCAAATGTCTCAACATTCCTTACGACCTTGAGATAAAATATTTCTTTCTTTCCTTAAGAAAGGGGTTAGCGATGGTTATGATTTTCATGCTTCAAAGACAGAAAAATTCAATAGTAATTTTTATTCTAAGACATTCTTTAAGGATTCTAGAAGTTTCATTTTTCATAGTAATAAAAAATTTGAATTTATTACGTTTTTTGTTAAACACGTGTGATGAAGCATAAAAACTTTTCAATACGTTTATAGCTCATTTATAATGTAATGACGATGAGAACAATCAGTATATGAAAGCTGAAAATATGTATTTATATATAACATAGCTGAGAGTGTGGGTGAATGTTTCAAAATCAAACAGAAGCTTAGGATATAAATTATTTATTCTCTCTTATCTTGTGTGGTATTTTCGATCAAACTTTTACAAAACAGAAAAATATTTCCTTAAGTGATTTATCGGAATAAATAAAATAACATTTTCCAATTGGCTTTCATATATCTCATCATTTCTAATAGTACAAGCATCAGATAAGAATTTACTCTAACGATTGACAGCTCTGATAGCAAACCTTTACCTGCTCGCACGTGATCTTTTTATTTCCTTTTCATTCGAACGTAGTTTGTTCATATTAACGTTTTAACGAGGAGCGATATAAATAAATTAGCAATTGGCGTGCAAAAAACATGAATAAATTGAAAAGAATTGATTTGTAATTGAAATTAATTTCTACTTTTTCTTTACTCATATTTATCACAGGCGTTGATTGCTTGAAAGTCGTATATTTCTCACTCAATTAGAATTTCAAGGGAAAAGACGCAGAAATGCAATTCCGCTACGCTATAGATAAACAATAAATTCATCCACGGCAATGAATATTTTATCTTAACATAATATTTACAGAATAAAATATACGGCCTTGAGAGGAAAAGACTTGAAAGGCTGAAACATAAATAAATCTTCTAAGTTACATACAAATTTCTTGTGACTACACAAAAGAAACAGATAACTAAATGAGAAGAATATTTAATATGATTTCGATTGCTTTACCCTTTAGCGATGTTAAACTTATGAAAGGATGAAAAAGTTTTTCCTCTCCCCTACGTCACTGCTAGAATGTTACATCATGAAATAAAGCTACGCAAATATCTTTCAATAAATGTTATGGACATTTTTTGCCAAGAAAAACACATTTCTGTGAAAATTCGACAGATGATTTGATTTATTTTTCAATGAATGATGGAAAAAATTCGACGAATTCTCTTTGAATTGACTAGACATAAAACAAATAAACATCCAGATGTTTAACGTTATGTAAGTTTTATTAGGTAAACTGCAATTAAAAATAATTTTTAAGACTTAAGAGTGACGACTGAAATATAAAATTTTAACGAATTATTTTAATTTGAATCTTTCACGTGGCTTGTATTCCGAATAAAAAATTGTGCTACTCAGTAGCGATTTCTTTCTACAGATTCTATTGATAGCAGATTTCAATTGAAAGTCGAATCAATATTTGTTTCATAAATATATTTAACAACTCTTTTCTTTGATTAAATCGTTTATAGCGTATATGTCCAAGCAACTCAGCTCGTATAGTGAAGAGAGAAAAAAAATTCATGTTAGGTATCAACATTCATTAAAGAATTTAACAGAATTTTTTGGTTTGAACTTAGTTTCGTAGGCTTAAAATTTGCCTTATATTGATATTCTAAATAAATTGTCGCCGGCTTTAAAATTGTAAACAAGTTTGTTTACTAATTTCCATGCACTCAAATTTGTGCCATGATTTCCACGCAAGTAAAAGAACTTCTTGAAATAACAGGAAAATGTAATGGAAATCAATATTTACACGATGATTTAACGATCAATTGGTATGAAGTAAGAGAATTGCTATTAAAAGACTGTGAGTTGATTACAAATCATTTACTAATTTAAAAATAAAACAAAAAAGTTGATTCACAGATGTTGAAGGTGTTCTCGAAAGCTATGAATATTGTGTGAAAATTAAGCCAACGCTTGATTCAATTATTCTCAATTGCCTGCAAATTCAAGATCAACCAGAACTGTTTAAAAAGACAATTTTAGAATTCTCTCAATGGACGCATTCGACATCAGAATTGTGTAAAATATTTATTGATTGGTGTGATGAAAGTGAAGATTATTCAATATTGACGACGCTTCAACTGACTTCTATGTTAGAATATGCACTTGGAAGTCTTTATCAATCAGAGAAACGTGTTCCACCTCCACATTTGTTGAAGGATCTTCTCGCTGAGTTGTCAGATGAAAGTTCATTGGAATTTGAAAAAGTTTTCCTTTTGCGACTCGTTCTTGGCACAAGTAAAGGATTGAATTTAAGAAACATTGTTTGGCATGGCTTCATTGATAGCATTCATCGTTGTTATCCTGCATTTCTCTTTGTTATAATTGTTTCATATGGTAAATCATTAAAATGTAAGAAAATTGCACCGAAATTGAGATCTGAGATAAATTTTTCAATCTCACTTCAATCCAAAAACATCCAAGTCGAAGATCTTTTGAAATCTCCAACAATCATGAAGTGCAACTTCAATCTCTGGAAGCAAATCGTATCACTTCAAAAACGAAAGAAATTTAAATCTTCGATTTTTCTTCTCTTATCACAAATCGAGTCAGTATTGAGATTTATTTATGGTCGAATCAATCAAGTAAATGTAACAGCGCGACTTAATAAATATTATGTCATAATGGATTCAATATTCTATGACTACGTCCTTGATGATGATGTGACGCCTCTGGTGATTGGTAAAATAAATAAATCTCAACATACGCAGATCAAAGAAACTAATCGCAAAAATCAAATGATGGAAACTTTTCCACTTTCAATTATTTATCTCGGTTATGATTTATTTCATGCTGTAGATGGTCCTCGAATTCGTGATAGGATAAGCCACGCGGAAGTATTTGTTAAAGATGAGAATTGTGAGTTATTGTTGTCCACACTTTTCCACTTTATTTTCTTTGTCGTTTCATTTTTTGATCAAAAGAAAATTGATGAGCTTCAGTATCAAAGCATCTTCATGAATAACTTTAAATTTGTTAGAAAATTCAATGAAACTTGTGAGGTGATGGAACTTTCATTTAAAAGTTTAAAAGCTCCTCAAGAACTTTCAATGAAATTTCAAGATTTTCCTTTAAACACACAACAACAAATTGTTAGTGAAGTCAAAAACTTTTTCCGACCACTCAATGAAACTCAACTCGTGAAACTTTTCTTAACAATTTTAGAGAATCTTCGTGTTGGATTGAAGAAATTTAATTCTGCATGCAATGACTCATTTAAATCGTTTGACGATAAGAAACTCAGTTCTTGAAAAAGAAAATCTTTGAAACAGTTCATCGTCTCCATGCCAGATTTCCAGAAAGCTTTTACAAATTTCCTTCACGAGATTAAAAAAGATTTTGTCAAAATTCAATCACAAGAAGATTTTAATGAAAACGAAAATCTTTTTGATGATTCATTAAAGTTTTACAAATTTACATTAAAATTCACAGAAAACTTCACGAAACTTGTAAATAATGACACAAGAAATTTTTTTCTTGCGCACGAAAAATGTTGCGAATTGATTAAGTTGATAGAGAAACGAAATGAATGAAAATGATAAATAAAAGATACGATCGAGAGATAGAAAAAAAACTTGTTTTCATTGCATAATCAATTGACAAGCCCCTAAAATTATGTAAATAATGAAAATAGAATCTGTCAGTTCACATAATCACATTAAAAACATTTTTATCCCTCAAGTAGGTCAAATATTTTTGTTTTCTCTTCGTCGTCATCGTCGGTATGCTCAACTCATAGACAAAATTATCTTTGACGTTCAATTTTTTCAGTTTCTTCTTCGCAGTTTTTGATTTTGTCATGACGTTCTATGAAGAAAACTCGTTTGAACAATCAGCTGGTTTCGATGAGTGTAAACAGAAGAAGTAGAATGAGAAAGAAAATATTTTTGTACGGTAATGTTTCTCTCGTTTAAAAAATTATTCTCTTGAAGTTTAGTTAGTTAGTTGGCTTCCAGCACTTGTAGATATCAGTTGTAATTTGTGTTTTGTCTTATTCTTATCAATAATGATGGAAATCAACGGAACTTTAGATAATAAAAACATTTTTAACTTTGACGATTTAGGTGAAAAAATTATTTTAGTCGGTAACTAAATTTTAAATAGAATTTCTTTTAAAACCATCAGAATCATCGACACAAGAATTGGTTCTTAAAGCAATTGAAGCGAGAAATTTCGCTTATTGTAAGATTTCAATAATTGATTGAATTTCATAAAAATTAAAAATATTTCCGCAATAATTCAAGGTCCTTACTCAAAATTTGCTGTCGGTGCAGCACTTCGAGCTACGACTGGTGAAATCTTCACAGGTGAAAAAGAAGTTAATGAAGAAAAAAAAGTTTTGTTTGTGATAGTTTCCAACATTGACAGGATGTAACATTGAAAATGGAGCTCATTCTCCATCATTATGTGCTGAAAGAACGGCAATCGCCAAAGCAGTGAGTGAAGGTTTTCGATCATTCACAGAAATTGCTGTTGTTGCCTATCAAGAAGAATCTTTCACACCTCCTTGTGGTGTGTGTCGACAAACACTCTCAGAATTCGCTCCAACTGACATGAAAGTTTATCTAGCGAAACCATCACCAGGAAGAGTTCTCGTAACTTCTGTCTTTCAATTGTTGCCTTATCGTTTCAATCCAGAAAAACTCAAGAAATGACATCGCAGTGTTTATTATTATTATATTGGTCAGAGTTGATGTTTGAGTCCTTGGACAACTTAAAACCTTTCGACTCTGACCATTTCTTATCATCATTTTGACGACATAAATTAAAAATAATTAAATCTACTTTAATAATCATTTTTGTTGTTATCACAAACGACTAGAATCAAAAGAAATGAGATAATTTATACTTACTAACACGAACAATTAGATATTGATTGAGATTAAAGAGAATTTTATCAACTTTCAAGGCAAAAAATGTTTTCTTTTATTTCCTTAACTTTACAAATGATTATGAAATTTCTATTCTAGGTTCAAACTATAAATATGCAATGCAAAGGCGACAATTGTTTACCAAAACGGACACCAACCTGGTTAAAGAAAAGAGAAAAGGAATTTTTTAAATCGTTTATTGATTGATGTCGTTTTTAAGACTCACCAATATAATTTTGACATAAATTTTCATTATTTGTAGCCTGTTGAATAAGCAAGTCAACTTGTTTTTGAACATCATGAGGTTCATTCGTATTGAAGTCGTTTCCTGTCAATTTCTGCTTCACACGATCAATAATCAATCTCGCTTTCTTATTCGTGACTTCAGCTGGATGAACGTAATTCTGTGCATTGTCATCAGGATTGACTTCGGGATTTGGATTTGATTTTGGTGCAACAGGCTTCTGATTGCCTGCAAAACTTAAAAGATCCATTGCATCATCAGCACTTTCCCCTAAACTGTCAATATTTCCACCACCAGCAACATCAGCCTTCGATCGTCTGTTCTTATCATTTGCATCCAATAAACGCCAATTAAGCAACGGATCATACACAAAAGCTTCTAAAACAGCCATCAAGCTGTCTTTATTCTTTCTCAAAACATTCATGACACTCTCACATGTTCGTCTGTAAGTTCCTTCAATTCCTGTCACTTCCATTGCATTAATTAACATTCGCGTGAGACGGAATGGAATTTTTTCTGGGAACTTTTCTCGTGTCATTGCAACCTGAAATTATTCATTGAACATTTATATAAATATTTTGTGGAGTAATAAAAGAATTATAAAAACTCACCTCAAAGCAATCGCCAAAATCAATATGCAAAATCTTTCCACTTAAACGATCCAGCATAAGATTCGATGGATGACGATCACCAAGACCTAAAATATATCCAACCATTGACATTGTCGCCAATGATCTTGTGTAGTTTGTACGACGCTCAAACCAAACTTCCGATGATGGACTTTTAAGCCATAAAAGTTTCGCTAAATCATCGCCGCTTGTCAAACCCAAAGCATATTCAAAGACTTCAACTTTCTGCATCAAAGTTAATTTTTCATAATCAGGCGCCATTCGTAACATCAATCGATGTTCAATATTAATTAAAGTTTTCTTCTTCTCACGATAATCGCGAATGAGAACGTGAAGTGTGTCTGTGTTTGGAACCCAACCGATCAAGCCACTATTCGTACTCAGTGGAATGACAGCGTAACGTTGAATGGTTAAATTCCTTCGGAAGGTGTCGGGATCGTTGAGTAGCAAAGTGTTTGCCAAGCCAAACAACTGCATAACTCGCTCATCTTGTCTTAAATCTTCATGTCCCTTCAACAAGAACATGTAATCTTTCCCATTTGATCCATGAACGCAAAGCTTCCTTGGACGTTGCTTTGATGTGATGACTTGAAGATTCGTTCGAATGCTTGTAATTCTTATAAGTTCTTGTCCCGGTGTGTAACTTCCAGGAACGGCTAATTCCAAGTCACGACACTTCAACAATTTTGGACTGACATATTGAAGCTCTAACGATGTTAGTTGTGGCAATTGCTTAGAAATTCGACGAAAAACGTGATAATAAAGATCCCAAGCTTGTGTCAAGTCTCGAGGATTTGCTGTGAGTTTGTAATTGTTGCACCATTCTAAAGCATCTGATAATTCGCGTCCATAAGCTTGATTAAATGAAGTTTCTTTTAAAGTTTGAGGTCCACGTTCAAGCATTGCATGAAGTGGTGCAAGAGTGTCAAACATTCCTTTTATGTCACGTTCACCGAAATAAAGTCGTGAAGCTTCTTCCAAACCTTCATACCACTGTTCATGCCACAGAATCGCAACACGAATTAATTCTTCACTACACATCTTCGCTTGTTCAACAAGTGTCGGTGAATGCTCACGAATTGAGTCTAAAACTTTGTTAGCAGCTGCTTTTCTTGATGATTGATTTGATTTTGCAGCAACTGAAAGTGGATAAACGAGAGCTTGTGGATGCGATTTTCCGATGTCGGAAAGAAGTTTATTGATGAGTTGACCAACAAATAATCGTGGTGTGTCGATTCTTGCAATCAATTGTGGAATTACTTGAAGCCATGTGTTGATTTCGATTATACGAATTCCTTCAGTCAAAGCGTCGATTACGTCAGCTGATTGTCCATAATCGAACCACAATGTCAATAAACGTAGAGTGTCTTGAAGTGAATTTCCTTGAGAAAGATTAATCGATCTAAAGAAACCTTTCAATGCTGGCACAGCATATTGTTGAACTAACTGATTTTCACGTTCTTTCCTCAACAATTCATTAGCGGCAGCTGATGCTGCATTCCCATTAGCATCAGCTTTTTGCATAAATGCAAGTCGTTGTGTTTGAATAACTCTAAAGTTGGCATAAGCCCATGAATGCCATGCTTTGTATGAAGCTGGAAGAAATAATTTATTAAAGATTTTCAAGAAGATTTTAATTTATTATTTAGGTATATAAAATTTATGAAAAACGGCTGATTTCGTTATAACAATTATAACAGTTTTTCATAAGTTTGATTTTTCTGAAATTTACATTATTAATGTTTTTCTTTATGATTACATACCTTTATCGTGTTTTGTTGCAGATTCGTAATAAGATAATATACTATTAATTGATTGTTCATTCAACCCTTGGAGTTTATTTTGCCATAATCCAAGTTTCATGTAACATTTAGCAAGAAGACGATTATTAGCTTCAAAACTCGGCGTCACTTGTTGTGCGTTCTTTTGTGTTACACTCGCTTTAAATGTTGAAACAAATCTACTTAATTTATCATATGCGTCTTGCTCTTTTCCATCCATCCACAAATGTTTTGTGTATGCAAATGTCACTTCAGGTTGAATGTATGGCAAATCAAGTTCGGGACTTGCTGATGGATCACATCCCAACAACATAACAAGTGTCTTATGTGATAATTTTAGTTTACGATTTTTACGGCATAATGAAGCATATTTTAACCATGTATGAACATCTTCTTGTGGTGAGACGACAAGTGAATGAACTTGAATGATGCGTTGCCAATCTTCGACAAGTCTTTGCCCACCACGAAGTCGTTTCCACCACATTTTCTTAATATTTTCATGTCGTTCTGGGATAAGTTTATATTGAATAACTTCTTCAAGTTCTGCAAGCATTTGAACACAAACCATCGCACCATAAGCACGTTCATAAGATTCACCAGCCATTGCTGTAAGTTCTGTGTCAAGAAGCACTCGAGTGTTGTCAATAAACTTTTGTCCACATTCAAAGTCACCATTGTGAATCGAAAGAACTGCACGATAAAATGAGCCATCTTGTGTGTCTTCAGGAATGCAATTAACATATTCAGCCATCTTCTCGAAATCTTGAAGTCCCCATGAAGCAACTGCCGCTAATCTTCCAGCACGTGACTGTCCATCACTTCCTAAAACATCCCATTTTGTATTTGCTAAATCACTCAATGAATTCCATTCACCAAGCGCTTCTAAGCATCTCATTTGACCCAAATACGAGTCAACATCATCGTCAAACTTCTTCAACTTTTCTTCATATAATCCCAAAGCAATGTCCCAGTTATGAAGTTTCTCATACCATCTGACTTGAATCTCAAGCTCAGGATGTGCCATCACGTAGCCCAACAACCCTTCAGCTGCTTCTTTTTGTTGAAGTTTGTTGTTGATATGAATCAATGCTTCAATAACTTGATGGCTTTTTTCTTGACGAAACTCTGCTTCTTTGTAATGAAGGGCTTTCGCATAAGCACGACTTTCCATCGCACGTTCACCTAAAAGTTCGGGTTCAATTGGCAAATGTTGACTGTCACAATGTTCCATAAATTCAGCCAAGTTGAGAATTGTTTGTGTGATTTCTGGTAGATCAGGAACCATCAATGCTTGCTTTAAACTTGCTGCTAATTGAATTTTCTTTTCATTGCTTAATTCAGTCCAACATGAGATGAACGCAGCATTGAATAAGTCACGTAGGAGTTTTGGATAGTTTTGTGCAAGTGGCTTACATGCACGAAGTGCTGGTGATTGTGACTCTTTCAATAATCCAATGCTGAGTGTTTTCAGCCATTCAATCCAATCATCTTTCGATACTCGTCTTATTGACTGCCAAAGAATTTGTAAATCGCTTTCTTGAACTGTCAACTTTCTTATTGTATTTGAGTCAGCACTTGCAACATTTGACACTTCACGATGCTTAAATCTTGCTTGTCTTATTCGAAACTCATCGTCAAGCGCCAAAGTTGTGTTGCTTTGAAGTTTCGTCAGAAGTTTTGTGTATTCATTGCAATTTATCTTGTGCTTGAATAAAACTTTATTCACCAATGGAACGAAGATCAAATAATTCTTTCCAAGTTGAATGACCATCGAGCAAAGTGTTGCTAATGCTGTTTGTCGCATTTCCGGATAATTGTCAAGAACTCTCACGAGTGGATGGAGAATTCTCGATGAGAAATCGGTAAAGTCGAGAATTTCTGCCAAATAATTAATTGTGTCAAGTGCAGCAGTACAAACATTTTGTGGAACATCAATCGGCTCGAAAAGTTTCACAATCGGCGGAATAATCAAATGCAAATATTCGTCCAAATTATCGCCAAACTTCTGTAAAGCATTTAAAAGTTTCAGCGTCACTGTTCGATTTTTTGAATTGTCATGTGACAAAACACGAAGAATTTGTGGCATCAATTGTGATAAATAAACTTTAAATTCACATCCCAAAGCTATTGCAATCTTCTCGACAAGATTTATTAAAGTGATTTGTGATGATTCACTTGATGGTACCCAAAAATCTTTCACCAATTTGAATATGTCACTCATGTAACTGATGATGTGTTGCTTGACAATTTCAATTAATATAGACAACTGTTGAAATAGAAACTCACGTTTATTAAGATCAGAATTTCGAATGTTATTTAGAAGACTTGGTAAAACTTGCGACAAATATGGAACACATTTAATTCCCAAACTTTTAAAGATGAACGTCACAGCTTGAACGACACTCGTGTGATGTTGTGCAAGATTTGGATCTCGAAGTATTTTCATTAAAGTTGATATTGCAACAGCCGGATAATATTCTTCAAGAAGATTTCCCATGTTAACAAGCATCTCAGCTGTTGATAAGTCGTTATACTCATCAACTTTTATATCAGAAATTGATATTAAAATATTGTCACTTTGACTATCGATAAGTCCGCGATTTATTTTATGTTTATATGGATCCAAAGCACCCAAAAGTCCAAGAACGCGAATCGTCTCCCGACGAACGAGAATATCAGTTTCGGTCTTAAGAAAGTTGATGAGAATGTCGATGAGATTGGGATAAGTGTGATAAGGCGTCACAACTTGCCCTGTTGCACTTACAAGTTGCCCCAACGTCCATAAAGCAACGCCACGTTTATGTGGTGCGCCGGCATCTGTCAACATGTCAAGCAAGATTGTCAATAAATCTTCAGCGTAAAATTCCATAACATTTGATCCGCCATTAACTTCAGCCAAGTCTCCAATTGCACGGAGAATGTTCAACATCACACCAGGATTTGATTCAGATTCCCTCAATTTTGGCACAAGAATTGTTAAAATCGGTCGCATATATGCTGAAATCAATCTCGGTGTGTTAACAATCAAATGATCCAACATTCGTGCACTTTGTTCTTTATTTCGACTCATTCCTGAATGTTCGAGCTCTGTTAGAAGTTGAACAAGAGTTTTTCTTAAACTCGGCATGACATAAGCTGGATTCATAGCTGACAATCGTCCAATAGTGATGATGGCTAGTTCTCTGATCTCAAACACTTCATCATTTAATGTCACAAGCAGTGATGAAAGAAACCACGGTTGAGCAAGTTGAGCGTCAAATGTCTCATCTAAAGATTTCAAAACTCGCAATCGAACATTCGCATCAACATCCGTCACACCAACAATCAAAAGTTTCTCCAAGACATGACAAATTGTCTCCTTTAATGTTTCAGAGATTCCAGAACCTTCCGATGATTGCTGAATTGATACTTTCAATAAACTGCTGCATGTTTGAACAGCTTCAATTCTTATCTCTTGTTGTTCATTAATAAGAAAATGATCAGCACAACGTTGAACAAATGGCAACAAACTGTGACCTTCGAAATGAAACGTTCCAAGTGTTCGCAATGCTAAAACGATTGTCGCAATGTCAGGCTGTTGTTGTGAATCGGATGTCACTGTTAATGCAGCGAGTTGAGCTGTGATATTATGTTTTGGTGTTCCAACTTGAGTTTGTGGTTTACTCAGCAAAACTTGCGACAACATTTTCAATAACAAATCTGAAACTTCTCGTTTTATGTTGGGAATATTTTCAGCTAATTCTCGCAAACAAATTGTAAGTCCCGGAGTTAATCCTGTTGAAAACATTGGCTCGAGAATGTCTTTGACATCTTTGGAAATTCCATTTTTAACTGCATGTCCTAGTAAAGTGATACACATGAACACAGACGGATCCATGACGGTTTTCTTCTTTGATGGAACATCTTTTTGTGGTAATGAAGCTTTCACAACTTCCATAATTTTATCGATGTATCGTTCTTGTTGAATACTTTTCTCAACAGCAACAGCAATGAATCCAAGTGTAACAAATGCAATGTTTCTGTCCTTCTCTCGATTCTTCAATGTGTACAATAAAAACTCAACAATAACTTTTAAATGTTTCTTAACAAACTCTTCACGATTGAAAGCTGCTAAACGAGGTAGAATATTTAAAAGAGATTGTTGGACATATGATGTCTTTATGTGACGTTGTTCCAAAACTTTTAAGCAAATTTCATCGTAATTATCGATTATTATCTGACGACATGTTGCGGACTCATTAATCGATAACGATTGTCGTGAGAATTTCGAATCTGTGTCATAATCGTATGGATAATTATATGGATATGATGACGGAGATAAGAATTGCGAAGTATTTCCACTTGAAGATCCACCGCCAAATTTATCTGTGAACGACGTCTTAAAACGAGGAAAAATATTTGAAGATTCATCATGATGAAAGCGAGGCTGTTCTGGATGAAGACGCTTCAATGATGTATACTTCCTTTCCCAAATAGCATTTGAACATCTCAACACTTCATTTAAAACAATGAGAGCGCCATGAACGCGATCTTCCTTTGACACACCTTTTTCTTTACTTGGAATTTCTCCGAAACAAAACATTGCTTCATCGAAACATTGTTTGTACCATGTTGGCTTTGCACCTGACTTTACATTTTCTCGTTGCGATGTGACTACCAAAGCTGCTCGAAGTGCTTGACCAGCACCTTCACGAATCATTGGTTTTGTGTCACGAATAGCTGTGAAAATGTGATCGAAAAAGCTTGACACTTGTTGGTAGAAAAACGTTGGATTGGCTGCAGCAAGTTCACGTAAGATGATGACAGCTGCGTGACGTTTTCCCTACAAAAATCAAATTGAATTCAGTTTTTGAATGGAACAATTAAAACATTGACGACTCACCTCATTTCTTTCATCAGAAATAAACTCAAATGCTTGTTTGATGTCATATTCAAAGCTTTCAACTCCTTTAGAACCCGGAAGTTGACCCAACTTTACGAGAGTTCTTGCTGCTAACTCCATGACTCCAATATCGTTAGATGGAAACAAAACACGAAGAGTGTTCAGATATCGTGAAATGCTTGTGGTTGTATTGACAACATCCCCACTCACGAGACATTCTAGAAGTGTTAATACAATTATTCATTCTATTGTTTTAATACAAATTGTATCCTCTTCATACTTATCGCTAAAACTCCTCCTTTCTTTTCACTGTTATCTGCACTTGAGATCATATCGAAAATATGATGATTAAATTCATCAAGAAAAGCAAGAAGCTCTTCCTGCGACATTTCTCTTAGTTCAGTTTTCACAAAAACTAAAAGTTCTTGAGCAGTTTTATTTTGATGTGTTCTGGACTTAAGTCCTTGAACAAAATGGGTGACTACCGGATTATCTTTTGACATCTTGATGTTTGCTGGTTTTTATATCAACAATTCTTGTTTCGTATGCTTAATTTGATTATATTTTAATGTTTCTTTTTTTTAATCGAAGAAACCATATTTAGATAAAATACAACAACAACAAACTTTTTCTTGTGACACACATTTTTTAAGTTTTCACTTTAATTATTTGGTTTTTCGTCTTTTATTTATATGCTTAACAACTGTGGTTAATTGTAAAAGATTAGGAAGATAAAATTAAACTTCAAATTGTACTATTTACTGTTTAAACTTTAATTTTATCCTAATGTTTTTATTGTTTTGATTTTGGTTGAAACGCGGCTTTTTATTTAAAGACTGTTCAGGGTTTGGAACAAAAAGGCCTTTACAATTTTTGAAGACAAAAAAGTCGTTACAAAAATTAAATCTCACTCACATAAAGTGATTTGAAAATTAATAAAAATTAAAGATATCTGAGAACAAATGGAAAATTTTTATTTCATTAGACGAAACAACATCATTTGTTATCCAATATTGAATAAGTGCAGTTCGGTAATTGTCTTTCTTACTAACCCCTTATAAGACAGTCGGACTAACAGCAACCTGTCAAGTTTGTAATGTAAATATAGCTAACTTGACAGAGAAAAATTAAGAAATCACAAAGATAGGATAATTAAGAAAAATCAGCATGCCGAAATGCGATAACAAAACCAGATATATTCCAGCACTTTTCGCGTGGCTTCTTCTTTTGGGTGCAACGTTTTTATTCTTTTATTATCCGTAAGTTGTTGGAAATATTGCAGTGAAAGAAGAGAAAAAGTAGAAAAATGAAAAAAGATTAGTGATAAAAAACAAATTGTGGAATTTTTACGGATAATAATGAAACAGTTGTGAATTGTAATATTTGTGATCAATCATTATATCAATCTAAAAGCTTATGAATTAATCCAGTTTGATCCGACCACAAAATAATAATAATTTGTGAAATTTCACTTTTTCTTTCAATTTAATGCCTTTGTTGCGCGAGTAAAATGATTTAATTAAATCATAATCATGTTTTTCTTCGATTGCGTATAACATGTGTTCATTTGTTGTTCACAGATGTCGATATTATTGGTCCAATCATCCATATGTTCCAGCGATTCAAGGTGTCATAACATTCTTTGTCATCGCCAACTTTTCACTCGCAACTTTCATGGATCCAGGAGTCATTCCGAAAGGTAGACAAACTTCTCTCACTCTATTCAAATCCTATCTACAACAATGGTGTCTATTTTCCTTCATATATTTATTTTAGCACCACCAGATGAAGACAGAGAAGATGAATTTCGAGCGCCTTTGTACAAAAACGCTGAAATAAATGGAATCACAGTACGAATGAAATGGTGCGTGACATGTAAATTTTATCGACCTCCGAGATGCTCCCATTGTTCCGTATGTAATCATTGTATTGAGGTGAGTTTAAAACATGTATTGAAATTTGACATTTATTGAAAAAAAAAACAATTCGAACTATTTTAAATTAATTTATTCTATTTCTCTCTTTACGTAGACATTTGATCATCACTGTCCGTAAGTATTTTGATTCATTTTTCGTTAAAATATTCTTTATTCCATTAAGAGAGAACAGAGTCGTGACTAACAATATTCTTACAGCTGGGTATCCAACTGTATCGGTCGCCGAAATTATCGGTTCTTCTTCTTCTTTCTCATCACTCTTTCAATTCATATGCTAAGCATATTCACGTTCTCACTGCTTTACGTGCTAAATAGTAGAGATAAACTTGGACAAACTCAGCCTATTGTGGCAATGGGCTTAATGGCGCTTATTTCCATCCTGGCGATTCCGATATTTGGACTCACAGGCTTTCATATGGTTCTTGTGTCACGAGGCCGAACGACGAATGAACAAGTTACAGGAAAGTTCAAGGGAGGTTACAATCCTTTCTCAAGAGGTTGTTGGAATAATTGCTGCTTTACTTTATGTGGACCACAATATCCATCGTGAGTTTATTAAATGTTGAACATGTGAAAGGAAGTTGATTAAATTTCCAATTTCGAAATAGATTAAAAGATGCTAAAAAGCATGGTGCCCGACGCATAAATCAAAACAATCAACAGATTAGCATCATAACAAGTGAGAACACAGGTCTTAACTCAAACAATCATCAACCACAAATGCAAGCTCAACAACAACAGCAACATTATGACGGTCGCATAAATACACAAGTGAAAACTTATACAGATCATGGTAATGGACACAGTGTGATGAGAACAGGCAATTCAAGCCATTATAGCAAGGTAAGAGATGTGAAAATTTTCCTCGCATTTTGCCATCGACTTCCGTTTAACAGAGAAAATTGATTAGAAAAGTTTCTGCTTCATTTCGTCTATTTTATTTATCGACAGAGAAATTCAATGAAAACTTTTCAAAATTTCGTTGCAAGCAATAAAAGTTCTAAAAATAGCAATGAGTTCACACTTAACACATTGCATCGCGTATCAAGCTCATCAGATGATTCGTCACTATCAAACATCACTGATTGCGTCACATATAATGACAGTTCTTTTGAAAGTTTAGATGAATATATCAAGGAGAATGACATAAAGTTAAAATAATTCAATGAAATTTTATTTCTTTCTCTTTTTTGTTGTTGAAAAATATTCAGTTGTCTCCTGGACGAGAACATGACATCGACATGGATCCACAAGCGTCACAAAGTCAAGATTGTGAGCCAACGCCGCCTCCACTTCAACGACATGGTTCCAAAAATAATTTCTTTCCACCTCCAATGGATAACAATGAGGCGACACGACAACAAAATGTGAGAATGTATGGACAAGCAAGGTTTAGTCCCCATCCAAGGCATAGGTAAGAAGAAAGCTCAACTCAATCATTGATTGAATTAAATTCATTTTAAATTCCATTCGCAGATCATACACTTCAGATCCATTGTCACCAGATCAAACAATGTCAGTTCAACAAATGCAACAAACAAATGTCCCACGAATGGGAACTGGAAATCTTACAACATCATCAGCAACACCAACGATGCAACAAAGAATAAAAGCAATTGGCGGGGTTGCGCTTCCACTTGCAGCTGTGTCAAGTCCAGTTCGAAGGTAAGAATTAAACATTCAAATTTTCAATGCTTCATCATGTCATTTTTTCTGATTTTCCTTCAAGTAGGATACTCAAGCAGTTTTGGGACACAAAATTGATTCCAAAACTGAGAGAGTATCTTATTAAATGACAACAATATTCGGCGTGTCATGAATTTCACAAACTTCACCTAAACTTTTAAACTTTTCTCGTGAAATTAATTTCGATTTCTGTTTTTTCTTTCTTTTTTTCTTTTAATTACGAAATGATTCTTTTGTTATTTGGACCATCAATATCTTCAATTAAAAATATTTTTACTACTGGTATTTAATGATATTTGTTCGAATCTTTTTTTTTATTGATAAATGCAATATTTTCTTTGATATATTTACTGCGGGAACAAAAACAATTGAAAAACTTTTTATAATAACAGATGGACATAGCTGCGGATATTCCTACAAACATGTTTAGTTGTTACACGATCCACTTATTTCATTTTCTTTTATAACTTTCAATAATCTTTCAATCGAAACTTCATCGTTTTCTTTTGAAGCTTATTTATGGTAATTTCTTGTTCATTTCGTACTGCATATCTTTACTCAATAAATTTGCATACATAATCTCTTCGATGATGAAAAGCGATGGAAATTTTCTGCTTTATCATCTTCGATGGGGTCGAGCATACCCTTATTTGTTGTTTTTTATTTCCATCCTTCCTTTTGTTATCAATCAACAATGTAGGGCTAAAGATCAAACCGATAAAAAAGAAACGTAGACAATTTTGATAAGAAGATTAATGATGAGAAGCCTTGTGCATATTAATGTCTCAGTCTTTGTTGAAGTATTTGCTTATCTTTGTAGAAGATATTGTTATCACTTTTAGTTTTCCATGGCAATTGACTTTAATTTCGAAGAAAACATTCATTTCATAATATCATTTTTTCTTTACAAATTCGTTCCATCAATTAGATCAAATCCAGGAACACCCACACAAGTTCGTCGACCAGATTTCATTTACGTTGCAAATCAACAACAACAACAGCAGCAACAACAACCTGGTCTTAACTATTACGACTTTCCAATTCATCAACAGACTTCAAATCAAATGATGATTCATCAACAACAACAGCAAGGCCAAATTGGTCTTCCTTCATATCCCAACGGTAGCCCTCAAAGGCGATTCTTATCAGAGGGTGAACTTTTATCACGCACTGCTAGCAATGGTTTAAGCATTGGAAATGAGCTTCAATATGTTAATCGAACAAACAACACGGTCGATAATATTCGTGAGCTTGCTGGAAGTCCACAACGTGGCGTTTATAATTGGAAAGATAATTCACCACCAGGTTATCCTAATCAGAATCAAATCCCAATGGGAGCAGCAATGTACGCGAATGTAGCTGGTCAACCACCACAACAGCAAACAAATAATACAAATAACTTTATCGGACGGCCGCCGTTGCCTACAAGTCAGCAACAGCAACAACAAGCACAGCAACAGCAATATCTTCAAAATCAAAATATGACCATCGCAACATCACAGCAACAACAACAACAATCAAATAATAGACAACAAAGTAATGTTAGTAGCATCATAAACAACATTGTGGCGAACAGTGCCAATGCTTCGAATTATCATCCAGCACTTCGTGGTGGTGTTCAAGTCTTTCCACCTCAAATACCCGCATCACCTCAAGTGAAACGAAAACAAACACCGACAAGACCAATATCATTTGTGCGAGCACTTGAAATGGCGAATTCTATTGAGATGACAAATACAAATTATCAGCAACAAGCACAACAACAACAACAGCAGGGTGAGCCAATAGACAAATCATCAAATGAAATGAATCCAAATGTTCAACAATCGCAGCAGATTGTTGATCGTGGAAGTATTTATGATACAAATTATGAGATATCTGTGTGATCCGAGAAGCATGCCAATCATGTCATTGGCGTTGGTGTAAATGTCGGTAATGTTCAAGAGAAGTTCAAGATAGCTTCGAGAAAAGAGAGCGTAGATAAATATTGAATTTTCCCATCTACATATGCATTAAATTGTGACGAAACAAAATGAAAAGAAGCTTTAAAAGTTTTCACATTTGATGCAACATGTTGAAACCATTTAAAGCTTTTCTCTTTTTTGTTTTCTTTTCCATCCATTGTCATTGTGTGCATGAATTTTTTAAAAATATCACTTGATGAAAAGTTTTTTAACTCGGCACGCTTTAAATGACCGAAATATTGTTTGTGTAACTTATAAAATTCATTTTTTAGTTGAGTCATTAATAAATACCTAATTTGCTTGATGTACAGTTCTGTTATCGTTAACTTTATACTTATAAATACTTATTAGAAAAAAAGGAAAGAAACAAACTTTGTTATCAAAGTTAAAAAACTTAATTTTTGTCTGAAAAGATGATTAAAACAAATCTTGCAAATTACTGCAAATCAACAGCGATGAATTAATTCGAAAAAATTATGAAACGAAAAATGTTTTTCAATTTACATTTTTATGAATGTAAACTTGATGAAAAAAGAGAAAAAAACGAAACACAATTCAGTATGAGAAATGAGTCAATGCACTTGAAACACACAAAATAAAAGTTTTTCATTTTATTTTTCTTGTTCTTTTTATTATTATTGTTAAAATGGCAAAAAGAGATGAAAATGATAATTAAAGAACTAAGAAGAATAATTATTAAACGAAAATTTTGAAATCACGTACTAATATCTAATTTATTACTAAATTCAATGTTTTATCATTTTGGTTTTTGAACTTTAAGTCACTTGTCAGGGAGAAAAGGAAAAATTATTCATAAGATTGGCTTCGAATTATCAAATTATCGTATAAAAAGCTTGAAGATTGTCGACTGATGTGAATTAGCTTGCATTATTGGCGAAAGAGTTTTAAGAAAGCAGAAGAAAAAATATTTTTGATAAAGTGAAACAAGAATTTTGTTTCAATTCTTTTTGGTACGAAGCAAGAAAAAAAAGTGCAATTGAGTTCGTTTTACGACAATTAAGAGAATATTGTGTGCACCAAACTTTTTGCTTTTCGGTGTGCATTAGGAAATAGAATTGAATTGAAAGAAATAATCAACAAAAATTACAAAATCACGAATAAAAAAAGTATCTAAATTATGCATTTCTGTTTGTCTTAAACGATTAGTAAGTAAATTTCTGTAATTTTCATTTTTCATAAATAACGACATCATTTCATGTATTTTAAGCAAGAAACGTAAGAGTAAATAACATCCATTCAACTTCAAATATCCTTCGTAAAATGAAATCCCGAGACTCCATGAAATAATTTTCCTCAAACGAAACTATGCCAAATTAATGTTTCAGTCTCAGAATATTTGAGAACGATTTTGATATCTATCGAAAAAGTAAAACAAAAAACTTTTTGTACATATTTAAGAATGAAAACAAAACTGATTCCTTAATCATTTAATTAATTAATAGCACTAATGATATTAACTGATAGTTTAGTGAAATAATTAAATTTGAAGCAAGAAGTTGAGAAAAAAAGTCCTTCCGTCTTATAAATTAATTAAAATAGTTTAATAAAATTTCTCGTTTTTCTTTTCAATTATTTTTGTTGTTAATTAAAATCTATTTAAGTGGAGAAGATAATTTTTTATTCATTTCGTTTGCGTCTAACTTAGGTGAAATATTCTACACTAAATTTAAATGTTTCATTGTTTAAAGTCTCCGACGTTAAGTATTCATTTCAGAATAAATTATCTACAACAAACAATTATTGTCTGTAAGTTAAATGAAAGAATTAATTAAATGCCCATTTCATGATAAAACTTTCCAATGAATTTTCTTTCCGCGAATGTCTTAGGTAGAGTGAATTTACAAGAAAAGATTTTATGAAATTTATTGAAGGTACATATTAATGAGAAATGATGTTCAGACTTATAAATACTGACTGTATAGTTCATCCAAAAAAATAATAATAAAAGTAATGAAATAAAACAAAATCCATTTAAAGGAATGATGTCTCTGTTCTTTGTGTAAAAAAAAACAAAAATTTATTAGTAATGTAATTGTTGATATGAATATTGAATAAAGAAAAGGAAAATAACATGAAACTTGTGCCTTAAATTGTTCTCCATTCTATCTTAAAAATGTCTGAGAAGATTCAATTTGATGCCCCATTAAGTTAATTGGATTGGTCATAGAAATTACTTGTTTAAGAGAACCATCCTTGACTGAGTAAGTGAACAAGTGTGTAAGTAGAAAAATATTCATAAAGCAATCTTTGATTGTTGTTTAACGAAGACAGTTTCATTATTTTTTATTGATTACCATGACCTTGGGGAAATGTTTATGACGAAGAGCCGATGAGCATCATTAACCAACTAACTATGACTTTCAGTTTCTAATTTCTTCGCGGATACAAAATGTACTTTAAGTAAGTATCTGAGTATGTAGCTACAACGACCATCATTAACACAGTGGAGTCACACAGAGAATCGATCAAAATCAATATAAATATTAAGAGAACTAATTTGACAATAAATAAATAGCTTTGTTGATATGCGAGACAATTATCAATGAATTTGTAAAGCTTTACATCAGATTATGAAAGAAAAAACCACTTAACTAATGAGTGAGAGAGAAAAAGGTTTGCTAATGCTTCAAAGTCGTCTACAACAAGTACAGTTGTATAAACATCAAAAGATATTCACATATTCGTACGATTATCTCTGAAGAATTCTTTTTAAATTCCTTGCTTCTCCTTCCAATCTTTATTCGACGACACTGTAATTACCTACTTTTTTTTTCACACAGCACGGAGATAAACACGTTTTCGAAGAATTTTAATAAAAAAGAAGAATTAATCTGCCGATGGAGTCAGCATAGTTCAGTTTATTGAGAGACCTTTAAAGCTTCGCATCTAAATCTAAAATCTCGCAATGGCTGAGAAATCTGGTATTTGGGCAAATGTCCGAAAAGTTTTTAGCTACATATCGGTTGAGCCTTTTGTACTTTGCTGGGTCTTACCATCATGTATTTTAATTGTAGCAATGGAAAATCTCAATCTCGAAAAAGCTTGTCGTGTAAATTTGGGATTAAGTGAAGAAATTTGTGAAAATATGATCAATAAAACGATCAATAACATAAACTGCGCATCGATAGAAGAAGTCACCACCGTCATGGATAATATGACGACATCATTGACAACATCAACGACGCCCGATCCTATAAAACAACTAACGATTGATGTATGCAAAGCGGAAACCGAATCACAAAAACTTCTTTCGGTTGTGTTTGGCTTACGATCACCAATAGCTGCAATCTTTCCATTAATTATTGTGTTGTTTGCCGGTGGATGGAGCGATAAAAAAGGAATAAGAAAACCACTTGTGCTTTTTCCAATCCTTGGTGAATTAATTGGATCATTGATTTTGTTGTTAAGTTCAATATTTATGAATGAAATTCCAATGGAAGTTCCGGCCTTCTCTGAACGTGTCTTTCCTTCGCTCTTCGGAGGTCAAACGTTAATGTTAATGGGAATTTATTCTTACCTGACAGGTGAATTACCTCACGTCGCCAAAAGCTAAAAAACATTGCAACGCTTAATAATTCTTTTTGATTATTTATTAATAACAGGAGTGACGACAGAAGAGAACAGAACATTTAGATTCGGTTGTTTCACTGTCTTCTTTACATTGATTCCAATATCAAGTATTCCGTGGTCAGGGTGAGTATCTAAATACCTTCTGCAGACATCATCATTTATTTTAATAATGGTTTTTTATTCATCGTTTCGATCAGGTTCCTGTTTAATGCCTTGGGCTACACAAGTGAGTCTCTTATAGACGACGCTTTTTTTGTCGCGTGAAGATCGCTGTAAACAAATTTTTTTCTCTCTTTGTTTTTCTCTCAAAATATCACAGAACTCTTCGCTTTGTGTGTACTCATCTATGTTTTGGGAATCCTTTACATCATCTTTGTGTTACAAGAAGTTAAAGTGGTGCCTGCCGCTGTTGTGGAAGTAAAAGAGAAGTCGACACAAGAAGGAATTGAAAATCCAGCTTTTGATGCTGATGGAAATCAAGTTAAATTGAGTAACGAGGCTAATAAAGATGCTGTTGAAGAAGCAACTGGTGAAGTATTGAAAAAAGGATTCTTTAGAGAATTCTTTGATCCCACTTTAGCAATGGCCTTGGTTGAAGTTGTGTTCAAGAAGCGTGAAAAGGGATTGAGAAAATTAATTTTCCTCGTGCTTTTATGCAACATTGTATTTTTAGCATCATTGGGAGAAAGCGATTTAACTTATCTTTACACACGATTAAAAATTAATTGGAGTGGAGTTGAATTTGCATTGCATCTCACATATGGAACGGTCGTTGCACTTGTTGGAACACTTTTGATGGTTGGCGTTTTCAGTAAAGTTCTCGGTATCTCTGACCCGATGATTGGAATAATTTCAACAATTTTCACACTCATATCAAAACCAATTTATGTAAGTCAATCTAAATATTATAAATTTTCATGAGATTACATATAAATTTATTGATTTTCTTCATGACTTTTATCAGGCTTTTGCTACAACAACTTTAATGTTTTATACTGGAACGACGGTTGATCTGTTCTTATCTACAAAAGCTGTTGCGATCAAAAGCATAATCTCTAAAATAATACCATCTACAGAACTTGGACGAATGTTTAGCGTTTTAGGCATTATAGAATCAGTTGATACTTTCATCTTTCCCAGCATTTATTCTTTCGTTTATCTTAAAACCGTTGAGATTTTCCTCGGTGCAATATATTTTCTCAGTGAATTTTTCTTTGTCCTAACTTTGTTAATGTTTATTGCCATTTATTTAATTTTAAGAGACAATGAAAAGAAGAATGGCGATGAAGAGATGATGGAAAGATATAAAAAAAATCCAGATTTATTTGAAGTTACAAATCTTTAGTTATTAAATTTAAAATAAAATGAAATCCATTTTACTATTTTTCTTAAGGAAAGTCGATGAATAGATATCAAAAAAAAAATATTTGGTATGTTTTAATGTTTAGCGGCCATTAACATAGAAATGTCTTGAATAACTACTTTATACATGTATGCTTATAACTTAATTTTTTTACACAAAAAAGAAAATAATAAAAAATATTAACTAAATAAATAAATATTAAAATTTATTGTTTCTATAGTTAAAATTTTTAAAAGAAAGTTGATAATCAACAACTTTCTACACATTACGCGTTTAAAATATTTACTGGAAATATCAGATTTAAATTCAAATTCTGATCTGTTAATACCTAATTATTTCCATTCATATTTCTACTCAAAAGTAGAGATTTTTAGCTAAAAGCAAGTTAAATAATAATACATTAGTGTATAAAATATCGCTTTAAACAGAAAATATTGCAGAATAAATTTTATTTCAATGAAAAACATCTAAAATTGTAAAAATACTAACACTGGCAACACTAAACTACGGATATTTGTGAAGTGTTGCCAAGATTTGAGAAGTTTTTTGTGCCTGCACAATTGCGAATGGAAGATAAATTCGGAAAAATTATTCTTCGTGTTGAAAAGCCTTCCGTATCTTAATTTTTATCATAAATTTTATTAAACATACAATAAGAATTAAAAATAATATGGTAATGAGTGCAGATATACGAGATACAAATAGAAATGGGAAGCGATCGCGAGGCTCCTCTCCTAGCACAACAAGCATCAACAGTACCAGCAGTAAACAACCACCAACAACTGTTGTGGATGATCTAACACCAGAAACATCAGATGATGATACTCGTAGGATTAATTATTTTTCAATCTTTCGACTTACATCCGCTAAAATTTTAATTCTAAACAACAAAAAAATATTTCAGATTCCAAAAAGAATCTCGGCAAGGCCAAGAATGGAAAAAATGAATTTGAAGGTGAGATCATTGAAAACATTTTAAAATATTTCACTATAGGTAGTAAAATCATGAAGCATAATGATTTAAAAACAGAATATAAAGATTCCATGAAGAAATTATCGATTTTTTAAAAACAGATTTCACGATTTCCTCTTATTCATGTTGTTTCTTTTTATATTTTCACATTTAAATTGCTCTTTAGTGAAATGTTTTTTTAATATGTTTGTCAAGGATCTATTAAATTATTATTATTTTGATAAATTGTAAGTTTTAATATCATCAGACGTCAACTTTATTTTCCGAACAAAGAAGAAAAATTCGTGCAATTGAAGAAGCGTAATTTAATATTTTTCTTTCAGAAAAAATTCGTGTGGGAAAGGATTATCAAGTAGTGGTACCGGAAAAAGGCGTGCCTCTAGAACATTACTTGGAAAAGGCTCTCTTAGTGTGGTCACCGGGTCATGACATTCCTGACAATAAAATTGACGAGTACATCACATTGGCCAAGGAAACTTATGGCTACAACTCCGAACAAGCATTGGGAATGCTCTTCTGGCACAAACACAATCTCGAAGAAGCTGTTATTGATTTGGCAAATTTTACGCCATTTTCCGATGAGTGGTCGAAAGAAGACAAAGTTTTGTTTGAACAAGCATTTCAATTTCATGGAAAATGTTTTCATCGAATTCGTCAAATGGTGAGTTGAAATGTTTTTGAAGAATTGCAAGATTAATTGAAACTCCTGGTTACGAAAGCTCCCCGATAAATCAATTGCAAGTCTGGTGAAATTTTACTATTCATGGAAGAAGACGAGAAGCCGAACAAGTGTAATGGATCGTCAGGAAAAGAAAAAGAGGGAAGGAGTTTCTGAAAATGGAAGTGAAAACGGAAGTCCTGAAGATTCTGATATTGAAGACAAAGTGAGTGATTTCTAAATTGATTCTTAATTCGATTTTACAAAACATGAAAAAATGTCCATAATTATGATGCATTTAAACTAATTTTGACTCTTGAAATGCTCACTTAATCGCGTGATTAAATTAATTGTATCAGAAATGGCCGATTCGCGGTATAAGAAGAACAAGTCGTTCACCCAATCGACTTCAATCTCCAATGAACAGTAATGCTGATAACGCTTCAACATCTTCGACTACAAAGTCAATTGCATCAAAAGCTCAGGTGCATTTTAAAATAACTTTCAAATAAAATCATTTTATGATTTTTTTTCTTGGAAAATAATTTACATATAGAAAATGTAGAAACAAAAAACATTATTCAAGTTATCGTTTTGTTCATCACAAAAGAAATTTTTCATCCTTTCTTTACTCAAAGATAAAAAAAATTAATATTCGATCACCTTTAAGTTTATCGATTGGCTTCTTTCTATCTCTCTTTTTTATCTTCTGTCTCTTTCTCTTATCTTTACCTTTGAATGAAAATATGAAAATCGATAAATATAATAAAAAAATCTCTCAGGATGTTAAAAGATATGGATCGTCAATTGATGGAAAAGGATCTGGTGCAAACGAAAACAACAAAGATACTGGATATTCGTCATCTTCATCATCATCAAATGGGGTTTCAAAGTTGTCATCTCAAAATTGTCAGAATTGTACAGTTCTCTGTGATGGCTTGAAATCAACACCAATTGGAAGTTTCTGTATGAGCTGCTACCAACATTGGAGGTACTAAATATTTCTATTCCTTCTATCTTCCATTTTACTTAACAATTACTTATCCATTAATCAAATTAGACGCACAGGCGTCTTAAGACCTACTCAAGGCCCTCACAACATGGGCATTGGTATGAATCAACGGCCACGTTCAAAAGCAAACAAACTCTACTATTATCAAGGTTATCATGATGGGTCAAGTAAATACAAAAGAAAGCCACCAAAGGGAATGTACATCAATCATGACGATGTTCTTAAGTTAGCTGCTCAAGATTTGAATGCTAAAGATACTCCACGAAAACAGACTGTTTCAAGAAAGAATGATCTCTTAGTCGAAACTGATCGTGAGATTACAGTTTTATATGGTCAAGTAAGGAAATCAAACCGACTCAAATGAAGATTTTTTTAATGTCATTAACCAAAATATTTCTGCTCTTCTTTCTTCCATGTTCATTTTCACTTGTGATAAAAATGAAACAATTTTAATTATCATTCGATATTCAAATTAAAAAAGATTCAAACGAACAAACAAAAAATCAGTTCATTAAAGTCACGAAATGAATTTTTTGGTGAAGGGCGATTGCACGAAGAAGTTGTGTTGAATCGAGTAAATAATCGTTGGACAAAAGACGAGACGGCGTTGGCTTTAATGGGTTTTCAAAGGCTTGGTCAGGAATTTAAGGTAAAAGTTGATGATGTTTTCTGACGATTGTCATGTAAATTGTCAATATTTGCAGGCGATTGCTGAAATTATTGGCACAAAAACTGAGTCACATGTTCGAAAGTTTTTCATGAGTAATCGTAAAAGCAGAAATCTAGATGTTGTTTGTCAAGAAGCTTCTGCACAAAAGACTAAAGATGATTCGAAGCAAAACGAAAACATCGAAATTATGGAGGTTTTTTCTCATACATTTATGAATGTTCAACCAGTTTTTAAATATTTTTATTTCCACAGATTGATTCTGATGACGATGTGCAAGTGAAAGAAGTCGAAGTTCTGGGAAACCTCGATAACGTGGGATTGAATGCAAGTCTAAAGAAGGATAACGATGACATTGCTAATACATCAGGAAAAACAAGCATCATGACAACAAGCACCGGTAAAACATTGAAGCGAAAACATTCTGATGATGTTTGTGTGATCACCGATGATGGAATTGAAACAAAGAAAATTAATGTTGAAAAAAGTCAAATCGAGTCGAATTCTGAGATTACAATTACACCTATTCCTAAGGTTTCTGATGATAAAACTAATGGAAAAGAGATTGAATAATTAAATAATGTTCTGGTCTTACGCACGATTGCGCGAATAGATAAAAAAAATTTAATTTAACTATAAATAGTCGCACATTTTTCGATAAATCAAATTAGGAAAAGAAACATTTAAGATTGAATTTTATTTAGGTATCTTTTCATTATTTATGACATTTCAGGCATCAATTTAAATAAACATAGAAACTCAAATAATTTCAATGTTTTCTTTCTTTTTGAGTATCCTTGTAAGGGAAATACGATCTTCCGCATAGATTGCTAATCCACTTTATTTGTGAATGAAACTACTTCTGGTGTAATGATTTTACTAATGTCATCTTTTTTATGGTCAATGATCTTCACATCCCAAATAGAAGGAGAAGCTTCAAAAGCTTTTCATCAAATTAAGTTGTGTAAACTTTTAACGGAATTTTAAATTTTGAAAAGAGACAGACGGAAAAATAAGATCCAAGTGCATATTAAAAAGTTTATTGGTGACGTTTAAGAACAAGATTTATAAAATTTAAAGTTAATCATATGAATAGTAAGTAAATGAAGATTAAACTATGCTTGATATGTTTATCCATCAGTCATTCATACTGTCATTGTGGAGTTTTTTGAGTTAAACATGTAGAACATGATAAAATACATAACTAATGATTTTTTGAAACGTCAATGTTTTTAATACACTTTCCCAACCATCTCGTTTCAGATTTGTTGTTGTTTGTACGATTTTTCCTTTTAAGTTTCTAACTAATATTTTGAATTGAAATATCAGATAGTGTATAAAAATGTCTGAGCCAGGAAAGCCACCAGACTTTAAAAATTTGACTGAGAATTTGAGTCAACAGCAGGTAAGATTCGATGAAATTCATTTGATGTTAAAGCCGTGACCTAATTTTGTGTTTGTTTGTTTTGCAGGCAAAAATATCAGCCTTGAAAGAGCTCGTTCGTCAGTCAGAATCACAACAAGGAAAAAATGCAGCTTCAACGCAAGAGAAAGTCAAAAATATAGCTCAACGATTATCAAACTTAAAGTCAAAAGCAGCAAAGTCGAAACATCATCGATCGAGTTCCGAAATATCTGATGAATATGGAATATCTAATATCGAAGAAGAAGGGCCACAATCACTTGATTATTCTGTTAATAGTTCACCACTTCCAATAGTTCAAAGAGCACGCTCTGAAACACCCGGAAGTGAGAAGATAACGTTGCTTAGGAAGCAAATGGAATTGAATCGAATGAAGATGGCCGAACGTGAAAGTAGATCAAAGGAAATCGAGCAGATGGTAACACAATTAAAATCAAAATTCGAAACGTCCCAAATGTCCTTAGAGAAGAGTGTGGAGTTGGGGAGAAGCATGGGAGATTTAACAACATTACCAGCAGTTACATTACCATTCAACACACAGCAACATCGATCAGTGTCTGATGTTTCTTCTCACACCAGTCACACATTCAATTTGGAAACCGAACGAAATAAGTTCCTTGAAAAACGAATTCGGGAACTCGAAGAAACGATAAGCGATAACAAAACTAAACTACCGGAATCTGAAAAAGTACGAAAACTTGAAAATAAAATTTTAGATTTGGAGGAAAATCTTCGTGAAAAGGAAAGCATAATTGAGGCAAGAACGAAGGCTGTGTCATTGTTGTCAGAGAACTTAACAAAGAAAAAGAAAGACGTCGTCGATAGCTTAGAAGAAACCAAACAAGAAATGTTTAAAATGCAAGAAACATTTTTAGAAACTGAAGATAGTTACAAGCATGAAGTTGAACGTTTAAATCGTGTCATACAAGATAGTTCCGATGAGATACAAAATCTTACTGAAAAATGTGAAATTTTAGAAAAATCTCGATACGACTTGACGATTGAGAATTCAGAACTTAAGACAAAGCTTGAAGATGTTCAAGACTACTGCACAAAGATAAGTGAATTGAATAAATTAAATGAAACACTTCAAAAGCAAATTTCTAACTTGGAAAGTCAAAGATACGAATTTATCACTGAAGATGAAGTTGGTGAAGCAAAATCATCAGGCAAAGTCGGTGAAGAAGTTAAAGAAACAAATAATGAGTTACTTGAGAGAATAAAATCATTGGAAGAACTTCTTGAACGTCGTGACAATGAAATTGAATCATTACAGGAAAATCTTGATGAGAAATCAATCGAGTTGAATGTCGTGAATGCCAACATCAAAGTTTTGCAAGAAAAATACAATTCACTTGAACCCAAACCTTTGTTCCCCTCTGAATCATCATCAGCTGATGAAGAATTGAAAACAGAAATAGCGAAACTTAAACAACAACTTGATGATGCCAATAAAAACATGATAAAGTCAAAGTTGAAAATAAAACAACTTCAAAAACAAGTTGATTCATTTACTAAAGGTGTAGATTCAAATTCAGAAGTTGTTCGACTAACTGAAGAAGTCAAAACACTGACTCAACGGATTGTGGAATTGGAAGAAGCGAAGGAAAGTCAAAGCAGTCAGTGGGGTGAAAATTGGGGTGACGACGCGACTGAAACGGAATTGGAAAAGAAAGTCAAGGTAAAGTTTTACGGTATATGCACTGGTCAAGTTAATTAGAGATTGCTGGTTCAATTCCAGTCGCCAAAAAAAAGAAAATTACTTTTCAATTTTTCAAATTTTCATATATATCTGTGAGCCTTTTCTATAATTTAAAAATTAAATAGATGAATTGATAAAATTCGACGAGTAAATTTCTTGAAAAATCCCTCGTGGTAAAACCCAATAGTAAAGTTTTACTTTTAAAATTCAAAATAATTTAATTAATTAAATTTCTACTTAGGTTCTTGAAACAACTTGCCAAAATCAAACGTCAGCAATTCAATTACTTGAAGAACAGAAGATGGACATGACAGAAGATTTAGAGAATGTCAAACAAAAGTTGGAAGATGCAACGACGATGAAAAATGACTCAGAATTGGAGGGAAAAGTTGTAGAATTGGTGAGAATGAATGAAGAGCTTGGTGAGAAAATTCAACAGATGAATGATGAAAGAGCAACACTTGAGGTAAAACTGTCACGTTACATTTGTGAAAATATGGAATTGCATGAAAGAATCGAGAAACTTAGTAAGGGAAGTTCAGCTGAAAGCATTGAAATGGTAAATTTGACAGCTCAAGATAATGAAGAGTATCAAAAGGCCATTAGTGGAGCTGAGAAGGATGTAGTTGATGAAAGTGATCCTCAAATAAGTCGCGAACTTAATGAAAGCTTAAGAAACTTAAGAGAAGAAAGCTCCGAATTAATGTCAAAGATTGAACTTTTCACAATCGAAAGACGTGAAGTTCTCGATAAGCTTGATGCAATGACGATTGAAAATCAGGTTCTTGTTAGTAGCATTGAGTCAATTAGAGATGAGAAAGTAGCTTTGGAGCATGAGAATGAGAAGCTGATTAAGAATCGTGATGGAATTGAAAAATTGTTATCTGAATTGCAGACGGAGAAAGAAGAGCTGTTGATGAAAGTTTCCGAGCTCAACGAACATCGTTCAACATTGCAAGAAGAAATTAATAAATTGGTGAAAGAAGATCTTGGAAGTTCATCACCAACGATTAAAACAGGGACATCAACAGACACACAATCAGCCATTGATAAAGATGCATGTGAGAAATTGTTGAAACAACTCGACAATGAAATTCAAAATTTAAATAAAAACAAAGACAAACATCAAAAATTGAAGATTTCTAAGAAATTGTCTGACAATGCAAAGAATGTCCATGCAATGATGACAAATCTTCTTGTTGATTATTACAAGAATCTTGACGTTTGCAAGCAACTTCGTGAGGATTTGGAAAGTGTCAAAGTGTCATTGAGTTCTGTTTCACTGGAAAGCAATAACGAAGAAGAATTGAAGATATTACAAAGTCAGTTGCGAGAATTGGAAGAGAAACTCGCAACGAAAGTAGAAGAATGTGATCAATTGAAGGTAAATTTTCTATTTTTCTTTCTTATTTAAATTTAAATTTAATTTATTTATTTAAACAGATAAAATTGAAGACCATCGAAGACGATCGTCAATCAAATGTTTCCAATGAAATTGAAATCCTTAAAATGGAACTTGAAGAATCGATAAAATCAAAAGACAATCTTGTTGATGAATTAAAGGAAATGATTGACAAATTGACGAACGAACGTGATGAATATAAATCAGAACTTCAAAAGCAAATGAATTTAGTGCAAGGATTACGTGAAGAATATGATCAATTGACGATTGATGTGAAGGAAAACAAACAAAAACTGAATGAAAAATCGACAGAATTTGATCACATTCAACGTGAATTTGACATGCGATTGAAGACATCAACAAACGAAGTTGAAATTCTTAAAACTCTTGTTGGTGAACAGAAACAACTTTTAATCGATTCTTATCAAGAACATGAGTTGGATATTAATCAGAAGTTGAAGGAGATCAACGACTATCAAAATCAAGTGAAGCAAATGGAAGATGAGTTGAACACTTTGAGACAACAAACTCAAATTGCTGCTTCATCGGAAAGTCTTCAAGATGAAATTGTCAAGCTGAAGAATCTTCTCGAAGAAAACAACAAACTTCTCGATGATCACAAAGATGATTTGATGCATAAACAAGAAACGATTGACACTTTAAATAATCAAATTATCGATCTCTACAAGACAATGGAAGAAAATGCAAATAAAATTATTGAGAAAGATGACGAATTGCAATATTTGCAAGAGATCAATGATTCCAACAAAGATGAAATTCGAAACTTACATCAGAAAGTTTCCGAATCAAATAAAGCAATGAATGAACTTCGAAGTCAGTTAACGGAGAAGAGTCATGAAAGTGAAAGATTGGTAGCAGCAGCAAAAGTTACAATTGACCCAAAGATGGAGCAGAAAGTGAAAAAATTGGAGAACGAAGTGACGTCACTTGAAACGAAGAATAAAGAACAGCACGAGAAATTGAAGAAATTTGCTGCGAATCTTAAGAAGAAGCAAAGTCAGTGCTTGGAATTAGAGGAACGATTAGCTAAAGGCGTTGATGATACGTCGACAGTGTCTGAGATGAAAGCACAAATCATTCAATACGAGGAACAATTGAATGCTGTAAAAATTGAGACAAATAATCTTCAACAATCGGCAGTTAAAGCCTCGAATGATGAATTGAATGAACTACGACAAAAGCTTAATGAAAAGTCAATGGAAGTTGACAATTTACAACGCCAATTACAAGACACATTCAACAAATGTGATCAACTTGAAGAAGCACTATTCGATCGTCAATCACAAATTCAAAAACTTGAAACTGAGCAAATGAAGTTCGACGTCGCAAGCAAAGCTTTAAATGAAATTCAAAGTGAGTTTAATCATGTCAAGCGAGAGAATGAAGAGCTGAAAGTTAAACTGTCGGAATATTCATCATCACAAGATAAATCAGATGATGATAAGAAGAAGGTAAACAAAATTTGTTTAATTAAATTATTTAAATTATTTTAAAATGATTTTTTTCTTTCTTTAGATGGATAAATTAAAAGCTGCTGTTGTTCAATTGAAGCATAAACTTGCCGAGAGGAAGAAGGAAATTGACGAACTTACTAAACTTAATTCAGCAGCATCGAATGTCGATTCACTTCAAAGTCAACTTGATGAGATTCAACAAAAACATTCAGAGGAAATCAACATGTTGAGACAACAAATTGCTGATCTTGATGCAACAAATCGATTGTTAAATGAAGACAAACAGAGGAAGGTTTCGCTTGAAGGACAATTGGAGACATTTGAAATGACGAATGTTCAACTCCGTGAGAGAATTTCAAGTTTAGAAGAATCGCTGAATGCCATCGAGTCGGAGAAGAATTCAATTCTTCGTGAGCAACTTTCACTTGGTAAAGAGCTTGAGGAAAAGGTAAATGAATTTGCATGCTCAGAAGCAGCTTTCGAACGACACGCTAATAATTTAATTAAACAGGATGAACTGATTGGAGTGAAATTACGTGAAACTGAATCAGAAAATTTCCATCTTAATGAAAACATCAAAGAGTTGACGATGGAAAAGAATTCTTTGCAACAGAAATTGATTGCAATGGAAAGTCATTTTTCATCTGACATCGTCAATCGTAATCAACAAATTTCCAGCATGGAAAGTGAGAATTTACAACTTAAAAATCATTTTGAGAATCTTCAAGTTGAGATGAAGCGAATGCAGAGTCTCCATGAAAAAGCTTTAGCAGCGAAGCATGCCGAGATTGATGACATGGAAGCTGAGCTGAGTTCGCAACTTCAGAAGATTGAAAACGAGAAGAAAATAATTCAAGAAAGTTTAGAGAAGGCAAATGATCAGATTGTTGACTTCCAGGATGAAGTTGTGAGACTCAAAGACAACATTCATTCATTGGAACAATCAAAATCCGATGCCGAACGTGAACTTTCATGGTTGAAGTTACAGAACGAAAATTACACGCAAGATCAACTTGAGAATGAACAGTTGCGAATGCAATTGATGCAAAGTGAAACTGAAGCTGAAAATCTTCGTTCACAAAACGAAACACTTTCTGATAATCACAATGTTGAAATTACAATTCTTCGACAACAAATTGCTGATCTTGAAGCAATGCGATCACAAGTTAGTCAAAATCAAACTGATGATCAAGTCATGTTGCAAAATGAAAATGTTAAGTTGAAGGAAATCTTAGTTGAGAAGGAAAACGAAATTCAGCAAAAGAAAATTCAACTTCAAATGGTGTCAACATTTGTCGATGCTCCAATTCAAGCTGTTAATGATCCATTTGCAAATTTAATGGCAGCTCCACCTCAACCTTTGCCAGCGCAATCATCGAAAGTTGATGAAAATGCTTTTAAAGTATTGGAAGATAAACTCAGAGAAGCAGAAAAGGAAATTGAGAAGTTAAATGAAACAGCAATGCTAACGAACATGGAAATTGATATGCAAGCAAATAAAGTTGAAGATTTAATTCACGAGAATAAAGTTTTGCTTGGAAAGTTACATGAAATGGAAGCAAAGAATGAGAATTTAATTTCATTGAAAGCTGATGTAAATCAGAAGAATGAAATCATTCAGAATCTTCAAGAGAAATTAATGAATTTCGATGCAAAACCTTCAGCTGTAAGTGAACAACCAACAACTCAAACAGCAACCACTTCAATTCTTTTCGGTTCTGAACCATCATCACAACCATCAGCAGCTTCATTATTCGATGATGTTCCATTTATTATTTCAACGACAAATGAACCACAACAAGAAGTTTTCGAAGAAATTATTCAACCAAAGAAAGCTTATCTTTGCTACGATAACAGTTGCAATGTCGAGACACAAACCAGCGATGATTGGCAACATGAGATTCAACAACATCTTCAATTAATGGAGCAGAGATTTGTTGAACAATCTGTTGAAATGGAGAGACAGTGTCAGAGTTATATTCAGAGGATTAATGAGCTGGAAGCTTTACTTCAACAGCATCAGCAGCAGCAACAATATCAGCAGCAGCAGCAACATCAACAGCAGCAGCAACAACCACAACAACTCCCACCACCACCAGCTGATGCTGAAAGCTTCTTTGACAATCCTTCAACATCACAAATGGCAGCGCTTGAGATTGAAGATGGTTGGGGTTGGGGATCATCCGATGCTGTTCAACTTCAACAATTACAAGAACCACCAGCAAGTCTTCTCTCACCACGATCAGACTTGGAAGTTCGTCTCAAAGAACAGGAAGATATTGTTGAACGTTTGACTCATGAGAAAGCGGATGTTGATGCAAAACTCACAACTGCGAAAGAAAATTCAAAGAAAATGATGAAAAAGTTGAAAGAATATCAAGTGAAGATCAGCGAATTGGAGACGAAAGCTTTTAGAAAGTCATCGTCGGTTGAATCGAATGACATGGATTTGGTGATTCAGGAAGAATTAAATTCACAGATTCAGAGGCTTGAAGCGAAACTTAAGGAAGTAAATACTGAAAAGGAGAAGGAACATCAAGAAAAAGAAGCTTTAATTAAGCGAATTGATGTGTTAACACTTGCCAATGAACGAATGACGGAAATGAAAGAACGACAAGACGGGCAAATGGAATTGTATCAGTTGAAGATTCGCGATTTGACTCAGAAGCTTCAAAAACTTGAAGAATGGAGTGGTGAAAAAAAAGAAAGCGAACCTAAAATTCAAGCGGTCGTGTCTTCATTACCACTTGAATCTTCAGCTTCATCGCCATCATCAAATGTTGAACTTAACAAGAAGATTCAAGAATTAAATGATCAACTGAAAGACCTTCAGGTTGATTTCGATGAAATTCAAGCATTGTTAGACGAAGAAAAAAGTACAAACAAACAACTTGAAGAGAAAATAACGAAACTCAATTCAATGAGTCAAGACGAAATTTCGAAGGATCAAGAAGAGAATGAGAAACTTAAGAGAAATTGCGAAGCACTTCGACAACAAATCAACACAAAAGATCAGGAAATTCGTGATTTGATATCAAAAATTGATCTTTTATCAAATGAATCGTCGAATATTAAAACAATTCTTGATGATTTGAGTGTTCAAAATCAATTGAAGACAAATGAGAATCAAGAGCTTTTAGAGCGTCTCCAAAATTTGGCAGCAAATAATGAAGAATTATCACGTGAACGTCAACTTTACAGCGATTCAATGGAACAGAATTATCGTCAACATTCACAAGATTTAGAGCAACAACTTCAATCAATTCATGCTGAACTTCATTATAAAAATTCGCAACTTCAAGAATTGAAAGAAAGAAATTCTGAGTTTACAAAGAAAGTCGAAGTTGATGCCAATTTGATTATTGAGAAGAATAATGAAATTGTTTCACTTAAAAATCTTTTACAAGAACTTGAAGCGAAAGTGGAAAAACAACAGCCGAGTCAAGAGCAGCCAATAGAACGTCATGATGATAATATGAAAAAAGAAATTGAGGCCTTAAAGCGTGAAAATGCTCAAATGGAACATGAACTTCAAGTTTTGAATGATCAAGTCCTTTCAAGCCTGGAATTCGAAGATAAAATGAAGAATGTTGTGTATGAACTTGATGCAAAGAATTTAGAAATTCAAATGTTGAAATCATCATTAGAAAAAGTTGAAAAGCATCAACAAACCTCATCAGAAGTTGACGAAGAAGTTCAAGAAAAAATCCAAAAATTGCAAAATGAGAAAGAAGAAGTTGAACGCAACATGAAGTTGTCAATTGATTTACTTAATGCTCAATGGAGTCAAGCTGTTGAGCAGCGTGGAAATGAAGTTGCAAACAGTTGGAAGCAACATTTGGAGATGCGTGAAATGGAATTTTCTGAACTTGAAGCGAGTCTTAGAAGTCAATTAGGAAGAAATTCTGATGAAGTGACGACCAGTGAAAGTGTTCAGAAAGTGAGTGACATCGATGACGATGCAATGACAAAAATGAGATCAATAATGGAAAGTCAAGAGATGGAAATTGTGTCATTGAAAGAACAACTCGCTATTCGGTCAGCTGAATATGCTGCATTGTCAGCTAAAGTTGATCCTTATCATCAAATGTCAACGAGCATGAACATCTCCCCAATTCCACCAACAGACAGCGAGAGGGTTCCACGAAGTGAATTAGATTTAGCACTTTATATGCTTCATCAAAGAGACATGCGATTGGAAGAAATGACGATGGAGTTGGTGAGATTGTTGGAAGAACGCGATCAACTTCAAATTCGGCTTTCGAATTCTATTCGTCAAATGGAAGAAGTCAAAACAAAATTTAGTGCTTCACATGAAGCAGAATCAAGTGATGCATCGAAAACTACAACACCTGAGAAGTTACCAACAAATATGAATGTGACAACATTCGAAGACGATGGACAGTTGAAGAAGAAACTCTCGGAACTCAACACAGTTCGCCATGTGAGAGACAAAGACATTCAAGATGAGCGTGAAAGGAGATTTATGGATAACATCACAATGCTTCAACGAGATGTCGCTAACATCCCACCAGAAGCTGCCGCTCGTATTGTTGGTAAGTTTAAACTCACATTTCATTAATTATCCGATTAAATTTTTCTATTTATTTACAGCTGGTTCATCTGATCAAGGACAGTCACCATCGTCAGTTCTTATGAACTGGATTCTTGGCAAACAGCCCGAGTCATCTTAAAAACACTTTTTTAGTTTAGGAAATTTAATCTAATTAATTAATCCTTTAAGAATATTCTTCAAGCTTCCCATCAACTTTCTATCTTAATTTTTTTAAATCCGTCAGAATGTAAAGCTTTCAGCTTCCGGTTAAAAATACTTTCCAGCATGTAAAAATTAATGCAATAAATGTTTATTATTTGTACAAAAAAAATATTATTTTTTAAATAATTTTCAGAGTTTTTCAGAAAATGTCAGTTGAAAAAATGAGATTTAAATTAGTGAATGATATTTTCTCATTGCAATGCATTGCAGTAATTAAAACAATAATATTTCTTTATTAAACAAGTGAAATATCAAAGCTTCGAAGTAAAGCATTCTATCAAAGTAGGCACGAAGTTATTATTCAACTTGATTTAATCAGTTGATAACAAAATGAAACTGTCACGTCACTTCGACTGAACCGTTCGACGGCTATACAAATTTTGAAATATGAAGTGACAGACCCCATCATGGAATTTATTCACGTTTCAGTCTGGACTGATTAATTTGACTATCCTTGTAAAATGAATCAACAAATTTCTTCTTCTGCATATTTATTTAGATATGGTCCATTCATGAACCAAAAAAACATTCTTCTTAACCATGAAGAAGGCGGTTTATTAATAGGTTATTATAATAAATTATACCTAGTTAATATCGAGAGTAAAAAAATTAATTTCTAGGTCGTTGTTCATCCGTTTCTCTGCCCTCACAATATGTAAGTCGTAATCATATTAAAATCTGGTGGAGCGAAGGAAAATGGTTTATAACCGACTTAAATTCTTTTAATGGAACATTTATTTATCAAAACGAAAGTGAAGTTCGGTTGAATCCAAACGAAATTGTTGAAATATTCGATGGAGCTATAATAGGATTTGGTTTCTATCCATCGGTTTGGTGTAAACATGAGAATAATATCAACAATCCAGGTAATCACAACACTTCAAACTTCATTTAATGTTCAGAACATTTCTATTAATAAACGAATAACATTATTTAGAATATTTTGTATACCAATTACAAAACAGCAGATCGTTAGAAATTAACGAACTTTGTGATGCTTTCGCAATGCAGGTTCGCCTGGAATCTTAACAGTAAACTGTCGATAATCTTTATTCCTTGAAAAAATTAGCTGAAAATAATTAAATAGTTTAAAAAGAATTTAAAAGAATTGCTTTTTTTGTATTTTATCGATAACTCTCGATGTCACTTTCTTTTTATTTCTGACTTTTCTTGTTCTCACTACTTTATACTTAAACTAAACCTTAATATTCAAATGTTTATGAAACTCGAAGTACATGAATAAAAAATCTTTTATTTTCATATCCATGTTTAACTTACAACTAATATCTTATACAATGTTTTCTTTTTACAGTTTTTTTAATTGACTTACTACTCGTTAAATAGCTAATTCGATCGAAAGTGGAAACCTCTGCAAAGCTTGTTTGTCTCCATTCAAAGCTCTTACTCATTTATACTTGCATTGATATGATTGACCCGCAAAACAGAAAAAGAAAAGAAAAATCTTTTTATACTCGTTTTGCCCTTTTATAAAGCTTTACTTTCGCTAATTATCCGGCAGTAGATTTGCGGTTGTGTTGCTTATCTATTTGCAAACATTTTTATTTTCTTAACAAGTTAATCCATAGTACTTCATGATTCCTATCCGGCTTTAGGATGACTTCGTCTAAAACAATTATCTAAACATTTATTTTGGAGCCAATCGCGTAAGTCTCCTATCTTCCATCTATCTAAAGTCGTTTAAGTTTCTCTTACGGAATTTTTTCTCTTTCAGCTAATTCAAATAATTCAACATGAATTACAAAAATCTTTTATAATAAAAAAATCGCTCTACAATTTTCAAATCTTGTCTCTATTCGTTCAATACTTCAATTCCAAACAAAATGTTTAAAAAATTAAAATAAATCTGAGTGTAATGAAATAATGTTCACAAACGATTTCAACGGATGTGGAGGCGACGAGCCCTTTTCAAAACATCAAAGTTTCAACATCTTTCAAACAGATTTATGTTATGTTGCTAATTATTTAATGATTAACGTTAATAGTTCAAGTAGATATTAATAAGCGTAATTGTTTCATGAACTTTACTCGTTTCATTCCTTAACTCTTTTCAATTTATTTCTTTCTTTCTTACATACTAAATCAACTTAATCAGTAAAACATTCACTTTTTTCTCATTTCTCAATGCGTGTCATTTCATTTGTTAACAAAGTTCCTTATAAAAAATTATTGTAAAAAAAATTTAAATGCCAAAAAAATTTTTTTGAAGCTTTTTGTTGTCATCGTCTTAACAAAATCTTAAGCAAAATAATCACAATCTTTATACGAACACTTTAAGATTTTATTAATAATCAGTAATTTCTTTTATAAAATGCCACAATGTTGCAGTGTCAGAATTATGTATACAAAGTCGAGGAACTTTCTTCATTTGTGCTGTTGATTATTAAGTAACAATTTTCTTCTTTTTGTAGGTGGAATAATTTTGAAAAATATTTAATTTTTTATGTTGAAAATTTGTTAACAAAGTTTTGGTTCATGATTTTCTATGCTAATTTTCTTTTTCGAGGAATTCCTGCGTAAGATGTCAAAAATTAATTTTAACTGAAATGAAATTTGACATCTCGACGCATGTCGAAAACGTAATAAGTTAAAGCGTATTTTGCAGCGCATTTTCCCCAATGGTGCTTGTGTGGTTTTCATCGATAAAAATAAAAAAAAAAGCATCTCGACAATCAAATAAAAAATGTAAAAATAATTTTCTGTTTCTTTCATACTCTTGATAAACTCAATAAATGTCTCCAAACAATCATACAAAAACTTATACATTATATCTTTCTTTATTTTATGATTACATTAATAGTATTGTTGATAGTTAATTAATATGTACAAAAATTACTTCGATTTGAGCGATTTTTTGGTCCCTTAGAAATAAACAAGTTTATTGTTTGTTTTCCTTAATTTAACAAAAAAAAAAGTTTATTCGTTTGTCCTAATTTCTTAAATTCACTGTCTCTGAGTCTCTTTGCAAAAACGAAAAATTATTAACAAGAATTAAGTCAGTTTTATTGCTGTGCGTGTGTCTAAAGAATTAATTAATTAACAAGGACGGGGCGAATTCAATCAACTAGTTTAAAGAATTATTATTTGGGATGATGGAATATTTTAATTAATTTCATTGTTGATATCTAAGTTCTTTTCAATCTTTGACTATTGGAGAAAATTTTTATTGTTTTCATTAATTATCTTCACTTTAATGTTGATTTCGACATGATTTTATCGTAAGAAAAATTCATTTCAACTTCACATTCACTTTAATTCTATTTAATCAAAGTTAGGTATTCATGTTTATTTATTTAATGCGATTTAAAGTAGATGTTTAGAATATTTTAATTTTAGAATAGCACCAAAATAGGATATTTTAACAAAAAAATAATAATAATAAAGAAAAGGAAAAAATCTTTTCAAACTTTTTCTTTTCTTCCACGAAAATAAAGATGAAAAATGATCAATTAGCAATAGTTTTTAAGAATATGTTGTAATGTTAGCAACATTGAAGATGTTTATGTACAAAAAGTTTTCTTCCAACTTTTTTTAAAATAATTATTGAATTGACTGGGTTTCTAAGCAGTTGAAGAGCGTTTGACTAAAAGCTCACGTCTTGAACTTCGTGATTTGATTTTTGTTTCTTTTTGTCACCATTTCGTTTCTTCGTTGCGTTCTGATTTCTTTTTGGTTGCTTGCAAACAGTGATATTCTGTTCCTTGAGAGGTTGCTTCATTGTTTCTTTGTTAATATTCGGAGGTAGACCTTGTTTGGCATAGACCATTGACAGTAGCAGGTTACGACGTTGCTCTTGAAACAGCTGCTCCATTTTATTCATACACGAGCTTATGAATTTCTGGAAGGAGAAAAAAATATAATTTATTAGTTGAAAATAAAAAAAAGAAGCGTAATGAGCCTCCAACCAGCATAGCAACAATTCTATGATTACAATAATCTGAAGGGAAAGCAAAAACTCTCTGCATGTGGGCAAATTCATTTCACTCACATGTTGATGCCCAAAAACTCTTTTTTGTTCTGCTTTTGTGAATTAAATTAGAAAAAAAAAACGCGGCGCAAAAATTATGAATGTGAATCACATTGTTTGGCATCCGCAGAAAAGAATTCGTCAATTGAGAAAAACAGAAAACGATTTTTTTTTCATTCTTTCTTTTAATTGTTCCAAGCAATAAATTTTCATGAGAAATGAGAAATGTTCAGCGACACATTCAAATATTTGCTTATTTCTATCATCTTCTTATTATTATTTTTCGTTACGAGCCCATATCGCGACAGCATTTCATTCATTAAATGAGAAACGATGAATGGAGATCATATGGTTCCGAATTCTTAAGACTTTAAATCTTTCGTGGCATGGGAACTTGATACCGTTGATCTTTAACGACGTGATGTAAATAAATTGATTTTGTCTCGATAAATTCCGAATTAATTTCAAGGTTTCTAAGGGAGTTTGAACCCATTAACGGAATTTAAGAATTTTTAATATATTTAAGTGCCCTTGAAATTTTATCGCTTGACATCAAGTTCATTAACATTCCGAATTAAAATGCGATGAAAATCTAACACATGTCTGCAAAATTTGGCTAGAAAATGGTTTCATTGCTCCCGTTTCTTTTTTTGTTTTAATTTTCAACTTTGCTGCCTGGCCTGATGATAATAAATTTCAATTTTTTATTTTTTATTTCATTATACAAATAATCCCAGTAATTTTTTCCACTTGTGCAGTTTTTTTATCCCGCTTATCTAGTTGCTTACATAGTCGAAGATGGATGAGACAAAATATTTTATTTAACTGAAATTTCAATGAACTTTGTTGAGATAAGACACGAGGCGCTAACGACGTGTTCTGCAATTTTTTTTATTTGACAAGTCAATTGATAATATAAAAATAGAAATGAATGGTAAGCTGCTGGAGATTATGTCATCGTCTTCTTCAACGACATGACGTGAATATTAAACAAACATTGTTAATGATTTACTTACACTTTCTGATTCTGACAGCTCAGCTAATTTGTCCACTAAATCGAATTTTGAAATTCCGCTTCGATTATGCCACGACAAGCCAATGAGTGATGCTGCCACAGCTGATGCAGCAATGTTGCTTGCTGAATAAATTGAAAAATCATGTTCTGAAAAGAATATGCAAAAATATTCATAAGTTTTATGTTTCTGAATAAAACAATCATCTTAAGACTTAAGTTAAGTAATTTAATTCAGGAAATAATTTTCGTTTTCTTGAAACAAATCAAATCAAATGTTGCGGCTTCTTTCAGTCTTTTAAATCGTAACTCTGCGACATTGTTGTATTCATGTTGAAGAATTTTTATGAGTCTGTTTTATGACAAAACTTAATGATACCTTCGGTTGCTTATGGAATTTGATATTTTGAACAATAATTTGTTTGTTCTTTCTGCTTTAAGGCATTACATTGTTTTGATTGAATATCACGACTCGCATGAAAAGCTTCTTAAAACATCATTTTTCACGCAATTTTCACAACTCATCAAATTGATTTCACAGCTTTAACGAGATCCACGAAAATGCAATTTTTATCGACGAATGGTTTCGTTTTAGCAATCGCGGATTTCAACCCAATTAACCTTTCAACCTTCTCAAATTTACGTTTTTTCATTGAAAGCATCTCATTGCACAAATGCGAAGATGCTTCAGTCCGTTGTGTCTGTAATAATTCATTCTTTAAAAAACACCGAACTGCTTAAAAATTGTTAAAAAAAATATTTTTTATTCAAATTCTTGTGCAATTCTTTTTCTCTCCCTTCGCCTTCGCCTTCGTGATAGCTTGCATCGCTTTGATCATACACGAAGCAGAGAATGAAAGGGAAATTATGCCGCTCTCCCATTTTAGCTGGCGCCAAACGAGTGCCAAAAAACACCAAATCAACGATGGATTGGTGGTGATGATTATTATGCTTGCTTTGTTCTAATTTTCCAATCATTTCTCATCGCATTGCATACCTCTTTTGTTTATACATAACGTGATAGATTAGGCAATTAAGGTAGGGTTTGACGTTATGCGCATATTATGCGATTATGCAAAATTTGTGCGAATAATATTCATTTTCATATGCGATTGTGCGCATACTGAAAAAAAGTTCTGTATGAAAAATGACCAAAATTGAAATGTTCATTTATTATCT